ATTGTCAACATTTTTCAAGTTGGAAAATGCCCACACTCAGCGCTGCCGATCGGAACATCGCCATAAGACGTATCCAAAGTGGAGAATCGCAGTCTTCTGTTGCACACCACTTCAACGTCCACCACAGCACCATATGCCGTCTTTGTGACAGATATACACAGTTCAATTCCACTGCAGACCGTCCGAGAACCGGCCGACCCAGAGTTGCCATCCCTGCACAGGATCGCTACATTCGACTGTTCCACCTACGTCATCGCAATGCCACAGCTACGGAGACTGCAGAAAGCATCCCTGGTTTGAGGAGGATTTTGGACCACACTGTCAGGAACCATCTTCGCGAGGCAACAGATCCGTCGACACCGACGCTTGCGTTGGTGCCATACCTTACAGCCTTGGAATTTGAGAAACTGGAGACGAGTGTGGTTTAGCGATGAATCACGATTTCTTCTTCACCGGCGAGATCGAAGACAACGTGTTTATCGTCGTCGAAATGCCCCACATTGTGTACGTGAATTCGACAATTTCGTTTGCTGTAGTGTCATGGTGTGGAGGGCCATGTCCTACACCACGTGATCAGACTTGGTTGTGGTTCAGAGATATTTGACAGCAAATCACTACATGACCTAATCATCTTCCATTCATTTACCGCCATAGCGAGCTGTTTCAACAGGACAACGCTCCAACGCACACAGCTCGTGTCACGGCAGACTACTTTCATAATGCCAACATCAACGACTTGCCCTGGCCGTCGAGATCTCCTGATCTCAACCGAATCAAACACCTCTGTGTTGAACTCGACCGACGTGTACGTGAACGTCAAAACATGCCGCAGACACTCCCACAACTGGCCAACGGGTTACAAGCAGAATGGCGACGAATTCCGTAGGACAGAAGCAGGACAGAATTCGTACACTTATCCAGTCAGTGCCGAGGAGATACAGAGCCGTGATTGCTGCCCGGGGCGGTCACACGAAATACTGAGTTCAGCGCAACCTTGTGGCCTTATGTGATATGATAATGAATAATTTTCAGTGCCTTTGTACAACGACAACATGTGACTATCGAACTCCAAATTTTCATAATTGTATCCATGATATTGAAATTAATTCAATATATCGACTTTATTAGGTACAATAAATTTACTAAAAATCTACCTGTGCTGTTCTTATAATGAAGAGTGTACCTCTGCTGTCTCTGACTGTGTGTACATCCTTCTGCTCTCTCTGACTGCTGTGTGTACCCCCTCCTGCTCTCTCTGGCTGCTGTGTGTACATCCTTCTGCTCTCTCTTAATGCTGTGTGTACATCCTTCTGGTTGTGTCTTACCGCTGTGTGCACATTCTTCTGGATGTGTGTCTGACTGCTAAGTGCACATTCTACACACTGTCTCCTGGCGCTGTGTGTACATCCTTCTGGCTGCCTCCAAACGCTGTGAACCCCCTTCTGGTGCCTAGCGAGGATTGAAATATTTCCTTGCTTCGAATTCTTGTGAAGTATCACTTTGCCATTCATATATCTCCCCACAGAAACATGATGTTCATTGTTTACACTCCATTCAACAAATTCTATTTCTGACTGTTAATTTGTTCATTATTGCGAGCCCCCTTGGTGAATTCCCGTGTTTGAGTCCTGGTATTTCAAAAGTCAACTGTTTATCGGCCGTTTGTATCAGGGATTTGGTTGTGTACAGAAATAATAACAACACACATAAAACTAATACCTTAATGACCCGTATCTTGGGCCGCTTCATATCATTAAAATGATATGCATTTTGAAAATATTGCAAACGTTAAAGGTCTTACCAAACGAAATATGTCTGCATTTTTCCGCTACTGCTTTATTACCAAAGCCCAACAGCGTACAGTTATCATTAGCAGAACAACATAACGTACACGTGTGTACTTCTATGTATGAATGTTCATCACCACTCCATTACACGCTCAAAATAGAATGGATACATCGGCTGTTTTTTGCGATAGTGGACGGCCATACACCAGTTGTCGCCACACAAAAAAAATCGATTTTTCGATTTTAGGCAAGGTTAAGTGACATGATGTATATTCTGCAAGGCTGAATTCACTGCAGGCTGTCCACATGGTACACACGCTGACAGTGTAATGAGCCTTAGTAATGCATGGATAAATCATTGTAAATTCCTGTTGAGCAAGTCGTATGTTGTAGACGATCATATATATATATATTGTATTCATGACATACGTCGTTTGACAATTTAGTCAATGCAAACAATATTCAGATGACTAATAATTCAAATCAGTACGTCAAAATGCAGTAAGGTTGGGCGTAAAGTAATTGGGCTTTACGTCGGGCGCATGCACATTGATCGAACAAGGGGATCGAAGGATCGACCTTCCGCTTCCCATGTAGACGCTCTATCATTTATACCACGGAGGCGGACTTATCCAAAACGATGAGGTATCGATAAATATTGTACACATAGAAACTGAAATATAATATGCAGAACCTTAAAACTCAGGACTGATGTAAATCAATAGTTTTGTTAAAACCACATTCCTAGTTCCACTAGGGTCTGTTTGATTGTCAAAACACCTTTCTAAATTTAGCCATAACCTTCAAACATATATTGCACTCGTTGTTATTGGATCCACACTCTGTGATATTAAAGGCACTTAGCAAGTATTTAACCATTCTTGATCTAAACTACGTTTTGGGGATACTCTTTTAACGGTAAACTCAAGATACATATTGTTAATCAAAGATTCAGCAACGGAAGCAATTGCATGAGCTAAAATTGTCGCAGCCATCTCATTTCCATTCAACTGAAGTTCAGTTGTCGATGGATTTACCTAAAAACAAATTGAAAAATAAGCATGTCGACATCAATACGAAGATACACAGTATTGATAACAATTTATTCTCAGCGTTGACAATATGACTATTAAGGTAATTTAAATCGTTGTTTGGGGGCACGGGTGGCCCAGTCGTTTAAGGCTCCGCGATTCGCTGTGCAGAGTTGCGTCCCTTGGGCACGCCAGAAACCTATGATTGTGGGTTCGAATCCCTGTTCGCCCCGATTATGTTTCTAGGTATGTCAGCACCATACCCGTGCTCGTGGGTTTCACCGAAGTGGTAAACGTCTGAGACCTGCATCACTTCGGGATTTCCTCCCATATTACGCTGACACGCCGTGATATAACTGGAATACTGTTAAAAGGGGCGTTAAACCCAACTCACTCACTCACTAAACCGTTGTTTACCAATAAATAGCGTAAATATGAAATTGATTACACAATTTTGTTTGGTTCATGTATTGATGATACTCTGTATTGATGCATGTCAACATGTTTCATGCACCTGTCCTTGTACTTAGTCCTGTAAATTATTGTCCTGTGTGACAATAAAACATTGATGTTTACTGTTAGTGTGTTTTGTGCTTTTCACGTATCACAATAGTTCCCTCAATGTGGCTTGACAGGCTAGACTGCGGACATATAACGTGGGAATAATGTAGTCCCATAAAACCAGTGGAACATAAACGTTTTTGTATGCTGAAAATGATTGTGCATACCTTGTTTAGTCCCCTCTAATCAAGGCCCATAATAAGGCTGCCCGCATTCCAAGGTAGGATGGTGGCGCTATTCGAACAAGCAGAGGAGGAGGATGAATATAGGTATAAACGTGTAGTTACCTACACTTCTCATATTGATAGAATGTGAAAATAGTTTAATGATTTTCGTACGAACCGGAAAACATATGTTGACCAACAATTCGTTGATCGTGTTGTATGCATGACTTAAGGGGCCTACATCAAACAATATCTGCTCGGGATGGAGTAGCCTTGTGGGTAAACATTCGTTCGTCTCGAAGGCTCGGGTTCGATTCCCAACATTGGTACAATGTATGTAATTGTTTTGTCCACCGACGTGATATGGCTGGAGCTTTGCTAAAAGCTCGCTCGCTCGCTCGCTCACTCACTCACTCACTCACTCACTCACTCACTCACTCACTCACTCACTCACTCACTCACTCACTCACTCACTCACTCACTCACTCACTCACATCTGCTGGGTTGACATGTCGACAACTGTAGCTCTCCACTGAAGGCATAGTTTGTTTGTTTGTTTGTTCCTTACCGCCACACTCAGCAATATTCCTGTTATAGGACGGCGGTCTGTAAATAATCGAGCATGGACCAGACAATTCAGCGATTGACATCTTGAGCATCGATCATCACGCAAGTGGGATGCGACGACATGCATCAACCAAGTCAGCGAGCCTGACCACCCGATCCCGTTAGTCGCCTCTTACGACAAGCATAATTGCCTTTTAAGACAAGAATGGGTTGCTGAAGACCTATATATTGTATACCCCGGATCTTCACTGGTCCCGAACACATAGGCAAAGCCAAGAAGATGCATTCGTACTCCAGTAACAACGTTTCAGTATAATAGTCTACTTGATTTTTAACATTTTTGTATAATTTTACAATTACGATTTCCCTATTGCGCATTACACTGCATTTAACAATACATGGTGCACCCAATCCCCTTTAAGTGACCCGTGAAGATCCGGGATAGAATAGTTTTCAGCAACCCGTGCTTGCCGTTAAAGGCGACTATGCTTGTCGTAAAAGGCGACTAACGGGATGGGGTGGTCAGGCTCGCTGAATTGGTTGAAGCATGTCATCGTATTGACATGGATCGATGCTCATAACATCAATCACTGGATTGTCTGGTCCAGACTCGATTATTTACAGACCGCCGTCATATAGCTGGAATATTGCTGAGTTCGGCGTAAAACAAAAAAACACACCAAAAATCCAAATGATTCATAATAATTATAAGAAGTTACACCAATCTGGAAATTTTTTCAGATCACATTATTTTCACCAATAGTTTACTTTTTACCCTTGTCATAAACTGTTTCCGCAGAAACTCGACGGGAATTATTTTCTCGCGTTGACATTTCGAATTTGAAAGTTATTTACCCTTCTTCCCAATATTCCACGGAGAACAGCGAATACACACCCGATTTCACTTTATTACATATAAAAAAACATACATTCCAGGAAACCCATAACTAGGTTATTGACAAGACATCTATCTTATTATTATTGATTACGCTATCGATTTTTAAGCCTAAATTTAGATTTTCCAAAGGCCCATTTCTGATTCGTCTTCCCGTTGCAGGTTTTCATCACAATGTTGGAACGGTCTCCAACTGTTAAGCAGACATTTAACGCACTAAGCTGGAGGCTCCTGTCCTGAAAGTAGATACGAGAATACAGTGTTATGACGCTCCAAGACAAGCATGTCTTGTAGACAGACGGAAGCAATGGGCTGGAGTCCCGTTAGTTTGGAGACTGCAATAACGTATGTAGGTATCAAACATGCATTGTGGACATTGCGGTAACTTCGAGATCAACAACTGAAAAAATATGGTCTACGTATGTCGGTCGTATTGATGCTGTTTGTTGAAGACAAATTTGACTGATGGATATCGACCTCTTTATTCCTTCAATGAGACGTGTACTTTTAGCAGATACTAGCACCTGTACGGAAACGTCGTATTGATACCACAACGCTCTCATGCAACTTTACCTTACTGTATACGTCTACATCTTACAGAAAGTAAACGTACGCATTACACATTACATTTTGTTCGTTTGTTTGGTCGTTTAAACTCGTACTCAGCGATATTACAGCTGTATTACGGCGGTCTGTGAATGATCAAGTCTGGACCTGACAGTCCTGTGATTGACATCATGAGCATTGCTCTACGCAATGAGACACGATGACATGCATCAACTAAGTCAGCGAGAATGACCATCCGCTCGTCGCCTCTTACGACAAACATGGGTTGTTGAAGATCCATTCTTACTCGGATTTTCACGGGGTTACAAATTAGTTTATAATGGTTTGAAATGAGAAATTGTTTTGCTTGTAGGTAGACATTTTATTTAGTTTCCTAAAAGCACATTGCTTATTGATATTAAATAGGTATAAGAGAACCTGTGATCGCAAGTATGATGATAATGTTCACCCTTGGCCTCAACATAGTAATCAGGTGTGAATACGACAATCATGCTCTGCCAGACTGACATAATCCATGCAGCATGAGTGAGTGTTTTTGGTCTAACGCAGCCTTGAACAGTTATTCAGCTATGTCATGGTGTATGACCTCAAAGTGGTAGGACAGGCCGAATCGATGCATGTTCATTGTGAGCTATATTATCCAGACTGGCATACCAATCTCCATGAGACTAAATGGACCAGCTGTATCTACTTACTTCCGTGTATGTCCACTTCCCAATGCTGTCGTGGAAGCACTTGTCTTGTATTAGCTCGCCGGACTTGATACAAAGTCGCTGATCATTGGAACCCTGCAGCTTTCCAGAGGGGAGCAGCTGCCAGTACTGAATATAACCAAACATGTCCTACAACTTAGCTTTTTGTTTCACTAGAAAAAAATATTAACAAAATTCTCGAATACCTTTGATTCGCGTAGAAAAACATCAACTATTATTTTCATCTTCTATTATGAATGTTGTTTGAATGAAGAAGTTGGAAATGGAAATGTCTGATAAAAAGATCCCTCCTCTGTGATAATGGTTTGATTAAATGTGTTTTTTTAATTTACACAAATACGTTGATTGAGTAAATGTGGTGTGGAATTATATACAATGTAACACTGTTCATTACAATTGTGTGTAGTGCGCCAACGTTGCGATATCATAACTTTCATTACCAGACACGATTTTGGAAGAAAGCAATAGCTCGATTTACAGACCTGGTTCCCGCCAATCCCATGACAAGGCAAGTAGCTACATTTACAGACCTTTTTCCCGCCAATCCCGTGACAAGGCAAGTAGCTACATTTACAGACCTGGATCCGCCAATCCCGTGACAAGGCAAGTAGCTTTATTTACAGACCTGGTTCTCACCAATTCCGTGACAAGGCTAGTTGCTTTATTTACAGACCTGGTTCCTGTCACTCCCATGACAAGGCAAGTAGCTACATTTACAGACCTTTTTCCCGCCAATCCCGTGACAAGGCAAGTAGCTACATTTACAGACCTGGATCCGCCAATCCCGTGACAAGGCAAGTAGCTTTATTTACAGACCTGGTTCTCACCAATTCCGTGACAAGGCTAGTTGCTTTATTCACAGACCTGGTTCCTGTCACTCCCATTACAAGGCAAGTAGCTACATTTACAGACCTTTTTCCCGCCAATCCCGTGACAAGGCAAGTAGCTACATTTACAGACCTGGATCCGCCAATCCCGTGACAAGGCAAGTAGCTTTATTTACAGACCTGGTTCTCACCAATTCCGTGACAAGGCTAGTTGCTTTATTTACAGACCTGGTTCCTGTCACTCCCATGACAAGGCAAGTAGCTACATTTACAGACCTTTTTCCCGCCAATCCCGTGACAAGGCAAGTAGCTACATTTACAGACCTGGTTCCCGCCAATCCAGTAACAAGGCAAGTAGCTACATTTACAGACCTTGTACCCGCCAATCCTGTAACAAGGCAAGTAGCTACATTTACAGACCTGGATCCGCCAATCCCGTGACAAGGCAAGTAGCTTTATTTACAGACCTGGTTCCCGTCACTCCCATGACAAGGCAAGTAGCTTTATCTACAGACCTCGTACCCGCCGATCCCGTGACAAGGCAAGTGGCTACATTTACAGACCTGGTTCCCACCAATCCCGTGACAAGGCAAGTAGCTACATTTACAGACCTTGTACCCGCCAATCCCGTGACAAGGCAAGTAGCTACAGTTACAGACCTGGTTCCAAACCATCCCGTGACAAGGCAAGTAGCTTTATTTACAAACATTATACCCGCCGATCCCGTGACAAAGCAAGTGGCTACATTTACAGACCTTGTACCCGCCAATCCCGTGACAAGGAAAGTGGCTACATTTACAGACCTGGTTCCCGCCAATCCCATGACAAGGCAAGTGGCTACATTTACAGACTTTGTACCCGCCAATCCCGTGACAAGGCAAGTTGCTACATTTACAGACCTTGTACCCGCCAATCCCGTGACAAGGCAAGTGGCTACATTTACAGACCTGGATCCGCCAATCCCGTGACAAGGCAAGTAGCTTTATTTACAGACCTGGTTCTCACCAATTCCGTGACAAGGCTAGTGGCTTTATTTACAGACCTTGTACCCGCCAATCCCGTGACAAGGCAAGTTGCTACATTTACAGACCTTGTACCCGCCAATCCCGTGACAAGGCAAGTGGCTACATTTACAGACCTGGATCCGCCAATCCCGTGACAAGGCAAGTAGCTTTATTTACAGACCTGGTTCCCACCAATCCCGTGACAAGGCAAATGGCTACATTTACAGACCTGGTTCCCGCCAATCCCGTGACAAGGCAAGTGGCTACATTTACAGACTTTGTACCCGCCAATCCCGTGACAAGGCAAGTGGCTACATTTACAGACCTGGTTCCCGCCAATCCCGTGACAAGGCAAGTGGCTACAGTTACAGACCTGGTTCCCGCCAATCCCGTGACAAGGCAAGTGGCTACATTTACAGACTTTGTACCCGCCAATCCCGTGACAAGGCAAGTGGCTACATTTACAGACCTGGTTCCCGCCAATCCCGTGACAAGGCAAGTGGCTACATTTACAGACCTGGTTCCCGCCAATCCCGTGACAAGGGACGAGGGCTGGGGTTCTCCTTCCTGCAGAATCTAGACACAGCGTTGGGTTGGAAATGCTGCGAACCTGTGAAAAAGGAAAATTAATGGTCACTTCATTTCTTAAGATTTTCCTCAATGACTCACGCTTTATGTATTGTTTGTCTACATGACCAATTACAATACAGTCAGATAAGTCAGGGTGGGTGAGTGAGTTTGCCAGCAGTATTATTGTTGAAACCAGAAATGGGCTTCAACCACTGAACTAATGTCGCCATAACCACAAGTTACCCCACCGTCCCATAGCAAAGGCATCAGTACTTAAGGACCAATCAGCTTTGCTATCCAAGTCAAAAGAATCGTTTAACTGGGGGGTCATAATGCTGTGATTCACTAATTGTCGAATTTGCGTCCAGAAGCATGCATTGAAGGTAAGATCTTCTTGAAAACAATACATGTTACCTTATTTGGTGCATATCTGATGTCATTTGAAAAGTGTATACCAAACAAGAGAGACATATTCAAACGTTGATGGAAGCGCTCTTACCTCTCCCACATTAAATAGTCCCGGAAACGGACACTCCGGGTAGACATTTTCTATATACCAGCGGAAGTCATGACAATGAAGACTGTCCCGCAGTTTCTTCCGGTCAGTAATGTCACCATAGTTGTGTAATCCCTGCAAGAAAGACATGCGCTGTAACGTACTGAACTGGCACGATGTCGTATTGAATAGAAACAAAGGGGCATTCCAGGTCATGTCAGCTTTAATAATAACGTTATCTTTAATCACTTGTACTCATTGTCCTAAGCCAACAGTTGTCGAGGTATTAGATTCAGAGAGTTATGGCAAAGAGACAATTCAAACACCCTTTTCTCACAAACTGCTAAGGACAACACCTTGTATTGCATGGCAGGACATCCTAAAACGAACGTGCAATACGTGGACACATTCCATATAATAAAAAAATAGTTCAACTGCATTAATCTGCATTTGTTTTCAAAATGAAATTTCCCAATATTTTGCAAGAGACTCTGGTCCATGTTACTCACCTGGAGCAGTGAGGTTTGTTCGTAGAACAAGTACTTGTATTCATCGAGCCAGACTTCTGCAACTCTCATGGAGTTGGTCAAGATAGGGTTCCCGCCTCCCTCCCACTTCACCGGATTCTTACTACGGAAGATGTGCCCCACGTGCGAACAAGGAAGGAGCTCCAGAGTTCCGTTACACATCCATGTCTGAAACAAGGGAGATGTCATGGACATTTGTCTTGTGTTTGTTTGTTTGTTGTTTGACTTCACGCTCAGCAATGTTCAAGTTATATGACGGCGCTCTGTAAATAATCGAGTCTGGAACAGACAATCAAGTGATTGACGTCATGGTCATCGATCTTTGCAAATGGGATGCGATGACATGCGTCAACGGTGTCAGAATCTGACCACCCGATCCCGTTACTCGCCTCTTACAAGCATAGTTTGCTGAAGACCAATTATAGCAAGATTAGTTTCACTAGCGGAAGCCATTTATGAGGTGAGGTGAAACGTCGCGTCCAAGATTATTGCACTTATATAGCGACGTGCAAGTACGTGTGTGTGTTTGTGTGGCTGTTTGTACTAGTCCGGTCTGATGCCGATTTAAAGTGCTAGCTCACTGAGATACCATGCCGCAGTTTAACATGACATAGACACAGTATACTGACTCCGAGCCGACCAGTCCTTGTTTTAGCCCCTTAATGCCGAGCGCCAGAAGGGGTAACAACAAGTACCATTTTTTAACGTCTTTTGGTATGACGCGGCCGGGGATCGAACCCCGGACCTTCCGCTCTCCGGGCGGACGCTATACCACTAGACCACGGAGGCGGTTTGTAGCCATTTATGAATCATTATTAGTCATTGACGTCAGAACGGGTCCCAACGGGTTTCAAATGTCTACATATTCAATGCATCCATGCAGTTTTTAAGGTTAAAATCATATTATGTTGGTGATAATAATCAAAATAAAAAAAACTTGTATAAGTATATTTTTTTGATTTTATCTCGTTCCTCGGGTGGTAACAGACCGATCACCTCAACCCTTTGTAATACAATACAGCGAAACGTACTTTGAAAGAGAGTTCTATGTTCTCTCCACCCCAGTACAAGAGTCCCGGGTCATACGTTCCCAGAGTTGTGAACCACTGTTTGTCTATAGCAAACAATCCACCAGGCATTGTAGGGGATCTGAAAATCAATAAAATGTCACATTTATCATCACTGGCAAACCAACACAATACATATCCATATTATTAAACAGGGAGAAAAAACTGGAGGTGGTGCGAGAACTTTAAGCATTGTTGATTTCGATGTCCCCAAAACACATTGGAAGTCTGCGTTCATGGAACTCTAGCCGTCTTGTCAAGCTGGCTTAAGTCACGACGTACGTTACAGGTGTCAGGCATTTACATTTTCTCAGTCTTGTGATAACAATAGGATTTGACGTTTTCCAGACATTGTTCTCAAGTAAGAGTCCACAAACAACTGTTTCAGACATTAGTCAACTTCATGGGTCACAATGACAAACTGCAAATAACTCTAGGTGACAGTGGCGTGGCTCTGAAAGCTTCATCGCACCAATGGGAACAAGATTGTAACATCACAATCAATTATGCACATATGAAGGTAAAACAAGGTACCTAATTGGACCAACAGGTGACGTCATCTGGCTCCTACTCTTGTTGCTGATATTCCCCCAGTTGAAGAGAAGCATCTTCCAGTTAAATACCCCAAAGTGCCTCAACTTGCTCGTCATGCCCGTCCCGAAGTTCTCCGAGCTTATAACATGGATATGTGGAAAGGGGACATTCCTCGGGTTCGTCCTGATACGATCGAGTTGTGGCTCTAACCAACCTAGAAACACGAAACACATGTTGGTATTAGATCAAGAAATGAGTGTTCGTGTGTGTGTGTGCCCATATGCATGTGTATGTATGTTTGTAGAATGTGTTACCGTTGATACGATAATCTATACCTGGTCATGTGTGTATGTGTGTCTTTTACTCTTTTTTCAAAACTTTGATTTGAATAGTACTTCAGGTATGATTCTCTTCGTATATTTATAATTATGTATTCGTTTGGTTTGATAGTCCTTACTTCAAGTTGACGGACTACAAGGTGGACAAAAACAATTATGGAGCACAACGTCTTTATAATACAGTAATAGCGATATTTACGCCACTTTCAAGCAATACTGATTATCTATAAATGTTGCTATTACAGTTTAAGAAAGAAGTTGTTATCCGTTACTATATATCTTTGTCCTCCATAAACTCGTTGATTCATACATATACCAATTTCCCTTTGGACAATCTAATTTCCAATCCATTTCATCCCTATTTTGATTAATAACCAGCACCAGTACTAGTACTACGAACATATATGTTTACCTGGAAAACATTCTATATGAGAGTCGAGAAACACCAGTACTGGTCCAGCAGCCACTTCATTTCCAATGAGTCTCGCCCTTATTAGGCCTCGCTGTTTCCTGAGTCTGACAATCTTCACCTTTCCCAGTTTTGTCATGTATTTTTTCAAAGGCGCCATGAGGTGATCTGAAGTGAAATACAAGAATAGAACGTTGAGATCAGTACTATCCCTTGTATACTTGTGTGTGTGTTAGTGCCATTCTCATCAGTTAATTTTAGCATTCAATCCACATGGACGCCAAAAGGGGGAAGGACTGTTGTATGCCCACTCACTCGTCCATAAGGAAGCGCCACACCGTGTTATGAACTATAGAAAATATGTTTTAATGAAGCAGGAACATATGCTAAAATGAATCGTCAATGAGTGAGTTGTGTGTAATCTCGATTGTATCGCATTAAGTCAGCTTAATATGGGATGAGGCACGAGTGGCATCGTCGTCAAAGGCGCAGCAGTTCGCCGTGCAGACTTGCTTCCTATGTGCACGTCAGAAACCTATGATCGTAGGTTACAATGCCCGTTCGCTACAGGACTACGGCCTGGGTCAAAAGTAGAAACCTCAGCTGGAAGTGACCTGTACCAAGTGTGCTTCTTTTTATGGATACAAATGCCTTACTATTGTAAGACATTGACACATGTGTGGAAGCATGCATCGTCTACTAGACAGATGTTGAGGACACGGCCAATATATCTGTGGAGATTAGATCAAGCTCCTTTATGGAATCGAATCAAAACGTCAACATGAATTATTTTATTTTCCCGTTTTCGATGACGATGTAATGGACTCATTAACATGTTCTCTGCAGTATACCTTGAGTTGATGCATCGTCAACTAGAACTATTTCTTTTATTAGATGTGCAGGGGAGCGGTCAAGGACGCTGTGAACAGATCTCAGGAGGGTGGACCAAGCCTCGTTGTGGAAGCAGATGATGACACTAGCTGGAGGTAGATCGACTGGATACACACGTGACTTGCATCTGGGCATATACGGTAAATAGTGTAAGTTGAAAACCCGAATTTAAAATCCATAACATATCTACGGATAAACTTTTCAAAATTTGCTTTTCTCAGGAGTTGAACAGTGATAGAAGCAAAAAACAGATTTAATACATGCACAGGTGCAATGTTAAAATATAACCAACAAACTATGATACATTTTGACATCACACAATATGTGATAATACTGCTTCTGCAGGAGAGGATGTAAGTGAAGATGCCATTCCTGAGATACGTACTCCTCCTGCCTGTTATCTGGTAGACGCCGTCGTACTGAGATGCGATCGCTCACCAACTGGTTGAAGCTGTTTCTCCTCCTTCCTTCAGCATCCTCATGGTACTCCTTCCCAGTAGACTTGTAGTGAACAGCATTTCCCCATTCACCTGGAATGACATCGTAAGGCACTCTGCTAATATTCCCTGTCCCGAAACTGGAAGAAACGCAGATTACAGTGCACTACCAAATACTCTTTGGATATAAATGCGGAACCGTGTAGGTAGCAGAAGTATCGTAAGTCCCCACGGTCTCTAGTATGGTGGCCGTACTTTGGTTGCTGGTGATCTATAGCCCGTTTTTATAATGTGTTGTTGAATCCTAGGTTATTCTTTAAATTGTTCGCGCAACTAGTTTTACTTCTAAACTGTTTTTATACAATCTTGATATAATTATTATAACTGTTTCGTCACGATATGGCTGAAATATTGCCGATTTGACGTTAAATTGTACTCACTCACTTGGATGAAAATGCATCACCCAACTATCCTGGATAGTATTCTGTTACCCAGTTCCCCTTTGATAAGTAGTCTGTGAATCATTGCCTTTCAAGAGAAATTATTCAACACAAAAGTCCACCATTCAGAATTCACCACGCAGGGAAATGCACAAATGCATTCACCAAGGATGACAATATATAATTTATTCATAAGTGCATCAGGAAAATCAATGCACCACTAGAGTCAAGGCAGCATGATCAACACAGCTTTTCTGCAGTGCATTAGTCTTCTCACCTTGAAAAACAATGCGTCAGCCTGTTCACCTGGGATAGAAAGGCTATTCTCCGTGTCAATGAGAACTGAACGTGAAGATTAAAATGTACACAGACAAGCATTACGGCAAACAATGTCATACATTTTACTGAAGACGGCCTTGATGAATTGGAACATTGATATGGTGCCGAATCAGGCACGAATAATACAATGTCAGATATGGAATAGATATAGATATAAAATATCATTACAAAATGTAATCAATATCCGTGTAGGTCTTTGAAAGGCATTTAGAAGTGATTCACCAAAGGAAGAGAGTATATGGATGTCAACTTCTTTATTATGAGGAACACAACGTTTAGGAGTATATGCTTACTCCTTCATCAGGTGATGAAGGAGTAAGCATATACACCTAAACGTTGTGTGATGAAGGAGTAAGCATATACTCCTAAACGTTGTGTGATGAAGGAGTAAGCATAATACACCTAAACGTTGTGTGATGAAGGAGTAAGCCTATACTCCTAAACGTTGTGTTCCTCATAATAAAGAAGTTGACATCCATATATTCTCTTCCTTAATATCCGTGTAAGGTATCGAACTTGCAGCAGCAACTATATCCGTTCCCTTACCTGGACCATCCTCCGGACTGTGCTCCACGAACGGCGGATACGTTACATCACTGTCTTCTCCTCCGTACTCCTCCACATAATACTCCTCATCGTATGGGTTATGATTCTGTTGCCCTGCCACCCTGTCAGATGGTACGTGTTTCTGCTGGTCTTCCACCCTATCCGGTGGTACATGTTTCTGGATGTTTTTAACCACTGTTTCTATAGCTGTTCCAAGGGTGGATATATTCCCATGTCCCCTGTGCTTGATACCTGTGTGATTCACATACTTCCTCGGTCCAGCAACTTGCATATTGCCTGTATTCCTATCAACACCTTTTACTACCGCATCGATTTCATCCGGTTTGTACGCAGCTTTCACGTCACTTTGGCCAAATATATTCGCAACGATACTGGAATCTTTTGAAAATTGGTAATCAACAGTTTGCACCAATGATCTGGTGATATATAAAAATAACAACAACATACATAACACAAAAGCCTTGACCACGCGACGCCGCGATCGCCTCATGTTATGGTGTGTTGTAGGATGTGTCTTACACCAGCATCAAGTCAGCTGGGATGTGAGTAATGGCGCAGGTCAGGTCACTATACATACAGGGACGACACGAGGATTGTGCCCGTCCCTCACAAGCATCATACGTATACTGGAACATATCTTGGTGACATCTTCATCATGGGGCATCGTCTTTTCTGTACAGAATGCTGTGAGTGTCTAACATTAAAAGATATGAGTACTCACGGAGTTGTGTTATCTCAAGTCGAAATAATCCACATCTCGAATAGATCATACCCCTCTTCACGAATCCGACTTCAAAGTCCTCGTGAACAAATCATAGAGGTTAGGTCGTAAATATAATCACCAGTTGCCTTTAGATATGTGCCATTATGAGACCTCTATTTAATGGACATGGTCATTGTAGGCATGGTGTTTCGCAGTAGGGACCATTTCAAACATCCTGACTGCATATATGTTTTTGCAAAGGGATAGTTATTATTTTTAAGCAGTATAATTATCAGTTGTTCTCATCTTGCAGCAAAATAACTAACAAGCACGATGTAATTGTATATCTATTAACAGACAAGGTACGATCTGCTTGAAGCTTCCTGAAAATAAATATTTTTGGTTTTTGAGATATCACCTTGAGGGCCTTGTCAGCGTTTGTAGCAGATGTCAGATCATACAATGAGTCTTCGATCAGAGCACGGGTATAAATTTCAGATGGCTTGTCGATAACATGTGATACGGCAATTGAACAGTGCACGTGTTACATACTTCCAGAGAGTGTTCTTAGCCACGGCAGTTGATGCAGACTGGTGTTCACCACAACCCTGATGGATCGTGTTCACATTTGTTTCTGGTCATACAAAGAAAGCGCGAACTACTAAATACATGCGATCATTATGGACGCTACTTCGTTGATATGGTTATCGTGTTGAATCCATTTACAAAAAGATATGAACAAAAATGGAGACCTTATTTACATATATTCCGCCGATTAAATACGCTTGTCGTGTGTACCAGTTCAAAGTTTGTCAAATATGATTATCTTGATATTGATCACCATGTCTAAACTGGAGACACCTCGTCCAATGTTGCCCACATAAGATAAGGTACAACGGGAAACAGGACATAAACACCCACTCACTGGACTATAGGAACACAAGCTGGTTGGTGTCGCTTGTCATTCTCACGAACACCTGGTGTCATCACTATTTGATGATGATACTGAAACACGTTCTCCTGATATCGTACAATGGACTGTGCATTTGCAAGGGCATTCTTTGATAAATGAAAGGGTTTGGTCGCTCTTGTTCAGGGTCGAACAGTCGAGAGTGTAAACGCTTGAACAGCTAAACTAAATGGAAAATACATGTAGTCATACATGGACGGCCGATTTTCGATAATATTTCGGGTAATATGACATTTTTCTTTATAGCAGAAGTACAATATGATGTCATAATTCATGTTTTGACTGCTGAATAAATACAAAACGTATGGTCGAAGTCTGACGTCACTATGTTTTTTATAACATCGCTGAATAAATAACCAAACATTGATTTCATTAACACGTTCGTGATATGTACAATTATAACAATTATTCAATTTTTCCTTGTCTCTCAGATACCGTTGATGAAATGGGAAATTACTACTAACCAATATCTTATACTTTGATACTATTTCAGGGTGAAGTTTCACATAAATAGTATCTTGTTTTAATAGTTTATCTATAATAACATTTCCCAGCATATTGTTTAGCGCCCCAATTTAATCTTACAGATTATAGCATAAACTATTTGAGGAGATCTTAGAGAGAACATCAGTACATTTAACAGGGACCAACAGCTTTCATTATTTATCCATAACAATCACACTGAGACGTTCATATTGCATTCTTATTCAGAAGTACACCGCATGAAAGAACATAGTTTGTGTGTCTCTCGGGCATCTTGGCCGGACAAATATTATTATAGGTGTTAGTAGGGAGGTCAGAACAATGGAGTTCTCCTTTTCAACGAATATGTGACCAACTACAATCTTCGTGGTCACTGCTAACTACAATGCTCACTAGGTAACAGATATTAATGAGTCATGTGTAGCTATGGACATTTGTATGTAGTGGGCCCAGGTTATGGGTATATAGTTCACAGAGGAGGAGAGTCCTTGTAGTGTTACAGCGGATGGATATTGTTTTACCACTGTACGTGGAGGTGGTTATTCAACTATGTCAATGTTATTGTTAAGAATAAGTCCATGATGTTCAATGGACGCATTCACAAATGGCAGTTGATAATCTGTATAAATGTGTTTGGTTTAAATCTCCTTATCGCTATTCCTAAACGTTAATGAGACTAACCATACTAAATGGTGGGTCATCATAGTTACCTAACGCATGCCACACGGGTCTGGATTAATGAAACGAGAAGTGTCAATGGCGTATGTGACAGCAAATTGTCCACGCGCCGCACGTCTGGATCAACGAAATTAGCATGTGGAAGGAAGCCCCCAGTGATCGCCAATGAGGTGAGGTGAAATGGGGTTTAACGTCGGGTCCAAGATTATTGCACTTATATAGCGACGTGCATGTACGTGTGTGTGTTTGTGTGGCTGCTTGTACTAGTCCGTACTGATGCCGATTGATAGTGCTAGCTCACTGAGATACCATGCCGCAGTTCAACATGAATACCCCACTCAGACACAGTATACTGACTCCGAGCCGACCAGTCCTTGTTTTAGCCCCTTAATGCCGATCGCCAGACAGGGTAACAACAAGTACCATCTTTTAACAACTTTTGTTATGACGCGGCCGGGGATCGAAGCCCAGACCTTTCGCTCTCCGGGCGGACGCTCTACCACTAGACCACGGAGGCGGTCTGATCACCAATGAAGCACCTCTCGCTGAACGCAATGAGTGACATCTGTCGCGTCTATAAGAACATGCCACCTGTCTTGCTATGAGCGCCCGGGTGAACACGTGTCTCGCTTAACATTGACATTGATATTGACATTGATATAAGCATTGTTTATTTCCATAAATAACCTTTCAAAGTGGTAAATGAAAATATATACATACAAGAGGGTCATTTCGATAACAGTCTTTCGCAAAAGTAAAAGAGTATCCATTAGATTTTTTTAAGTAACTATACAAACACAATTCTTAATACTGGACTTAAGACGTGTAAAATAATTGTTGCAGTTTGTGGAAATTAGGCTTCACATGATTATACTTTTTTAAGGAAGCTTTGACGATCTATTTCAATGTAGTGAAGGTAGTGAAACTCGTCACCGACAGCAATATTGCAAAGTATTCAAATCCCCTCAGCATAGGTTAAATCTGTCCATCGTCCCCTCTCAACATGTAGAGACTGATTGGTAGTTATAGTGAGTGAGTGAGTGAGTTGGGTTTAGCGCCGCTTTTAACAGTAAGCCCGAAGTGATGCAGGTCTCAGACGTTTACCACTTCGGTGAAACCCAAGAGCACGGGTATGGTGCTGACAAACCTAGAAACATAATCGTGGCGAACCGTGATTCGAACCCACAATCATAGGTTTCTGGCGTGCCCAAGGGACGCAACTCTGCACAGCGAATCGCGGCGCCTTAGACGACTGGGCCACCCGTGCCCCCTGCTAGTTATAAATTTGGTCAAAGGCAACAGAGCGGATCTTCAATAGCGCATCTCTTGTTATAAAAGACAGGCGTCATACGTGTCTTTTGTCACAGAATCCACGGATCTAACAGTACACAGATCGTCAATGGCGTATCTGTTTCTGCACCACCTGGGTGCCGTTGTACAAAACAACCTTAGCGCTACGACTGTTGTAAGTCTATATGTTGAGGTATGGCAGTTACGATCGCCATAGCGCTAAGATCGCTTTGTACAACGGCACCAAGGAGTAGAGTCCCAGAAATAGATTTATTTCAATTAAAAATATGTTTCTACAAAATAGAAATAATGAAATCCAAATGGAGCCCAGAACAATTCTTTGAGGCATTCTAGGCTTACCAAATCATTCTTGACTTGAGTTGGATTCATATTTTATTTATTCTATAGGTTCTTTGACACAGGATACACCTGGAGAGACAGATGGACAAATAGATCCTTAAGAGTCAGTGTAAACGTTTGGGATGAGACAAAACAGAACGCGAGTCCTGCTTATTAATAACATAAATCACTAATTATAGCTAAAACGGATAGAATTATCATTAATCCACCCGCATGTTATCAGAAATGAGCGGACCACTGTAACTTGATAATGCCCTCATATTGCTTGACGACGGGCCATTATCAAGCCCGTTGTTAGGTGACGTCATAGGGTAGAGAAAATGACGTCACATATTATAGTGACGTCATCTGGTTTGTTCTATGACGTTTCCATATTTGTAAAATGTAGTCAGTGACATTTGTGTTGATTGCAGTAAATATTTCAAAACCGATGTATTTGTTTCTTTTTATTTGATAACAAATTCCATCCATTTTAGCTATAATAACAGTAACGCTCTTTTTCAGGACATTGTCATTTGCAGAAGCCCTCGGTCTTTTCAACTGCCCTCCTTCGTCGGGCAGCTAATGGAAGACCTCGGGCTTCTGCAAATGATAATGCCCTGAAAAATAACGTTACCCTTATAGTATCACTAAGACCAGCTTCTTCCAACATGCGTCAATACGTATACAACAAAGACCATATATAAAATAACCCAAACTGTAACTTTTATATATTATTAAACAAAGCATAACGGATATTGCGAACAACAGAGGAAAATAATCAACTGGTACATGGAATATGGTATTACGTTATTTGTCATTCGTTCCTTTGACATTCTATTTTTGCTTTAACAAACCATGACGCGCAGTTCACACAAGTCCACTTTATAACAAACAAAGTACTTGTCAGTCGAGGCGCTTTTGGAGACAACATGATCACATAGTAGCAGTAGACCCGTGATGATCCGGGGTAGAACAGATCTTCAGCAACCCATGCTTGCCGTAAAAGGCGACTATGCTTGTCGTAAAAGGCGACTAAGGGGATCGGCTGATCAGGCTCGCTGACTTGGTTGATGCATGTCATCGATCCCACTTTGCGAGGATCGATGCTCATGATATTAATCACTGGACTGTCTGGTCCAGACTCGATTATTTACGGACCGCCGTCATATAGCTGGAATATTGCTGAGTGCGGCGTTAAACAACAAACCAACCAAACAACCAACATAGCAGCAGTAGCATTGATTTCTCATAACGTACGTTACATCTATGTTACATAAATAAGCACACGTTCCCAATGACATTTTGGTTACACATTCGCATTGTTAAACACGTCACGCGTTACGATGTTCAAATTTAGATTTCTCGAACATCCACCTTTGCTTCAAATTTCCATCGCACGTCGCCATGTGGAGAGAGGAGTTCTCCCCAACTGTTAGACATTTGTCAAACGTCTTCAGGTAGAGGGTATGGTCCTGAAACAGACAAAATCAACATTGTTTAATAGTTGCACATGAAGCGTAGGTCACTACCTGTACTGTAATCAACTTTACATTAAATGTTTATCTTGACGCACTAAAAAGCGAGATATGAATGGTTCTGAAGCCCTGAATAAAAAATAAATATAAATAAACATAAGTTTTGTTTGTTTGTGTTGTTTGTTTGTTGTGTAACGCCGCAATCAGCAATATTCCAGCCTTATGACGGCGGTCTGTAAATAATCGAGTCTGACCCAGACAATCCAGTGATTGACATCATGCGCATTGGAATAAGACATGCATCAACCAAGTCAGCGAGCCTGACCACCCGATCCCGTTAGTTCCCTCATACGACAAGTGAATGAGTGAGTTGGGTGTAACGCCGCTTTTAACAGTATTCCCCATACGACAAGCATAGTCGCCTGTTACGGCAAGAATGGGTTGCTAAAGACCTATTCTACCTCGAATCTTCACGGGTGAAAATAAACATAAGTAAACACACAAAATGTATCTCTTGGTAAAAAATGTCTCCATATTGTATTATGCCTCTGGATCTATATTACAGTTCATGCGAAGTTAGTCTTTGTACAAAATGTAAATTGATAAGACAGTCGATTTATTGAGATTTATATACTGAAGCAGCGAACAGCGGTACACACTCTAGTGACGTCATGCTGTAGTTATTCTGTGGAGTAAAATCACATAATGAATTTTACATTAACTAAGAATTAATCTCAAGATAATTTTGAAGCGTAATTACTCAAAAATGGTATTATGAAATCAGTCTCACCCCGTGGGAGTAATATTTGATAAAGACGGAGGTTTGTTTTGACAATTATTCATAAGATAGAATCAATAAGCATGGTTTTCTGATGCTTAAAATGTGTAACCTATTCAGCACAAGTAGACTCGGGTATAAACAGAGCTTTCAACAATGTGCGCACGAATACTGAGTAGATTGAATCCCGCTCAACTCATTAATACCCACTGCGTTCTACAGAAACCTACCATCGTGGGTTCGAATCCCAGATTCGCCCTGATTATGTTTCTTTGTTTTTTCAGCACTATATCCGAACACGTTTTTCTCACATCAAACTGACTCTCCGAGAGTTAAAATAAATACTGTTTAAAACAGTGATAACCCAAACTAACCCACACATTAGTTGAAACCACCCCAATAATACAGTTTATGTAAATTAATATTCTCAACACTTATACACGGCCGGTTTGATCGGCGGCAATAATAATAATAATAATAATAATAATAATAATAATAATAATAATAATAATGATGATGATGATGATGATGATGATGATGATGATGATGATGATATAATGATAATAGATGAGGTGAGATGAAATGGGGTTTAACGTCGCGTCCAAGATTATTGCACTTATATGGCGAATTGTACCACATGTACCTCTGTGTACGTCCAGCTGAACAGGACGCTCGTGTAGCCTTCGTCGTGGATAAGCTCCCCTTCCTTCACACACAGTCTCTGTGCACTGGAATCTTGCAAAACACCCGACGGCAACAGCTGCCAGATCTGAATCACAACAAGGAACAGGGATACAGCATAGCAAGATGATACCCACATCATCATATACAGAGAATTGAAGAGTTGGTGAACAGACAAATACAGCCACGGCCTCAGTTCCAATGCAGCAAGGACATCGATGCAAGATTATCATGTGGTAAAATGCACTGCATGTAATTTCCGTGCAGGATATTTGTGTTGCATTCATTTTCATTTATTTATTGCGTTATTTTTTAACTTTCAGGGGATATATCTGATCACGCAGTTTTTGTTACTTTAAATCTCTACTTTAAGTCAGATAACGCACGCCTAACTGGACATTCGTAACAAATTATTCGTTGTCACGTACACTATTTGTCGCCTCTTACATCAATCTAAACAGGACTGACAGGTCTGTCAGGAAAGCAGAAAGCGAGTTTAAACTCTTTTCCACCAGCTATCAAGCATTTTGACTTGAAGTATGTGCGTTTTCTTTTTCAAACAGTCGGCAGGGTGAAATTCGTATTGATCAAACAGTGAGGGAGTATGGTTTTACGCCGCTTTTAGGAATATTCTAGCAATATCACGGCGGGGGACACCAGAAATGGGTATCACACAATTTACCCATGTCGGGAATGGAACCCGGGTCTTCAGCGTGACGAGCGAACACTTTAACCACTAGGCTACCCGACCGCCCCTTGAACACACATAAACGAGATGACAACACCACGAATATACCATTGTTGTATCTGTACAATATGCACTCGGATGCCACCTTTCAGAGCAGGACATACTTCTCAAAGACCATGTGTCGTCACTGATTTTCAGGGATCCATTCATTTATTTTCACCGCTATTATCTGAGACTAGTTATTCCTTGGCGTTGACGTATTGTATTTTCTTATTGACAGTTCACGATTTGTAATGACACTGCCAGACACACCTGGGTAGTTTGTTTTCTCATATATGAAGTTGTGAATTAGGTTAATATAACTGATATCGACCATATACAATTTTCTTGAAACAATTCCGTTCTTCCAACCAGACAAGTCACTGACCATGAGCATGACCAGCCCAGCTGTCCAGTACAGTAATACCGTATCGGACCTTTTCTGACCAGGGTCCCGATGGAAGGTTTAACTATACTAAAGAGGTTACCCAATGTAAGATACAAATTTTCTTGGTTCCGAATTATTATGTAGCAGACTTTCAGCTGTTTAATTTGTAACTCGAACGGACAGGTAAGGCGGGTCATTAAAAGATTCATTCAAAGTAAATCAATCGCCAGCTTGAAGCGCTGCAAACGAATTGTCACAGATCCGGCGTTATAAATCGATTAATAATCATTTCGCGACTAGTCACATATTGCTAAATGCAACAGTGAATAAGAGTAGAAACGCACACTCATACTCCGTTTGTTAAAAAAATGGCACACTCACGTGTGTAGTTTTGATGGTTGTCAAATATTTTTAAAGTTAAATAAATGAACAAATATGTAATTCCGTGGACCTATATTGACAACCAAGCAAATTGATTTATTTTGTGTTTCCGTAAACCAAATTAAGCCACCCCACTAGAGAATAACCTGTTGTACATCTTATAGATGTATCATATACATTTTACGTCATTATAATTCTACATGGTAAGCAGCCTAAGAAGGCTGAATTCTATTGATGTAAAATGTATATGAAACGTCTTTAAGATGTACAACAATGCTGTTTACAATGTAGAATTATATTGATGTAAAATGTATATGATACGTCTATAAGATTTACAACAATGCTGTTTAGAATGTAGAATTATGTTGATGTAAAATGTATATGATACGCCTATAAGATGCACAACAGGTTATCTTATATATATGTAAGATAAAAATGTCTACATGACAAGTGATATAAAAATGATATGTCCAGATGTACAATTGAAATAAAAGTTTTGAGATGAACCATGCCATTGCCTTTTCAATCAGTACGCCTGACTTCACTCCCCATTCTAAACAAATATTTGACACTTCACACAATGTAAAATCCAAGATTTGATCCCCAAATATTACACACATATTTTCTATATGGTCGATAATAAAAAAAAACTTTTGACATTTGTAATATCCTCACAATGAAAACATGAAATCCAACCCTGTTACTACTTTTACTAGTTATAATACTTGACACTGTTAAATATAAGACACTGTAAGTTCCAAGTAAGTCCAGTTTTAGCAGTGGCCGAGCAGCATCAAGGAAGTGGAGCGGGCTCACTGCACCTATCTGTAGATGCTTCTTGAGCCTTACTAAATTTAATCTCCTAATTTTAAGTAAGTTCCTCTTATTCTTGTTCAGTATGTTCCATAACTGGCTTTCTCGCTAGCTTCTCATGGGGTTTGGATAACAATAGCTTGGCTATGAACACAACTATGTTTTGTCAACCCGTGAAGATCCGGGGAAGAAGAGCTCTTCAGCAACCCATGTTTGCCGTAAAGCGACTATATGCTTGTCGTTAAAGGCGACTAACGGGATCGGGTGGTCAGGCTCGCTGACTTAGTTGATGCATGTCATCGTATCCCAATTGCGTGGATCGATGTTCATGATGTCAATCACTGGATTGTCTGGTCCAGACTCAATAATTTAGAGACCGCCGTCATATAGCTGGAATATTGCTGAGTGCGGGGTAAAACAACCATCCAACCAACCAACCAAATATGTTTTTGAAAGACTTGATAACTTGTGAAAACGCACAGAGTGCCCCTTTCATCTACTGGGTGTTGAGAGGAAATACACAAACAACTACATGTTTCGAAGCAACTCACATGTTTTTCAACAGAGTAAAGTAATAATAACATACAAAATACCTGGACTAGTCCACAATTAATGTAAGGGGTGCATTTTTCATAGTGTAGGCAAAGTGCACTAAAAACAGCTTTAGTGTAGGTGATCGGCACTGTAGGCGAATAGAGATTGAACCGGCGGTGGCAAATCGAGGAACCCCATTTCACATTAGCGCTGGACGATATCACTGGTTTGTCTTCAGGTTTAGGTGTTGGGTGATACATAATTATAAGCCTTCTGTGTAGTGTCAACCTAAGAATTGAGGGGCGGTCGGGTAGCCTAGTTGTTAAAACGTTCGCTCTTCACACCGAAGACCCGGGTTCGATTCCCGACATGGGTACAATGGCTGAAGCCCATTTCTGGTGTCCCCCGCCGTGAAATTTCTGGAATATTGTAAAACCACACTCACTTACTCATAACAATTGACGTCGTTACATTTTGCGTTTTTCCAGGCATAAACGTAAAAATCGGTGTGTTTAGTTTGCGTAAATACGCTTAAGACGTCATGACCACGCCAATTGAGCTAATTAAACTCCCGACACCCCTACTGACAGATTTGACAGCACCTACCTTGTTTCTACCGGCGTCGAGGCATGAGCAGAGGCTGGGGATTCTGTTCCTTGCCCCACTCAGACACATGGTGGGACTGTCATAGCTTCGAACCTGTGTGTCAAGAGGTCGTAAACTAATGATATTTACGTGTCTCTTGAGGTATATTCAAAATATGTAAATTAAAATAGTTCATGCAATTTCAAATATAATTGCTTTGTGCTATCGTGTTATATTGTTTTGTTCTACTGGAGAAGCAGCTGATAGATATCAGAAATATTCTCTATGATAAACACAACCACTAACATACTGTCCAACATTTCTGTTGCACACGGTCTAATGCAACAGCGAGGCTATTGCTATTTGAAAGAATTTGATTAACGCATTGTTACATTACATACACATTATCGCAATCTTATATTATAGGGGCCACGGGGTCGTATGTTGGTTAAAGCGTTCGCTAGTCATACAGGTTCCCCGGGTTCGATTCCCCATATGGGTACTATGTGTGAAGCCATTTTTTTTTGCGTCGCCGATAATAACATCACTGGAATAAACACAACGTAAAACCTCAATCACACACTCACTCATTTCTCACACTCATATGTAACATATGATAATAATAAGGACATGAAATAATATTTTGTATTTTTCAGATGTCATTGATCTGTTTCAATAAATCGTTTCTTTCTTTGTATTTCAATAGTTTCTTGAAGTTTCCTTTTTGTAAAATGATTGATGTTGGTATGGAGAATTTTGGTTTGTTTCTCGGAAAAACCGTAGTCGGGTTGGTCAGTGTTTTGCTATTTTTTGTGCTTTATTCCTGCCTTATGTAAACATATCAGTATAGTTCGTATCTGGTGAGAAAACTCCTTTGGGTATCTAATAGAGACTGCAGTAGGAAATAAATAGTTAAAATTTTTGCTGCGAGTCGTACCTTTGTTCATACTTAAATATATTGAAACAAGATTTAAATTCTAACACATTTGTCAAGTTTCTAATTACACGCATCGAAGAAAACACCAGTGTGCATGTCCTCACCTCTCCGTAATTCAGAACTGGGAAGATGCGACTCTCCGGGTAGACATTTTCTATATACCAGCGGAAGTCATGACAATGAAGACTGTCCCGCAGTTTCTTCCGGTCAGTAATGTCACCAAAGTTGCTGCCCTAAAAACAGTACGGATTATTTCGTCTTATTTTTGTTTGTTCTTTTAAATGGGATGTGTTTACAATGCAAAAACAAATCTCTGACCCTTCAACACTTTCAAATATGTCTCATTCCTGTCAGCACCACGCCATACGGATCTGTCTGTCTGTCTGTGTGTGTGTCAGTGCGGGCGCAAGCGTGTGTGTGTGTGTGTGTGTGTGTGTGTGTGTGTGTGTGTGTGTGTGTGTGTGTTGTTGTTTTTTGGAGTGTGTGTGTGTGTGTGTGTGTGTGTGTGTGTGTGTGTGTGTGTTGTATTATGTTTCGGAAGGGCAGTCGGGCGTATGACGCATTTCTCAGCAAGTGCTAACCGTTCTAGCACAAGCCCAGCACTGTAATTTTTATGAATATACTTACTAAGGTTTCATTGCGCAATGTTATTGGGAATATTCCAAGATGACAGAACGTTCGAATATCATGGTCATTACAAGTTAAATAGAGATTCATCCAGTATATAAACACACAAACAAACTTTCTCTAATAAGCTCTCCACCGTGATATTGCTGGAATATTGCTAAAAGCGGCGTAACACCATACTTCATCTTTCACTCACTCACTCACTCACTCACTCACTCTCTTGGTAGATCTAACACGTGAGTACATCCCTTGCTCCTGCGTTCGTGTGAGGTTCCATGTCACAAGCAGTCACTGAATCAACGTGCTATTTACCGGCATCAATGAAGTCTGTTCATAGAACAAGTACTTGTACTCGTCAAGCCACACTTCCGCCACCCTCATGGAGTTGGTCAAAATAGGCTTTTCTTTTCCTTCCCACCTCACGGGATTTCTCATGCGGAACACGTGACCCACGTGGGAACACGGTAATATCTCCAGTGTTCCATTGCACATCCATATCTGAAACGCAATAAGGTTATTAACAGGAATAGTAACATATTAGATCAAATTCTACCATGAATTTGGAAATTAATCGATTCTGATTGGTAAATCAGAGGCTATTAATCAAAATAAACCCCCTCTGATTGAAACAGCTGGTTTGACGGCCGCACCACCGCGGAAGCTAACATTCATAGAATAGTACTTTTTTCAGTCATTGTCGGTAGGCATATTTATACCTACAATAATTATACCTACAATTATAGATTACAAAATGCACGGTTGCGGTTACTACAATATTCAAAGGATGTTTTGCAATACATTTCGGGATGAAAACACGATATAAATCTACAAAGAGAATACATTTAAGTTTTGGAGACAACAGAGAGCCTTGAATTTGGCGCTTTTCTATATAAGACTTTTATGAGCGATAAGGCGTCACAATGAGCGATATGGCGTCATAATGGTTACGTGCGATGTAGAACGAAAGCCTTGCAAAGCTTGCTTATTTTCTTTAGGGATGCCCACCTCATGTTAGCTAACCAAGTTGCAGTGCTTATATGATATAAATGCCTATGTTCGAGTGAAGTATTGCGGTGTAAACAAACTGCTGTTGTCGGTGATTCCGTAATTCAGATCGACAACCCAACACTGCACTCAACCCATGCCGCTTCACTCAATATATTTGCCAACACCAAAGAGTTCGCGTTTTATTGAGTCATGGTAGAATGGAGATAAACATACCGTGTTTTCACTGTAGAGCTAGGTTACCTGTAGATTTAACCCCGCTAAATTTAACATTAGAAACCTCACGCTGCGCGTTCGGTTCCAAATTTAATTTAGCGCGGTTTTATCTACGGGTAACCTATCTCTACATTGAAAACACAGTATGTTTATCTCCTAAATATATTTGTGTACGAGTTATGACTGAAGGTGATGGGTAATATTGATTATATTTTTACTGTGTTTACAACTTTGACATTACTTTTTTCCATTGTTCACGAGAGTGCGTTTCCGAATACGATTATCTACAAGCAAGGGTTGTAGGATAAGCGAGATTGATTATTGTACTTGTATTAGTAGCATACGTCAAATATCCATATAATGAAGACAACGATGACGCTCCTATTAACATCGATGCTAAACATTTTTCAATGAATAAGAGCAACATTACACTATCCATAACCATAGGAAACATCTGCTAAAAGCATAGTCCAGTCTACGAGTGTGATTATATCATAAGCATATGCCAAATGAGCAGTATGAAATAGTGATGACACCAGGTGTTAGCGATAACATGAGCTTATCCTGCCCCACGGTTGGTGCCCGTTGTTCACAAATGTAGGTCTCAAACATCTGTTTGTTAACACATTATCGCCTGATTCGAAGTGCTTCCTGCTGTTTCGTAAACGCAGAACCCGATTCGAATGAATACACTGTTTGAACATACCTTGGAACAATTATTCCACGTAAACAGAAAACGGAAACTTTTCTGATAACAACGTCTAGCTTACTGCATATAACAATGACCCAGACATGATGCTGTACGTTCCACCGGTGGGGCAGAATACGCTCACCTTTTCGCGGACATCTGGTATCATTACTATTTGATAGAGATTCATAAACACATGCTCATGATATAGTCGGAATAGTAAATGGACTCTGCTTTATGCAGAGATTTCTATTGGACATGGGAAGGGTTTTGTCGCCTTATTTACTCGCCAACACCAATTGAGTTACGACATACTTTGAAAGACAGTTCCATGTTCTCTCCACCCCAGTACAAGAGACCCGGGTCATACGTCCCCAGGGTGGTGAACCACTGTCTGTCTATAGCGAACAACCCACCCGGCATTGTAGGGGATCTGAAAATCAATAAAATGTCACATTTATCATCACCTGCAAATAAAAGTTCCATTTAACAATAATTAATGTGATCAATATGTTACAGGTTCAACTATTAATATTTTCAACTAAATTCAACTATTGATGTTATGAATATATTACCAGTTACTCTACTTGTATTTTGACTTTCCTCGCTTTTGAAACTGCCAGTTATACTTATATTTTCTTTCTTTTTAATGCAACGAGTACGATTTCATATGTGTTAAATAATCCATGTACATCTTTAATCATGAAAGGGGGCCTTAGACCACCTGGCCTTCTGTATCCGTCTCTAAAGATGACAAAGACATATTCGTGTCAAGAAAGACAGGCAGCGGTAAATCACTTTCATACGAAGGTGTACTAGTTGTGGATGTTGATTTTGTTAAACGTTCACTGTTTTGACCATCGATAGGTGCCATATAGTCCAGTCATATTTACCAGAGGAAAGTGGATTAGATGTGGTAAGGGTGGAAACTAGCTAGACTTTGTTTAAAAGGCAAGTGGACGCTCTTGCCTCAGGAAGATGGATGTTGAAAAAAAAAGATCGTATGAAGGCGAATCTGGGAGTCGAATCCACGATCATAAGATCCTGGCACACCAAGGCAAACACCTCCTTACAGTGAGTTTTCTTCAACATGGTCCCCTCTAATATCTACCTGACGGGATCAGCAGGTGTCTTCAGCTTGCTCTTCCTCTCATCGTTGATGCTTCCCCAGTTGAAGTGCAGCATCCGCCACCTGAACACTCCAAACTGTTCCAACATTTGGGATATTCCTGTTCCGAAGTTGTCAGAGCTGATCACATCAATTTGAGGAAAGGGAACATTCCTCGGATTCTCCTTGATACGATTGAGTAGTGGTTCTAACCATCCTAGAAATGTACGTTATTTCCATGTCTTAATATACATGTCATCAAACATTTAGATCCAATCGTTTCCGAGAGAAATCATTTCCTAAATGTAATGCAAGTTCATTCCACATCAATGCTGATGGTACATCTATGGAACACAGGTTCTAGTGTCCTACATCATGTCCCTTGTACCATCAAATTATTTAATATTCATCAGCGAAAATTAATGTTTCATAAAACGTTTCTTACATATTATTGTTTCCTGTGAAAACAATGTACACACAAATATTCCAATGTACACCGGGTCAATACTTAAAATTATTCTACAACTGGGTATGTATGTATGTGTTTATTTCGGAAATGTAAACCACTCGGCCCATCATTCATAAACAATTCACAAACAATATATTTATGAATTGTCCTCATTTTTACATTCAGTACATTACCATCAATATATATCACCAACAACTGTTATTAATTCATATCATATTGTGTTTCAATCAATTGTTTTCTCACACGGAAACCGTAAAATATGTATGCACCAAATTTCCATGCATGTTGGTTGTTATTTATTTGACACACTGGGTAATCAATCATCACACAGTAAGGTAGACTTTTTAACATATTCCTTTGAATAGCACTTGATGACGATTGACGATTGACACACATACACCGATCAACGAGTGAAGTTGCGATTATTGCATCTCGTTATGATTGTTATTACCACTTCAGCAGATATTATCATTCGACAACCCGAAAACCCTGGATTACATTCGACATAATATTACCTGGGAAACACTCGATATGAGAGTCTAGAAACACCAATACTGGACCAGAAGCCTCTTCATATCCAGACAGCCTCGCTCTGATTAGACCCTGATGATCCTTGTGTCTGACAATCTTCACCTTGCCAAGTTTTGACATGTATTTTTTTAAAGGTGTCTTTAGATGATCTGCAAAAGGACCAAGAGACAGTGTTTGGTTTAAAAGTGTTCAGTCAAGATGTGTGATCGTCAATACAAAACGGGTTATCACACATCTTATGAAACATTTAAATTACTTTTGTGTTTCAATAGACAGGTAACTTGTTTGTTTAAACGGCTTTTCAACAATCTGTACGTATCAGGTCAAACCGGAACTCAATGCTTCATTTCCATGACTAATTGATCTTAGTATTTGCATTTCTGGAAATATAAATATATAAAGCATACTCTTTTGTGACGGTGGAATATCGATACCTGACATCTATCTCATGTTGAGAATCAGTGTGGTTCAGCCATTGTTGTGGCATCTTCCAAAGACAAACCTATGATTCTGGAGTGATTCTCATCTTTCATTAGGTAATCAGGTAAGTAAGGTAAGTAAGATTCATTCATATTCGTATTTCTGTCACAATATCAGGAAAGTCCAAACGTAAAGGAAATCAAGCTAAATGTCAACAGGAATTATTTGCATTATGATATAGTCGGAATCTTACAAGCTGAACAAACTCTGCTTTTAGTACAGATTTCTTATGATTCTTGAATGGTTTTTGTCGCTTTTATTTACTATTTTCGCTGGGGTATTCAATCAAATATTTTTTCTTAAGTATACCTTGAGTTGATGCATCATCAACGAGAATTATCTCCCTTATGAGATGTTCAGGAGATTGGTCAAGGACGCTGTGGACAGATCTGAGGAGAGTGGACCAAGCCTCGTTATGGAAGCAGATGATGACACTAGCCTGAGGTAGATCGGCTGGATACACACGTGACTTACATCTGGGAAGAGTATAAAATATCTTGATTAAATACCTGTGTGTGATATTATTCCAGAGTATTAGAAATGTACCGACCGGTGGAGATCCGGGTAAGCTTGTCCTAAGAATCGGCTAATGGGATCGGGTGGTCAGACCCGCTGACTTGATTGATGCATGTCATCGTATTCCAATTGCGTGGATCGATGCTCATGTTGTTAATCACTGGATCGTTTGATCAAGACTCGAGTATTTACAGACCGCCGTCATATAACTGGACTATTGCTGATTGCGGCGTAATACAACAAACAAACAAAGAAATGAACCTTTCACGTTCATGGCTCGGTTCATTAATATATACTGTATTTGATTTGTAGCTTTTAGGAAGTAGATATTTTAATGATGGGTTTTATATATACATATTTCCCACATTTAGGAGAGCTTTTGTAACAGCCTGTTATTCCTGTGTTTGTCACTGACTTTTGTAAATGTTTCGATCCTACCCTTCTATCAGAAGATTCCTTTTCGACTTTCCAGGTTGTTATTAAAATGGACCTCATCCATTATTGTCGTTCAGGTATCAGTTCGTGAGAGGAAAACGCAAATACATATGTGAGTAGTTATTTATGGCAGTTATTAATTTGAATCAAGTTCATGATAAAGCATATTGATATAAGTATATACAGGGTATTCACAAAAGCGTATCTAAAATGCATACTCTTCAACTCTGTTATCCAGTAGACGCCGGTGTATGGAGATCCGATCGCTCACCAACTGATTAAAACCATTTCTCTTCTTTCCCTCTTCATATTGAAGTTTCTCTGCCCCTGTTGGCTTGTAATTGAAAGCAGTTCCCCATTCACCTGGGGAAATAATGGGTTATAGCTAAACTGCTAAGCGATGGTCCATGACAATTAATCACTACAATTAGTATTATTATTGTCAAAATGATCATGAGGGGCACGGGTGGCCCAGTCGTCTAAGGCGCCGCGATTCGCTGTGCAGAGTTGCGTCCTTTGGGCACGCCAGAAACCTATGATTGTGGGTTCGAAAACCGGTTCGCCCCGATTATGTTTCTAGGTTTGTCAGCACCATAAACCATGCTCGTGGGTTTCACCGAAGTGGTAAACGTCTGTGACCTGCATCTCTTCGGGCTTTCCTCCCACATTAAGCTGACGAGCCGTGATATAACTGGAATACTGTTAAAAGAGGCGTTAAACCCAACTCACTCACTCAAAATGATCATGAAAATCAGCATATTAAACATTTTACCTAGAAGCATGCTAGAGCCATAACTGACACCAAGGAGATCCAAGTGTAAACGTCCCATGTCCTACCTGGACCATTCTCCGGACTGTGCTCCACAAACGGCGGATATGTTACATTACTGTCTTCTCCTCCATGTTCCTCCACATAGTATTCCACAATGTGCGTGTCATGATCATGCGCCTGTTGGCCCCGTTGTTCTATTTCTGTTTCCGGGGGCACACCATTCCGTCTGTTTGTCGCCACTACGTACACTGCTTTCCGTGTTCTCTGTGCAACATTGCCAGGGTCAGAGAACACATTATTGTCAGCAGCTCGCTCCAATACGTTTGTTGTATATATGCATACCAAGAAGAGACAGAATAGAGCAACATGAATTACCTCCAGCGGAAGTCGATTCATATTGAGGATGAAGTGAAGAATGAGAGCACTCATTAATTATGTCTCACTACTGACCAACAAAGAAAATCCTGCAGCAAATGTAACCACCATATAGTTATAAATACCGATTCAGAAACCTGAGGACATTTATTACTACTTCGCACAATCGGTGCCTTCCGCTAGGGTTCCTTTCAATATGTTATTGCACAAAAAAGTACTTTATTCTCAAATATATTGTAGAAAGATCAATATATCATTTAAACAAATATCAATTGACAAAACGTACATTGTTCCTCAATTATCCTCATCGGGTTTTACAAACATGTGTATGATGTTAATTTTGATGGAATATGTTGATATAATTTTGAGATGCTCCCCAGAGTTGTATGTCGAATTCAGCATGTGTGACATAGATCAGAACTTTTAGAAATATCTATATATTGACAGTACATGGACCAACACAGCTCATATCATGGACATAGGACACATGTACTTAGATCATGCAATATATGCACTAATACAAATGTTGACCTTATATCGATTAAAACCTACCACAAACATAAAGGAGGACATAACTAAGCCATATTGTATAATTCTAAACCGCATACTTAATACATCGACTGTTTTTAAAAGATGTCACATCAGCTGCAAAAAGGAAGCAAAATTTAATAACTGATGAATTATTGTTAATATCAAAGTTGATTAAAGGTATTAGGTTTGTCATCAAAATCGATTATCATATAAGTATTTGTCAGTGCCTCTAGGGTATCAAGAACTACCTTTGCGCACACGCTCTAACCAGTGATCTAACCGTTTTAGCAAAAGCATAATATCCAAAAGTTCAAAGGTCCTGTTCAAATGGTACTAACCAATTGTCAACTGGGTACCAATTTGTTAGAAAAAAAGAAAGTCTATATGTGAGTAAAAAATAAAGTGGCACACCTAACATTTGAGTGAGGTCCCCAATTTAAGTGAGTGAGTTGAGTTTAACGCCACTTCGAACAGTAATCAAGTTATATCACGGAGGAAAGCCCGAAATGACGGTGGACATTTACCACTTTGGTGGATCCAACGAGAACGGGTAAAAATACATAGAAACATAATCGCGGTGACCCTGGAACCACGATCACAGCTTTCTGGCGTGTCCAAGAGACTATATCATAAGCATGTGTCTTTGAAATAGTGTTATATGACAGCATATCTTATTGATTAACAATGATTGTAACTGTTTTACATTGTTTCGGTTGAGATTCGGAAGACGTTCATTTCAGTGTGTTTGGACAGTGATCAGTCGTCGGAAAGTAACTATATTTAGATGCTAGTGTGCTGTGTAAACGTCCGGTCCGGTATATGTTGTAGAATGTTGTGGAAAATTCTTTAAAGGGCAAGTTCACACGGAAATGAACCTATTTTTCTTGTACTTTTTCCACATTAAAAGTGTTAACCTAGTAGTGTCATAGACAAAAATATAAAAATATCACAACTAATTAACATATTTTTTGCATTAAAACGATCTATATTTTTCACATTTACCAAGTGTTCTATTTCCATAACAAAAACACCATGGCTTATGCCCCTTGCAATATGACGTCATTGGTGCCAATTGATAAACATTATGACGTCATCATGCTTTGTTAGAGCCGCTTCACGTGGTGTAGGTACAGGTGTGTTTCTAGCGTCTCAGATGCCAGCCAGCATAGTGTTATGCTGAGTCACCACTGCGCCGGAGTGTGTCGTAGGCCATGTTGTTTTACCGCAAACTGGTACTTGATATCTTTTGCGTTGAGAATAGACAGGGACCCAGTTGAATTGGCACCAATTACGTCATAATCTAAGGGGCATAACTCAGGCCTATTTAGCTCGAAAAACGAAGGCCTCATAACGGCATATCATTTTCACACTATTGGGAGCTTCCTACTTTCACTGTGAAAAAAATGAGTTTATATTTTCAAACACAGATACTAACTAATTCTAAAATTGCGTTTTGTTTAGAAAAAGAAAGAAAGTGATTTTTGCGTGTACACTTCCCCTTTAATGTTCTAGTGCCGATGGACTGGCGAGGGCACGGTGGAATTTTCCAGTAGCTAGGCAGGTTGTATGTGAGGGGCCAATAGTGTGTCTACGTATCTCTCCAGCAGGTTCATCACTTCGGAACCAGTTTTCATGCAAGGATCGCTCATTATTACTGATTCCCTGCCTAGCCCATCTCGGAAGCTTGACCACTGTCCCAGCTGGGTGAATATATAGAGGTTATCACGCGAGTGTGTTTGGGGATGGTAAATATCCTGTTTTAGGAATAAACACTATGTATTTTTGCTCGCCAAGGCATGCTAAATACAATGTTTATTCCTAATGCAGGATATTTACCATCCCCAAACACACAAGCGTGATAACCTCTTTATCATATAATGTCATTCTTTAATTCTGTGCTTCAAAATCGCTTTCCCTCTCTGACAAACATTACCGAAATATTGCGAGTTTTCCTGGAATGCGCGCATAAATATTTATTACGTCACAGGGTAAGTGATGTGTCAGTCGGACAGTAACAGTAGCCAATATAGTTCCAAATGAAATCTGTTTCTTATACAGTGGCGAAGCAACGTATACGCAAAACAACAATTGTTTTTAATTGCCTTTCGCGGCAATCCATCGGTCTGTCCGCTAGAGTAACTGCCCTTTGTCAAAGGGAAGCTACTCTAACCCTAGTCTATGAGACGTCACGGCCACGGTCAGACGTTGTTGACAGTCGGTCTGTCCTGTCATAACGTTATGAAGTGTAGTCAAATGTACACACAGCGACAAAACGAAACAAGGTATCAATTCAAACATATTTCGGCCAAATACAACTATTTTAATTTGTGGAGAAGGTTTCAAGCCGCAGAGGTCTACAAGCACAGATATGGTTACTGATCCCGCTTGGCTAGGCCTCGTGCCCTCGCAAAATTGTTTCGAAATTTATGTCTCCAAAGTTGCCAAAACTTATAAAATGCCTTAGCTACGTCACAGTTTGACACTGATTTTCAGTATATTAGACTGTTCTTTTGATAATGATAGCAATTATCCCTGTAGTTTATCCAGATTCCCGATGGTTAATTCTGACTCGATCGCCGAATGACGAGGGCGACGCCATGTTTGTTTAAAAACAGTGAAAGTAGTCCCTACTTGACCGTTGATATTTGCATCTCTATCCGCATATGACCCAAACGGATATCGTTTTTATCCGTTGGCTTCATCCTGCCGAGAAACCTACCCATTATATGATAAATATTATTATCACTGACTTTTGCTATCACCACTGTATTTGCGTTTTTTGATACTGACCACTGCCACCACATTATTTATTGCCATTTAAAATTGTACTACGACTCTATTGTGTTCCGCCATTGTAAATGTTGTGCAGTAATTTGTATTGATTTATTAACTTACTGAATTTGGTACTACATGTTTGATTGTACACCACTTGCTGGTTGTTTGTTGATTTCACACTAGGTTATTTTACGTACAGATTTCTGGCTTTACATATTGTTTTATTTGGGAATCGATATGTACCAATAGAGACGATACCAGGTGTTCGCGAATATGTGAGCGTATCCTGACCCAAAGAGGGTACCTGTAACAAACACATGCAAGAAAACATGGGAAAATATGATACAAGTCATAATAGGTAATTGCATCGGATAACATTTTTGCCACTGATGCGTCAACTATATATCACCATAAGGACCATTTTATAAGCTTTATTAAGGCCTTGACTGTTGCAACCCTGATCAAACAATTTTTGAGCAAAAGTGGTATGACGCTCCTTGAAATCTTCGTAGAAAGAGGATTATCGATCGTACCTCAGTTTGACATAAGTGAACTTTGGAGAAATTCAAGCAAATCCTTGGAGTTTTGATAATCCACATGGTGTATTAATTGAGGATAGACTGTGGATTCTTTTCGGTTCATTGAGGTAAGGATGTGAAAACATTTGTAAGAATCCGCTACGCCCTCTTTGCACTGAATATAATTTTGGTCATTTTGTTCAGTTCATGAAACGATCACATTAAGTTGAATGATAATATGCAAAGTTTCAAATTAATAGAAAACGAGAATGTTTCATTTGTATGTGGAGGTTACCAAAAAAAACACCTTCATGTAATACTAATGAAATGATGGTCCTGTGGTCTGTGGCCAACACGATTCTCCACGGCATACGAGCTAGGATCTCCCGTCAAATCCCACGGCATCCTACTTATGTCATGATCTTTGGTTTATCATCACCACACCTGTCATCATCGGCATTCCTGAACATCTTACTTTCGGCTTCCCAACATCAAAGTGAATTAGGAATCGAACAAACACTATACAAATGAGTTCTCTCAGTCCAAAACATGCATGGTTGATATCGATCGTATTTGGTTTTACAAGGAAGTACGCATTCTTTTCTGTACTCTTTGACCTCCACCTTAAAGGTAATTGACCCCGAGCATTATAAGAATTCACGGACAAGTAATGTGTCTGAATAGCGAAGGAACATGCTGTCAAATATCTCCCTAGGCAGTTCCTCAATCTTGGCAAATAAGTAGCAGCTACCGCTTGAACGTAATGTATATGTAACCATTGGTAGCTTCAAGTCAAATATCAAAATGTAGTAGTTTCGTCCCTTTTTTTCATTTCCACATATGACCGGCGGCATTCGTGCAAGTACACCCCTACTACATCGTGTGTGAATTCATTGGGATATGAATCTTGTTAGAGTGAGGGTCAAGCTTTATCACGTCGGAGCTTACCACTTTCACCCACCGTTTGGTCCTCACGTTCATGAATATTCATACTTCTGTAAACCCTGTTATATGAAAGACTTTAGTGTATTTTAGAGTTAAACAATGGTTGTAACACTATTGCATTGTTTCTGTTGAGATTCGATGAAAGCTCATTGCATTGTATTTGGACAATGATTAGTGGTACATGTCAGGTCTGTAGTACTATATAGTGTAAGCAGTGGTAAGGAAATTACTATATTTAGGTGCTAGATGTGTAAACGTCCAGAATACCGTGGACTGAGATAGAGCGACAGAGAAACATGTGGGATATTCTGTGATGTGATAGCACTGTGTGGAAGTTGCCAGAATCGAGTTAGACTGTAGAGAAGAAGACAAGAGCGTGCCTCTCGTGTCTCTCACACATTGCACTACATCAAGACCAGCTTTCGTGTGAAAGGTCACTCATCGTCCAAGATTCTCGGCTATTCTCGGAACACCTTGACTACTGTCGTCTCTTGGTGAACATGTCATGATCACTGACGTTTGCTATCACCACTGTATTTTTGTATTTGATACTGACCACTGTCGTCATATTGCATACTGTTATTGAATATTGTACTACCATTGTAATTGCTGTACAGTAATAGTGTTGATTTGTTAACCTGGTGAATTTTGTAATACATTTGTTGATTGTAAACCATGTGTTGGTTGTTTTATTGGCTTCACACTAAATTCTTTGACGTACCGATTTCTGGGTTAACATATTGATTCAACTCACACTAAGTGAAAATATAAAAAGTCAACGTCAGAGAATAAGCAGTCTCTATCACCAGACGAGAAAGATTCCACTATGTGTAATAGGTAAACATATTATAAATGGTTCACTGAAAATTAGTGATGTCACCAATCGTTTGTGAAAGATGGAAAGCGTGTCCTGCTCTATCGGTAGCACCCGTCACTCACACAATCTTTTTATTTAGAACCACGAAGAATGAAAACACAGTAATTCTTCTATTTGGTATGCTTGACCTCACATTTACACTGACAGCCATACAACAACCAACTGTGTTGTTTGGATATTTATTTTTTCAACAAAAGAGAAGTGACATAAGTGGATGTATGCTCAAAACGTCCTTCAGTTACATCCTTTGTAGTTTCATTACAATACATAGATTAGAATAATATCATTAGATGAGTAAATACGTCCCAGTGATAGTGTGTCGCAAAATACGTTTTACTTCTTGTGCAAGACGTCAAAATGGCCGACGCGATCAACGTGACGGTTAAGATTTCAGAAGTTACCAATGACCTTGGCATGGAGTGATTGTAGGTGTTAATCATCATTGATCAATTGACCGATCATGTGAAGGTGACCATAACGATGTGACGATTTGGTGCTGAAGTAATTTCGTAAATTGCTGTAGAATGTGGTTGACTGTCACAAGAAGTGTATGCTAGGATCGAGTCGATAGGTTGGGTTTGCATTGTTGTTCACCATGGTTGGTAGCAACGAGTATATTCGGGCATGCAGTGAAATCCAATGTATGCAAAGGTGAACGTAAATATGTTCCCCCTGAACGCTTGTTCTGATTGAATCGAAATACAAGTACCAATAGTGTGCCTGTGGACTTTCCCTTCGGGTATATTGTTCCACAGGAATAAAACTCCTGGTATATCGATTACATGAGACCAATTGTTCAGGGTGAACATATTCACGCTCAACCAAACGCCCTGACTTCTAGATTAATATTAAAATGAATAGAAGCAAAGGTTCTGTATTTATTCGTGAGTGGGAACTCCCATGGGGTTTCTCAGGAATGTGGAAGTCGACTTTCAGTGCTTAAGTGATTTAGAGTGTACAGCATAGTACGTCAGTATCACAGTCTGTGACCAGCTTCGGATCCAGTGTGTATCGTGTAAACTTCACAGTAAATATCGATTCACTCACCAAATGAAAATGTCAACTTGACTGGCGTACATTTTCCATTTTACATCTCAATAATCTCAATAATGGCCACATTGAGTGAGACAAAATATGGCAGTAAATGCGACTATGCTTCCATATTCGACGTCAAAGACAAGTGATAAAACATGAACGTTTCGGCTAAAAACTATTGCAATTCGGGGTGTATCCTGTTCCTTCAAAAACGAACTTAAAACTACTTTTAAAAAATCTTTCATTAGTCAATATTAAATTTGCTATTATTTTTGTGTTTCAAAAGCAAAAAGCATGTTTCAACTGTCCAAATACCATATATCTAAGCGTCATCCGGCCCCACAGTGTCAAAGACATATTAAGATTGAAAAATTAGATAGAACCCTAAGTCCGAGTGATCGGAGGCCAATAATTCGTTGGCCTGACTTTTCATCCAATAGAAACAAGATCTGATAATGTCTGCACATATTTAATTTCTTAAACAAACGGCTTAACATACATAATAATACACAACAATCACACTTAAAAAAATCATCATGTAGTTACATATTTGCAATTGCCAACATTTTAGGTTTTATGAAGCTGAAATTTAGATTTCTCAAACATCCATCTTTGTTTCGTAGTCCCGTCGCACGTCTTCACAAAAAGGGTTGAATTGTCACCAGCTGTCAAACATTTGTCCGAGTTTCTCAAGTGAAGGCTTCTGTCCTGAAAATAAAGCACTAAAAATCAGGTCCTGAGTGTAATGTGCATATTTTCGCGATGCACAGTATGTACAGGCAACTGTCGTTATCAGAAGGTGACTTAGGTACCTGGAGATAAGAAAATACGAATCCATTTGAGAGTTAAGTTGGAGTTGAGTATCATTTCGAGATGACTTATGTCTTGACAAATTTCTTTAACATATACCGATAGTAATCAGTTGAATGATTGTCCATGTGTCTACTGATGCTTTTGTATTGAATGAGCGTTGTGGCGTCACAGGATAATTAAGTATTTTGCTGAAGAGAAACACTTCTTGGCACACTTTCAGAGGCACAAAGGTAGGAAAGGTCACTCGTGTGACCATACAGCCACTATTTACCGAATATTCTATTGTATATTGGCAAGGAATATATTGTTATACAAATCAGAGGCTGCCCATTCATATGATTGTTCGGCGAAAGTAGGCTCACACCTCTGTGTACGTCCAGTTGAGCAGATCATCCTTTAAGCAACGGTAATCACTGATCTTCCCTCCCCTGACACACAGTCGTCGGTTAATGTGACCCTCTACAACCCCAACCGGGTATAACTGCCAATACTGAAACAAAAATATGAATCAAATATCTATTCATGCAACAATTTCTTCATATATATAATATGTCAGCAGATAGCTAGAGTGATAAATTGCAACATATACCATGCACACAACGTTATTCGTTCATCAATCACTTGAATACAGGAAATGTTGAGATGTACCGGTGACATTTATGACATTGGACTTGAAGCAAGCCAACTGTTGCCATACTTTATTTGCCATACTTAATATGGCTGCATTGGATATTAAATTTAATTACCTCCCTTTTCATATCAAATAGTGGGCACCGCTGGCCCAGTCGTCCAAGGCACCGCAATTAGATGTGCAGAGTTGCGTCCCTTAGGCACGCCATAACTATGAAGGTAGGTGCGTATCCCGGCTAACCCCGATTATGTTTCTATAGGATTGTCAGCACCATAAACCATGCTCGTGGGTTTCACCAAAGTGGTAAACGTCTTTGACCTACATCATTGTGGGCTTTCCTTCCACCTTTAGCTGAAACGCCGTGATATAACTGGAATACTGTTAAAAGCGCCGTTACACCCAACTCACTCATATCAAATATGTATGCACTATGGGTACCTCGTCAGAATACAAATCGTCATACAATCCATGGGACTACACATTACAACTTAGGGAACTTTGTTCTTTTTTATTTTAAAATATAAGTTGACGTGGCCCACAAATCTAAGGCGCAACACCACGCTGTGCATAGTTGCGTTCCTTATGCATACCAGGAACCTATTACCATGGGTTTGAAATCCAGATTCGCAGTGATTATGTTTCAAGTTTCTCTGCACCATACGCCATGCCGATGTTCGTGGGTTTGACCAAAGTGGTAAACGTCTAACACTTTCAACACCTAGGGCTTTTTTGCCTCACTAGTCACGCATGCCATGATATGGCTGACATATAGTTGAAAGCAGTAAAACGAAACACACTCATCCACTTACAGACGTGTAAACGGGAAAGTGTAAGGCTGAATGTCGAGAAACAAGCCCGGAAAGGAGGGGAGCATATTCCGGATGTGTCAAGTAGAGGGTTTTATACGCACCTGCTCCCGTCCACCGCCGTGACAAGGACGTAGGCTTGTTCCGTCCCTCCTTGTCGCACTCACACACAGAGTTCGGTTTGAAACGCTTCGGATCTGTGGGAGAAGAGTTTACCTATCATGCATGGGTGCTACCTTTAAGAACACAATCATCAAAATGTTTTCGGGGCACGGTAACCTAGTGGTTAAAGCGTTTGCTTGTCACGCTGAAGACCCGGCACAATGCGTGAATCCCATTTCTGGTGTCCCCCTCCGCGATATTGATAAAAGCGGCGTAAAACTATACTCACTCAAGATGTTTTCCCTTTTATACGGCATATATTTACAATTTATTTTACATACGGAATCTCCACCATACTGCACAGTTTGACCGGGGACTACTGAGTGAACACATGTGCATTAAGGATATATTTTAAATCAAATGATTGCCATGTTTGTCTACATTTAAATCATATGCAGACTGTTTCTTAAACGTTATGTATTTGTTACATATATATGGTGGTGGTTAACATAGTTGGTACTGTAACTGATATAACTTTACTATGTTTGGTCATATCTGATTAATCCTATAGATGTTGTAGAAATACAATGAGCAGTATACTTAGTTGCAGCAGCTGTTGTGTTTTGCATGTTATCTTGAATGTACGACATTAACATGTTATTCATGCGTTAACGAAATTGTGAGGGCAGCATTCTAGTTGTTAATTTGTTTGCTCCTCATGACAAAAATCCGGGTTTTATTCCCCATATGGGTGAATTTCTGTCCTTATCCGCCGTGATATGGCTGGAATATTGCTAAAAACCGGTACTTTACTCTAGTAATGAAATTACAATACTACGTTACGTTAATCTATTCCATTTCGAAGCAGTGATACGTACATGGAGTTTACATATTGCATGTTAATCCAGAATTACAAAGAGTATTCTTTGCCACTTTTAGCAATACTAATAAGAATGTCCCAACCTCTCCTGCGTTCAAGACCTTGACGATAGGACACTCCGGGTATACATTTTCTATGTACCAGCGGAAGTCGTGACAATGAAGATTTTCGCGTAGTCTCTTCCGGTCGGTAACGTCACCATAGCTCCTACCCTGCAAAAGAGAAATGTTTACTCCTAGGTGATATACATGCGTATATATTTAATACAAAGGCATTTATGGAAAGATGTGATAGCTCGTGCAGGTCAACACAAACAAAGAACTATGCAGCTAATGTCCCCGCAAGAAGATGACAAGAGAGCATCACGTTACAACCGTGACAGTAGTGTTTAGTTACAAGGTGGGGGATGTACAATCTGGCCTGACATGTCCACCCTGGACACCCATTACCGACTTGTAACGTCTACCCACAGATGATGGTTTGTTTTTGTTTAACGCCGCACTCAGCAATATTCCAGCGATATGACGCCGGTCTGTAAATAATCGAGTCTAGACCAGACAATCCAGTGACAATCATCATGATCATCGATCCGCGCAATTAGGATACGATGCCATGCATCAACCAAGTCAGCGAGCCTGACCACCCGATCCCGTTAGTCGCCTCATACGACAAGCGTAGTCGCCATTTACGGCAAGCATGGGTTGCTGAAGACCTATTCTACCCCGGATCTTCACGGGTCACCCCCAGATGAAAGCAGATGATATTGATTGTTCTGCTGTCCTTCCTAATTAGATCAGGAGGACGGCGAACGTCTTTAGTCATGGTTGCGTCTGATGGACATGTCGATCAAGGATGATCGAGGACAGATCTGGCAAAGAGCTATATTGTTTCAACGTTGTTTCTTCAAAATATTTAGGTAATCGTGAAATTCTCGGAGAACATGGGTCTGACATTGTCTTTCATCCCCGACGGATTTAACTGTTTAACATGACGTTCAAAAACTTCATCCATGTTACGAACCCCAGTCTTACTGCCTAAAATGTGAACGACCTGACCTGACCTGACCTGACCTGAAGGGGCATTATGGTGGATACCTTCCCATGCTACCACACCTATACCGTAAATGTCAATTTCATCTCGCCACGATATGGCTGATATATTGCCGATGTGACCTTAAACTTTAACTCACTCACTCACTGGCCGTAAAATGCGACTATGCTTGTAGTAAGAAGCGACTAACGGGATCGGGTGGTCAGGCTCGCTCATTTGGCTGATGCAGGTCTTCGTATCCCAATTTCATGGATCGATGCTCATGATATCAATCACTGGATTGTCTGGTCCAGACTCGATTATTTACTGACCGCCGTCATGTAGCTTGAATATTGCTGAGTGCGGCGTTAAACAAGAAACAAACAAATACACATAGTGTACGTAAGTTCGAAGTATGACATTATCAGTGCACCAAGGAGGGCACTTATGAAGCCTCCTTCAGACGTAACATAAAACACAAGTAACATATCATATTTACCGGTGGCGCACGATTCCCTTCATAAAACAAGTACTTGTACTCGTCGAGCCAGACTTCCGCCACCCTCATGGCGTTGGTGAAAACAGGGCTTCCGCCTTGCTTCCACTTGATTGGATTCACCCAGCGGAACACGTGCCCCACGTGAGAACAGGGAAGTGTTTCCAAGGTTCCATTACACATCCATATCTGAAAATAATAACTAATGTTTTATTATATCATTGCAGGGTCACTCATGTGACTTATTGTTCCTGTTAACTGGCGCATGATGCAGCCGGAATCGTACCAAGGGCTCTGCTTGCAGCAGATATGTCTGCGTACGTTTATATTACAGTGAATGAAAAATTGTTTTGAAAACTGTATTTATTTTTGTAACTATGAAAAGGATTTTTTGAATTGGCAAAAAAACAAAAAACACAAAAGTTATCAAATATCAGTTGCCGACATCTAATACCAAAAATGAATTGAACATGTCTGCATGGATTTGCATTGATTTGTGTGGAAAGAATGAGGTACTGCAGAAATTTGGTGAAAGGATGGAAAAATTACCCCAAAACACAACCATACGCTTGCGTCATTTACATGAAATAAGGGGGCACGGGTGGCCCAGTCGTCTAAGGCGCCGCGATTCGCTGTGCAGAGTTGTGTCCCTTGGGCACGCCAGAAACCTATGATTGTGGGTTCGAATCCCGGTTCGCCCCGATTATGTTTCTAGGTTTATCAGCACCATACCCGTGCTCGTGGGTTTCACCGAAGTGGTAAACGTCTTGAGACCTGCATCACTTCGGGCTTTCCTCCAACATTAAGCTGACACGCGGCGATATAACTGGAATAATGTTAAAAGCGGCGTTAAACCCAACTCACTCACTCATTACATGAAATAACTACATCGGACACCTCAACAGCTACGGCAATACTAGGATTGCGTAGAGTATCAGTCCAGATAGTGAGGAAGCGTATTCGCGCCAGACGACCAGTTCGAGGTGTTATTTTGACGAACTTGCATCTTCGCCTGCGACGTCAATGGTCACAGAGTATGGCCACAACTGCGATGGAGACAAGTTTGGTTTAGTGTCACGAGTCACGTTTATTGCTTCTCCGTGAGGATGGTGGATGCAGGTCTCAAGGTCTCCGGATTTAAACGAACATTTATGGGACGCACTTGATCACCGACTGCGAGCACGTCAGCAACAACCACGGAACCTCCGACAGTTGGCACAAGCACTGCATGCGGGGTGGGTGAACATTTCCCAGTACACAAGTCGGGACTGCCGATTGCGTCCATGGGACGACGATGCAGGCCGATGTTGGACTCTAATGGTAGCCATTCAATCCATTGAACATTGCACAACAGATTGCCTTCATCTTGAAAATCTATTGATCCATGTGTACCATATGGAACCTAGATCACGGACAACGGTGTGTGCTAATTTTGAACAATCCCATATCATCTGTTGATTAAACATATGATATGTAAAATATACATAAAAAATCACTCTTGCGTTTCTTTTGTTTGCAGAGTTTATTGAACGTGTAATATACGGTAGATCTTTAACTAAATGTAAAAATACGGATATTTCGGTCCTCATATGTATCGGACCGACAACATCCACTCAGGTCTGTAATCTGTTATTTGTATTATCTTGCTGTCTAATATCAAACTATAGCTAACAACAGCGTACTTTGAAGGAAAGTTCCATGTTTTCTCCACCCCAGTACAAGAGACCCGGGTCATACGTTCCCAGAGTTGTGAACCACTGTTTGTCTATAGCAAACAACCCACCAGGCATTGTAGGGGATCTGCAAACCAACAGAAAATGTCATAACGTATTACATCACCTCCTTGACAAAATTATTTGCACAAAATGGCATGAAGTGAAGGAAATAATGTTCTTAGTGGAACCTGTTCAAATATTGATACCACCATTTGGCGCATGAAACTGAACAGTCAATGGACAAACAATCTTTATTTGCAATTTTGATCATTGCTGAGAAGATTATTTCGAAAACATGCAAATGAATTCAAGGTATTAGTATTCACATAGGCGCTAAGGAATACCCATGAGTTTTGGGTGTTCACAGGCTTCATTTCCAACAAATATTAAGATCCATTTTCTATTCTTTACAGAAGAAATAAATCTATGCCAGAATAAACAGAATACTATGGAGTACTCTTCTTTTGGAAGGCATGTGTATCTGCTGTTCCGCAACTATACATAGACGTATGCACATTAGTTACATGCAGTGTTTCACGAACACCTGGTGTCATCACTATTGATAGTGGGTCATAAACATATGCATGTGATATAGTCGGAATCGTACAATGGACTTTCCATGCAGTGTTTCACGAACACCTGGTGTCATCACTATTGATAGTGGGTCAAACAGCGTCATACGACTCTTGCTCAGAAGTTGTTTGACCAAGTTTACAACATTCAAGGCCCCAGTAAATCTTTCAAAAAGTTTTATGGGAGACATGTGGAGGACATTTTTAAATTCGACGCATTAGTGGCAAAAATGATGCCCGATGGATTTCCCTATTTTGACCACCATATGTCCCGGTGTTTTTTCAGGTGAACAATTGACTTGCCTTTGCATGTGTTTGTGACGGGTGCCACCGGTGGAACAGGATACACTCACCATTTCGCGAACACCTGGTATCATTATTATTTGACTCTGTTTTATGTTGAGACTTCTATTGGATTTGGAAAGGGTTTTGTCGCTTTATTTACAATGATTCAAATACAACTTGAACACTCTACACATTGTGACACAAAACTTACCTGATAGCATCCGTGGGTGTTTTCAACTGACTCATCCTTGCTTTGTCGACATACCCCCAGTTGAAGATGAATCGTTTCCATACAAACATTCCTAAACGTCTGGTGGTCTTGATGATAAAGGTATTAAAGGTTTCATAACCAATGTCGTCTATCATAGGGAAGGGCACATTCTTTGGATTCTGGAGAATACGATTAAGCAGTGGTTCTAGCCACCCTAAAAGAAATAAAATTATAATTGTTTGATTGGCATCCCAGAAGTTGGTGAGTAAGTAAGAAATCGTACAACGTTACTGATAACAACATGGAGTATTAATCATTGTGTACGGTATTTAGTATTCATGCTTTGTTTATGTGTATGTTAGCTGTATGACGGCACTCTGTAAGTGATCGAATCTGGACCAGTAAATCAATTGATAAACGTCAGGTTGGTTTGTTGGTTTGTTTGTTATTAAACGCCGCATTCAGCAAAATTCCAGCTATATGACGGCGGTCTGTAAATAATCTGGACCGACCAGTGATTGATATCATAGCATCAATCCACGCATTTGGGATCGATGACATGCATCAACCAAGTCAGCGAGCCTGACCACCCGATCCCGTTAGTCGCCTCTTACGACAAGCATAGTCGCCTCTTACGGCAAGCATGGGTTGCTGAAGACCTATTGTACCCCAACAATAAATCACAACAGTCATTTTTGTATGCAGCACATATCCGAAAATGTGTATGGTGCTTAATTAATGCTTATGTGCATATAAATACTATTTTTTATGAAGATGTACTTTGTAACTGCAGGTGTACCTGCCCTGATGTGTAAAAAAATAAACAAATGGCAATAAATGGAACTGTCTGTACATAAAGAATATCATGAGATCTTATGCATCTTGTAAGAATAAATCATGTCCGTCATTTGAGAAGATGCAGGGTTCATGTCTTCTGATAATTTGCTCACGTTCACTTCGTTACAAATCGTTACCCGAGGGGAGTTTCGGGTTAGAATTCATCCCCAGTGTCTTAAGAGGCGACCTTATGGATCGATCGGGTTGTCAGGCTCGGTGACTTGCTTGCAGGCGTGATCGCTGCTCACATAGTCAGGATATCGTCTGATCCAGACTATTATTGACAGGCCACCGTGGATGAGTGCGGGGTCAAACACCCAACACACACATCACTATGTTCTTGATAGAGTTGAAAGAAGGTTTTTTTAAATGACATTGAATGTTGTTTTGAAAGGAAAAGATATACCTGGAAAACACTCGATATGCGAGTCGAGGAACACAAGCACTGGACCAGCTGCTATTTCATATCCAGTCAGTCTCGCTCTGATTAGACCCTGGTGCTTCTTGTGTCTCACAATCTTCACCTTCCTAAGTTCTGACATGTACTTTATCAGTGGCGCCATGAGATGGTCTGAATGAAATAGCAGAATCAGGAGAAAAACGTCGTTGACAGTAACTCCATTAAGTAAGGGTCTATTCAAATTTTAAGTATTGAGAAAATGGAATGGCAACAATTTGATGCTTTTGGGCAAATACGTCGCCTTCACAACTGATTGATGCTGTAACAGATGAAAGGTGAAAGTGTATGTTGGACATTCACTATGGAACACATCGATACAAGATCTTCGATGATTCCTTTACAAGCAACTTAAATTTAAAACTGTATTATGACACACAACTCATTATGAGATCGATGGTCACATAAGGGACACAGAAATGTTCTCCTGGCATACCATATACATTTAACTACAAGTATAACCACTACCAAACAATCTCGTGAGGCTACTCCCATTTTGTTTTCTGGTACATGTACCTTGAGTAGAGGCGTCATCAACGAGAATTATCTCCCTTATCAGGTGTTCAGGGGAGCGGTCAAGGACGCTGTGGACGGATCTGAGGAGAGTTGACCAAGCCTCGTTATGGAAGCAGATGATGATGCTGGCCTTGGGCAGATTGTCTGGATACACACGTGACTTGCATCTATGATACATAATCAATAGTGTGCTTTAATATTAATGAATACATATTATTCCGAAGGTTCCGAAATAATGTTATGACAATTACGATACATCCTGGTCTATCTCTCAGAAGACTGCAACCTTAAAAAAATTGATAATGTTGAATTTAATGTCACTGAAGTTGGGTCACCAAGTCCGTCAGTGGGCGTAGTCAAGTTGTTTTAAGTTTATGTAAGTATAAACGCAAAAACCTATTGTAGACAGCTAATCAAATGCCATTGCATCACTTACATTAGCTTGATCGTATAAAATGTTTGGAACAAGTTGTTTGTGTGTTTACTTGTGTGTTTGTTTGTTGTTTAACACCGCATGCAGCAGCATTCCAGTTATATGACGGCGGTTTGTAAATAATCGAGTGTGGACCAGACAATCCAGTGATTGATTGAGCATCGATTGACCCAATTGGAATACGAAATACGCATCAACCAAGTGAGCGAGCTTGAACATTCAATCCCATTGTTCGACTCGTAGTGACCGACCATTTGTTAGTCTTAGGTGGGGGAGGGGCTAGGACTTTGTACCGAGATAACTTATTTTTTCAGCTACAAAACCCGATATTTTTTTTTCAAACTACGAGCCTTTTTTTTTTAAAAACACCTTGCAACAATGTCAACATTCCCCAGCTCAGAATATCAATGGTCGGTTCCTTACGCCGGCACAGCATAGTCGCCTCTTACAGCAAGCCTTACCTCACGGGTAAGTACAAGTTGTGAATTTTAGAACAAGTTTGAAACGTGACGTAATTCATTAAGTTGGAGTAGGTTGTCAAGTGTTGTCAGGCCTCACATACATACATACTCTTCCAGCCTACTGTCTGGCAGACGCCGATGTACGGAGATCCGGTCGCTCACCAGTTGGTTAAAGCCATTTCTCTTCTTCCCCTCTTTATATTCCCCCTCCTCCTCTTTTGTGTGCTTGTAATTGTAAACAGCTCCCCATTCTCCTAGGAAGGCAGGCACAATTAGGAACCGAATATTAAGTCATGCATAAACAAAAAAATGCAGCTTTAATGAAACCCACCTTACCAAAAAAAACGCTTACTTGACGTTGTCTTCAGTTTTTTGTTGTTGTTTTAATAGACGTATTTTATCAATTGTATTTTCTTCGTCGTTTCCATAAATGATTGATTTATATGTATATAATATTTCATTTGTATGGGCCACACAGAGATAAATATTTCATGTGGAAATGCTGACACATATATCGATATCTAAGCATATAATACCATTAGTAATACATCAATAGCCCAGCTCTTAACTCTAAATAAATATGTAGCATTGATAAGCAGGGTTACGTCGGCCTTGTTTTAATGGGAATATTAGCCATGTTGAAAGATGACAATCTCTATTTTAGGGCAATATGACATTGATGAGTGATCACTCAAATGTAGTAAACTATTATCAGTCACGTTAATTTTTCAAGCCAATCATACATTATTCATCAGTGCGAGGTGGGTAGGGAGCTGTTTTCAGTTTAGCTCAACAGTTAGGTCTTCGATCGGCTCACAGATACGCCACGTCTGACATAGCCCCAACACATACAAGCTACCTGCACAGTGAGGTGAAACCAACCACATGTGGAACTATGCAGTTATACATAAAATAGACTGTCAGCTGAAATATATAAAGGATGTAAAACGTCTTAGATAAATAATATATGCCTGAAGAGTACATGTTGGCGGCGTTCGTTACACGAAGTGTGTGGACTGTAATATTGATTAACTGGGTGTAGCAAATCGAAATTATCCTTCTTAGCAACACACAGCTCACTTAGTGTTGTGTATGCTGCGTCGTTATCGCCTTTCAGCAACACCGGGTGTAATGGCTGAGGCATCCATACAATTTTCACCACTATTTTGTCTTTTAATGTGTTTGTGTGGCATCAGCTGAAGATCGAGATTGTTGTTGATGTTTTATACATATATTTTATTATTTGCAGGTTTTTCATATATTTTGTAAAAATATGTTTGAAAAGCAAGAAATATCATTATAATTAATCGCAAGTACGCTGTTTACGCACGTATGTAAGGAACATGTGTATCGTGCATCAATAACAGGACAGCGTCTGACTTACAACGAACAGATCAGCTTACGTCCTCTGTCTTACCTGGACCATTCTCCGGACTGTGCTCCACAAACGGTGGATAGGTTACATTACTGTCCTCCCCTCCATATTCCTCCACGTAATACTCCACACTCTGTGTGTCGTGGATCTGTTGTCCACGTTGCTCTTCTGTCTTGTCCGGGTGCACCTGTTTCTGTCTGTTTCGCACCTCCTTTTGCTGCCTGGTTCCAAGGATCGGTAAGTCTCCCTTCCTGTTGTGCTCTGTTGTTGTGTCATTCACATACCTCCTCATTGCAACAGCGTGCATGCTGCTTTTCTTCTCAACAATATTTACCACTGCATCTAATTTATCATGTGAATTTAGTGATGTTTTCAAATAGTCTTGAATGACACGCTGTTCAACTCTGATGTCATTCTCACCTTTGAAGTAGTGTATTCCAGATGAATGTCCTGTGATTTGACCACCTGTGTCACTTAAATATTGGTTGTCGACAATTTGTACCAATGATCTGGTGGTGTATAAAAAAAGCAACCACATACAGAACACAATAGTCTTGATCATCCGAAATGTCAGCCGCCTCATGCTATTCTGTGGTGTTGGTCAGCTGTGATGTACACGATGGTCAGATGTTTATGTCACAGAAAATATAACCAGACCTATTGGCTTCCTCATCCAAACAATGGAGCACGCCCTGCTGTTCACACGAGGTCAGGGTCGTCTTTGGTATAGGTTCCAGCATCAATAGATAAGAGTACTCGTTGAAATATTCCACCTCCTCCAAGAGTCTATACTTCTTTTTTACGATTCCGTCTCTATACACATCATTCCAGGTTAAATTGTAAACACTCTAACCAGTTAGCTTGCTACGAATATGATACAGCTACCTTGTCGACACGGATATTCTTCGCATGGTATATTGCTGTAGGGACCATTTCAAACATCCTGAATATATTTTATGTAATTGACATGAGAATGTTCCTTTTTTTCAAACCAGACAAAAACAAATTGTTTAGACCCCTTTGAAGTAATGCATTGTGTTGTCAGCTCAAATCAATAATCTGTCACATATCATGGAATAAAGGCCGGCCGTTTTGATCATGAGATGTCACCTGTAGGGGAATTTCATCTTGGTAGCAGATGTCAGATCAAACTTTGAGGGTTCGATATCAGGAACGAAATGGATAGCAAGTGGCCTACTGTAAATAAGAGCAGTTAGAGGCATGCTCTAGGCGTTGGCAATTTATGCAAAATTGAATTGAATTCCAGTACTGAGTTATATCACGGCGTGTGGGAGGAAATCCGAGGTGACACAGATCTTAGACGTTTTCCACTTGGTGAAACCCATGTGGTATGGTGAATAACACAACACTGACTGATCAGATTGCTATAGAGTCAAAGAGTCAAAGACGTTTATTGTATCAAAGGCCATCGGCCCATATACAAGTTCAGATAAATACAGTGGGTGAGAATTTACAGATTGGGAGATACAACAAAAATTATAAAACTATAACATGCATTTAACAATCGGTGATAATCATGAGGACTTTCTAGGGTAAGGTAATTAAAATTCTGAATTTCCGCTCAACATGTTATTTCGTAGTTCCATCCCATGTTTTACAAATAAAGACAGTTTAAACATTACATTGGCATCATTCGATGACAAAATAAAAACAAACCTTATTCTACTCGTCTTAGATAAGAAATATTCTGGTATATATTTAATACGTAATTCTGCATAATAAGGACATTCAAAGGTAAAATGTATTTCGTCTTCTATAGCAGAGTTACAGAATGGACAAATTCTTTGTATTCTTTCAAGTGATATATTCCGTCCATAATTAATCATAAGTTTTGACAAGCCAAGTCTGTATTTAACATATACATTTCTTAGGTGACTATTTGTTAAAACTGATAGATATTTTTCTGGCTCTAATAAAGTCTTAAATGTTCTGTACATAATCATGACTGATCAGATTGCTATATGTTCCCGATATATTTAATTGCTAAGTCGTTGCTATATATCGTTGCTATTGTTATAATAACGTATCGATTTGCCAACAAGGATAATCAAATATCGTGGCCAATTTAGATGACTTAGGAGCTTAACACTGCACTGCGAATTGCGGTTTCTGGGATGTCTTGGGTATCGATACAACAACTGCTGGTTTATGTCTTAGCCTGTACACGTGTTAGGAATAAAAGGGTGAGTGTGCATGGTTTTACGCCGGTTCTAACAATATTCCAACAATATCACGGCGGGCGATACCAGAAATGGGCTTCACACGTTGTACCCATGTGTGGAATCGAACCTGGGCCTTTGGCGTGTTCAGCGAATACTTTAACCACTACGCTACCCAACCTTCTTATTAAAACGTCCGGGGGGCACGGGTGGCCCAGTCGTCTAAGGCGCCGCGATTCGCTGTGCAGAGTTGCGTCCCTTGGTCACGCCAGAAACCTATGATTGTAGGTTCGAATCTCGGTTCGCCCCGATTATGTTTCTAGGTTTGTCAGCACCATACCCGTGCTCGTGGGTTTCACCGAAGTGGTAAACGTCTGAGAACTGCATCACTTCGGGTGACAAAGCTGACACGCCGCGATATAACTGGAATACTGTTAAAAGCGGCGTTAAACCCCAACTCACTCACTCACTATTAAAACGTCCAGAGTGGTACGCGTCTTTAGAGGTGCAGTACGTGACATCAGTTAAATTTTCTTCAAATTAAACTGTATAAGTGTCTGAACAAGAAGCGTTAGCGCCCGTATCCACGAGTGACGTGTCAAGAATTGGTTACAAATTGAAAGCCGCATCGGCAGTATTTGATAGCCATGCCGTGACCAGAAAAGGGTAATACATTAATAATAGTATTATAAAATCAGTCAACGAGAGACAGTACAATAACTAGCAATATATCACATTTATATTTTTTTTTAAACTCGTTTGAGAACATTTAAAAGAGTAAACTATTACTCAACAACACAAGTTGAAAACGGACCAAACTGTTTTACATATACACTGCGATTATAATAAAAGTAGGAATAAAATACTTTGAATGATATGATCTTACCCTTCGCAGACAATGATTTGGCAGTACTTTACCCCCTTTGAGGATAAAGCCGCTCAGAATCTCAGTTACTTATTCATTCTTACATTGTACAAATGTGATTATTTTACACAAAGTATCACTCAAAAGTATTAATCAATTCAATTTCCTTTAAAAAACAAAAATAAATGAATGCTGGTATTTTTAACAAGAAGATCCCTTAAAGATGATAATTTGAGATGTGAATCCCTTGTGATGGAGAAGATCTGAAATGGAGATGGTGGGTAGGCTGTAGTTGGTTCAGGCTGCTTTTGCAGATCCACCATAAATGACAAACTCAACACCAAAGGTATCATTTGACCTTCGTCCTTTCTTGTGACCATGGCTGTGTCGACATGATTTGGATTTTTTAGAATTGAAATGTTGGGAGACACAACTGGAAACATTTATGTTGATGCTCGATCTGTTCTGTGCTCTTGACGACATGGAACTGAATAGTTGAATTTCCTTTCCCAAACTGAAACCGTTCCTGGTGTCACGTGGCACGCCTTAGAACATAGACCATCAACTTGCTCTGTAATCTGCTGAGGCACATACCAGAAAACATGTCTTGCTCAGTAGAACAGGAGGCATCTTCTCGAGGCAAGGGCGATAACAATCTTGATAAGTCCATGTTCCACTCTTGTTGAACTAGGCTGGACTAATCAAAATCGTGAAACGAACTAGTCATTGAACCGGTTCGTAAACAACATGGATTTCAACTTTCTGATTTCGGTCGACCGCAGGATTTGCAAAGCATGTGTACCATCAAGTGGGCGTCGACAGATATTTTCCAAATCTTTTCATGTTTTAATCAATGTTCTCATGTCATTTGATGAATTTCGCGGGATAAGATCCGTTTTATTACAAGATAGATCGTGCTTATCGACAGGGTGCCACCAATTTGTTTGAAGCCCAGTTCGACAAGGCTGGAAACTGGACTTTTATGTACAGGATAAAACACGTCCGGGGGTTGTTATGATATTTAAAACCCGAATCCCGAGGGATTTTCCGAGGGAAAGGGTATTATATATCATAACAACCCGAGGGGAAGTGTTTTATCTTACTTATAAACCGATTTTGAACCTTAAAATTATCCCCAAACTAAATTTCAACCCATTTTAAGCGTACAACGAAGCACGTCCAAGGGTTCTTATCACATTTAAAACACGCATCCCAAGGATAACGGTTTTAGATATCATAAAAACCCGAGGGGAAGTGTTTTATCTAACTTATGAACCGAAAATAGAAACTTAAAACAACATTTATCAACATTTCAATGTTTCGAACATACTTTCCATGAACCTTAGGAAACGGGCGTAAAATATCTGGCGTACGGATCTTGAAAAGGACATTCTAAAAAGCAGTGCGGCTTGTCAACACCTCTGTAGCCTTGTGGAACACTCACTGGGCTACAGATATGAACGTTGCGAGTTCGATCCTCGGGAATTTAAAGAAAACATTTGTCATTTGATTTTACATTTCATTACATGTTATAATCTGAACGGAAGATATATGAATAAAATACCCAGGACAGTATATAAAAATCCCTGGGATATAATAACATATTATATAGCAAATATGACTTGAATATCCTATAAAATCCCAGGGACATTACAACGTCCCTGTTTATGAGATTTAACCCGACTGGAGAACAATAGGATGACGTCACCGCAGGTTTATAAAGTCAGTTACCTCCCTTACCTCAGGAAGATGAACTGAAGCTAAGGCGACTATAAATTGACAGTGATGCAGTGACAGAGTGACAACGGCACATAACTCACAAGATAACAAAACTGTATTGTCCAATAAACAATTCCATATAAAACAGGAGTGGGAATGACTTTATGTCGTTATATTCATATTCCAGCATCATCACGGAAGGGGACACCTGAAATGGGCTTCGGACATTGTTCGCATGTAGGGAATAAAACCCGAGTCTGCCGCCTGACAAGCGAAATATTTATCCAGCTGGTAGGCTACCCCACCGACCAAAACTGTTGATGTTGTTCATTGTCTACAGTGACCTTCGTATACAACTCTACAGTCATGTTGCTTTGTCAGGGTGACTGAATATCCAAGGGCTGATAACTGTAAACGTATCTAATCATAGAAAAGTTCAAATCAATTCTTGAACGCTCGACTCGCTGGTGTTCAAATTCAAGTTCCGCCACCACAGCACTTGCTCCTTTTTGCTTCTGCCACATACCAATAGATCAAAATGCAACATACCATAAGACGATTCCACATATCTTATATACAACCAACACATTTATAAAACGCATCACGCCAATAACGTAAATATATAGTTCCCATACGTTTTACGTGTCATGAAGTGGAAACTTTGATTTTTCAAACATCCATCTTTGTTTCGCAGTCCCGTCGCACGTCTTCACCAACAGGGTTGAATTGTCACCAGCTGTCAAACATTTGTCGGACTTTCTCAAGTGAAGGGTTTTGTCCTGAAGTTAAAGCATAAATATCTTCATTAACCCACTGTTGCTTCAAGTTTGTGGATGAAATGACCATGTGATATGCTAGGGGTGGTGGTTGGGATAGGGCTTGGTTTTGGTATGGGAGTGGTTCGCCTGGGATTTTAAAAAAAAAAGGCTTTAGCAGTAAAAACTAGGAAAACATTACGCGTCCTCAGGTTTAAAAGACATATTTCATTTCTTTCCAGAGAAATGTCTGCTTGGAGAGCAGGAGGTATGTGGTTCAAAGACCGGACGCGTCATACCAGCAGACGTTAAAAGATGGTACTTGGTGTTTACCTGCCTGGCGCTCGGCATTAAGGGGATAAAACAAGGACTGGTCGGCTCGGAGTCAGTACACTGTGTCTGAGTTGAGTATTCATGTTAAACTGCGGCATGGTGTATCAGTGTGCTAGCACTATAAATCGGCATCAGTCAGGACACACACACACACACACACACACACACACACACACACACACACACACACACACACACACACACACACACACAAAAAAAAACACACCAAAAAAACACACACACACACACACACACACACACACACACACATACTTGCCAGCACGTCGCTATATAATACATTAATCTTGAACGCCACATTAACCACCATTTCACCTCACCTCACCTCACCTTCACTTAACAACTGTCTTATGTCACAATTTGTTAGATTTGTTTGTTCATGTACGTTCGGAAACTCTTCACCTTCGAGAAATATCTTGTACATGTATAGTACGTATGTGTAAATATGTTTCTCACTCGTAAGTGAACTCTGGTCCTGAACTGGTTTGCTTCGTTTGAACTTACGAATATATTAAAGCACATTTAGATTACATATTTCATGCATTGTTTTTCCGCCAAGATTAATACTAAACAAAAGACTGGACGGCCAAACATAGACATGTGTGACAAAATGGACAAGTGAGTGAGCTTTAAATATATTTGCGTTTTATCGGGGACACCGCTGGCCTATAGTCAAACGTGCTGTGCAGTGTTGCGTCCCTTTGGTACGCCAGGGACCTATGATTGTGGGTTCAAATTTCGGTTCCCCGAATTGTGTTTCTAGGTTTGTCAACACCACACCCGTGATCGTGGGTTTCACCAAAGTGGTAGACGCCCGATACCTACATCTCATCTTGCTTTCCTCTCACATTAATTTGACACGCCATGGTATAACCTAAATGCTGTTCAAAGCGGCGTTAAACCAAACTCACGCAACAATAATCAGCGTACATCATGCCCCCCAAAAAGACACACGAGTCGAACAATAACGAAGTAGGCCCACACCTCGGTGTATGTCCAGTTCATCATATCATCCTGGTAGCAACGGTTATCAGTGATCTCCCCTCTTCTTACACACAGTCGCCGGTTCGTGTGGCCCTGTAACACCCCAACCGGGAATAATTGCCAGTACTGAAACAAATACGAAACACATCACCTGTTAACTGAGTATGAGTACGGTATAGCATCAGCGATTAAGACTAGCATAATCCATAAACATTGGTTGGTTGTTTTACGCCACACTCAGCAATATTCCAGCTATATGACGGCGGTCTGTAAATAATCGGTTCTTGACCAGACAATCCAGTGATTGATATCATGAGCATCGATCCACGCAATTGGGATCGATGACATGCTTCAACCAAGTCAGCGAGCCTGACCACCCGATCCCGTTTGTCGCCTCTTACGACAAGCATAGTCGCCTCTTACGGCAAGAATGGGTTGCTGAAGACCTATTCTACCCCGGATCTTCACGGTTAGAATCGATAAACACAAGGTCTTTCTTGCACATTGCCCAAACATACTTATCATGCTTATTCCCCAGCATACGGTATGCATGTTGTAAAATGCATTATAAGGTGCTGTAAAACTAATGGGTCTGACTAATGGGTTGCTTCTCATAATATCAATGACTGGAGTGTCTGATCAAGAGTAAATTTTGTTCAGGCCGTTGTTAAATAGTTCGAATATTGCAGAGTGCAGCGTTAAACAACATTTGTTTTTCAAACTACAGTTCTCTCCATTACATGTACACAACTGTTGTTTATTTTTGTACGAAAATGAAATTCAGTATAAACAACGCTAACACATTTTCGCTGAACAAGCAGTTATTCTTATTTCCTAATTAGTTTATGGTGTGCAGGGTTGAACGGATAATCATAAAGGTCGACGTCAGTGAGTGAGTGAGTTGGGTTTAACGCCGCTTTTAACAGTATTCCAGTTGTAACACGGCGTGTCAGCTTAATGTGGGAGGAAAGCCCGAAGTGATGCAGGTCACAGACGTTTACCACTTCGGTGAAACCCACGAGCACGGGTATGGTGCTGACAAACCTAGAAACATAATGGTCAACGTCTGAGACAAAACAGTCCGCCGTAACAGATTCCATTGAGCGTAAAAGGCAAAATAGCGGTGACAATTCTTTGAGGTGAAGTGAGGTGAAATGGGGTTTAACGTCGCGTCCAAGATTATTGCACTTATATAGCGACGTGCATGCACGTGTGTGTGTGTGGCTGCTTGTACTAGTCCGGACTGATGCCGATTTATAGTGCTAGCTCACTGAGATACCATGCCGCAGTTTAACATGAATACCCCACTCAGACACAGTATACTGACTCCGAGCCGACCAGTCCTTGTTTTAGCCCCTTAATGCCGAGCGCCAGACAGGGTAACAACAAGTACCATCTTTCAACGTCTTTTGGTATGACGCGGTCGGGGATCGAACCCCGGACCTTCCGCTCTCCGGGCGGACGCTCTACCACTAGACCACGGAGGCGGTCGACAATTCTATGAATGGATCACTGAAATCAGTGATGACACCAGGTGTTCCCCGATAAGGGGAAGTATGTTCTGTCCTACCGGTAGCACAACAACTCCAACAAGCCTGGTTGTTTGATGATCTGACATAATACTGCTTCTGTTTATATTGGATATATTTTGTTCGTTCCTTGTGAGTTACACATTTTAATAATGTGGATAATGTCGACGTTTAATGATTATAATCTTTGAGAAGTAGGTTCAGTCTCTACTTAACGATGTGACACACTGCTCGGTAGAGCGTTATATACCCACCTGACCTCTTCCATAGCCGTGACAAGGGCGGAGGCTTGTTCCGTCCCTCCTTGTCGCACTCACACACAGACTTGGGTGCGAAACACTTCTAATCTATGAGACAGAAAATCGTCGTTAACTAGTCATTGTATGGACGTATGGGACATCTGTTTAGTAAATGTATCTAATATTTGCATTATCCGTGTCAAAAACAACCTTCCAATTTTGTAAACTATGTTAAAATTAAAGTTATGCGATGTGTAAAACGTACTGTTCACAATATGCACACAATAGGCAAAACATTCTGCTGGTGCTGTTGGTAGAGTCAGCCAACCATCCTCATGTGCATATAAATTAACACATTTCAGCATAATGTTTGTTTGCTGTTTAACGCCGCACTCAGCAATAATCCAGCTATATGACGTCGGTCTGTAAATAATCGAGTCTGGACCAGACAATCCAGTGATTGACATCATGTGCATCGATCCACGCAGTTGGGAAACGATGACATGCATCAACCAAGTCAGCGAGCCTGACCACCCGATCCCGTTAGTCGCCTCTTACGACCATCATACACGTAGTCGCTTGTTTTCAGCAAGCATTGGTTGCTGTAGACCTATTCTTCTCCGGGATCTTCACGGGTCTCAGCATAATGACCCAATGTGTTAAAGCACTAACCTCTCCTGCATTCAAGACCTTGACGATGGGACACTCAGGGTATATATTTTTTATATACCAGCGGAAGTTGTGACAATGAAGACGTTCCCTCAATTTTTGTCGGTCTGTGATGTCACCATAGTTCTTGACCTATAAAGAGGACACGTATTCTTTCTTATTTACTCCTTTTGTTCACTTCAATCCTTAACGCAACGAAATATGTTCAAAGTGGTTAAGTATAATTATTATTCTATCAATATGCCATCATGTATTGAAAGTGTCCTATAGATATCGACTTGGTTACATGAATGTCGCCTTGATGATGACAAACAAGTCCTTTCACACGACACTGTACGTCACAACAACAAGGATAATATATACTGCCTTGGATATATGCGTTCATTTTGCAAATGACAAGGGTTGACAAGGGCCCATTCTGCCCGTGCGCTGCATCATGGAACAATATTTTAAATCCTAATGAAAGTTATCCTATTTCAAAGAAACGTTTGTTCATATTTTCGACTGATATCAATACTAAATATTCATGAAAAATAAATAAATATGCATTCGGTTTTTCAGGAACCGTTCTGCTAATGTCTGAAATTGACCAAGTACATGCATTTGGTCGAAGCCTATGAAGACTCAAACATATGGTGAAAAGAGTGAGTGAGTGAGTTAGTTGGGTTTAACGAAGCTTTCAACATTACTCCAGTTATATCACGGCGTGTCTGCTTAATGTGGGAGGAAAGCCCAAAGTGATGCAGGTCTCAGACGTTTACCACTTCGGTGAAACCCACGAGCCCGGGTATGGTGCTGACAAACCAAGAAACATAATTGGGGCGAATCGGGATTCGAACCCACAATCATAGGTTTCTTGCGTGTTCCAGGGACGCAACTCTGCTCAGCGAATCGCGGCGCCTTAGACGACAGGTCCACCCGTGCCCCCTGGTGAAAAGAAAGGCCTTTGAACTTGTCTCATGTTGGTCGTACCAAGTTTTCCGTACCTTCAACATTTGAAGTGGGCCACAAACGGTTCCTGGAACCGCATCCTCCTTTGACTGGAAACATTACAAAAACACACATTGAATTGTATAATGATATTTACCCGTTGAAAGCGATTTGCCTCATAATACAGGTACTTGTACTCGTCGAGCCAGACTTCTGCCACCCTGATGGCGTTAATCATAGCGGGGACCCCACCCTCCTTCCACTTTATGGGATTCACCAAACGGAACACGTGCCCCACGTGAGAACAAGGCAGTGTTTCCAAGGTTCCATTGCACATCCATATCTGAAAATACAAAAGTAACACTGACAACCAGATTTTGTTTTGTTTCGTGAACACTCTTTGCCAGTTTTGACGTATTTTAATTGACTTGAACGTTCGACTGTGTACGTGGACCCACGTGTATTAGACGGCAACCTATTTCAACGTGTTAATGTTAATGTCAAAAGAAAGGAACAATTTGCTATGACCGGTTTATAACCAATTTATTATTATGATAGAATTATTATGAAACATTATTTGCGAGTTTTATTGAGTATTTGATGCCCCAAACCTTCATTTCGAGACGAAAACACTTGATTGTCATCATTGTAAAATACATTTTAGGCAAAATTGTAATGCGGACTTTTTTAAGATTGTTATGTGTTGATTTCCACAATGAAAACGGTTAAACCAGGAATCAGTACATACAGAACATCAGAGAGAAATCAGAAAATAACCACACACGTTCAAAGAATAGTAAACAAATTTTATTGAAATACACAGAAGTAGGTTGACAATCATTATTTATCACAGTCGAATGTCTTGAATGAGGCACGTGCTTCGTTCTTCAATCCATGAAACAGGGTTTGAAACAGGAAGAAAATTCGTGTTCTTGCCGATCGTTATCCTGTCCGCCCTGAGCAAGTAGATAACAGACGTAGAAAGAAGGCCTCAAATCGCCTTTGATTGTACATAACCTTGGTCGACTATGCGCCCGAAGAACACAACAACGGGCCGAGCACATTCACAATTGACCAAATGTACAGTCAACTGTGCCTGTAACAGCTACACAAAGAACTCACGGATCCCCTCCAAATGATCGTCCCACTCCATCTCCCACTCCATGGCTGACAATATTAATGTCATTGATGTAAATCTCTGTGCCTTGTAAGCCCACAGTGATGCGATGTAAGGTAGCCGGTACATTCTTCAACCCCAAAAGCAAGGAGATAACAGCAAAAGCAGAAATCTTCTTCGCGCGCCCAGTCCGTGGAATCGGATAATTCTCCTTCAACAGGTCAAATTTACTAACAAACTTAGCTTGACCAGTTCTATCAATACAATCATCATTTCCTTGTATGGTGTCTGTAGTTTTGAATGCCGTCATTTCAGGACGGTACGACATCAAGTCTGGGGGCCCGTTTAACTCCACCCACTGTCACTTCGTACGATGATGTCGTTCTCCTTGATATATTTGACTTCCTTTCAGAGATGCTCCAACTTAAGTGGGTTCATGTGATAGGGATGTTGTTCATCAGACAATTCCAAACCTAAATGTATGTCATGGCCAGCTACATCTTTGCACATTCCGAATGAAATGGACAATCCTTCTCATCTTAATAATCAAACTTCACATATGCTCTTAAAAACTCAGAACTGGACTCTTCTACTTCAGATTCCACAATAAAAACAGTCGCAATAACTTTTGGCGATACATTTCAGACCTGTCATAATATTTTTTATCAGAAGGTGCAGCAGGTTCTGTTTTTGGTGGCCTGCAGTTTGTACAGTGACTTTCTGGCCATTACGTAAGGACCTTGGTATCTAGCTCTCCAAAGTTGACTGGGGATGGTTAAGCTATTTTCATCTTTTGATCTTTTGGTCAAAGTAGGCCTTTTGGACACATAGTTTAGTTACTGCATGTCTGATTTGTCATTAAGCCACTGTTCTTTCATGTGCTGGAGTGTTCACCTGACTGTGTGCGCAACGACCAAGTCCCAGATTTGAAAAAAATGTGGCAAATAGCAGATTCATGATTATTATCGAAGTGAAAAATGTAGTATTTGATATTGCGTAGTATGTTGCTAACGCCATGATAAAGACCCGTGAAGATTCCGGGGTAGAATAGGTCTTCAGCAACCCATGCCTACCGTAAAAGGTGACTATGCTTGTCGTAAAAGGCGACTAACGGGATCGGGTGGTCAGGCTCGCTGACTTAAATGATGCATGTCATCGATCCAAATTGCGCGGATCGATGCTCATGATATTAATCACTGGATTGTCTGGTCCAGATTAAACTATTTACAAACCCCCGTCATGTAACTGGAATATTGCTGAGTGTGGCGTTAAACAACAAACCAACCAGCCTTCATACTCCCGATCATCACGTGTATGCCCTACTCTCAGTGCTTCTGAGGAAGTCTCGCCCATGACCTGTCAAAATCGCAACTCATACATGACCTGTTGAAACAGCCCTCGCACGCAATTCAACCCTTCATCCGACAGAACTACTTAAGGTAAGACAAACATGGTGAAAAACGGGATCAGCTTTAAGCCTTCACAATAAGTGGCGCGGTAATAGTAATTGACGGAATGGCTTCTTGGAATCTGATTGAAGCGCATATAGTTGTGACCAAATACTGGCCAGATTGGCCTTCCCAAGCAAGGGACCAACGCAGTCAATAATAACCTGACCGAAGGGCTACCCAGATGCCCACATGGGCTTTAAAGGAGCAGGGGGAATCTCTGATAGGTCTACCACCTTAAATGTATGAGAAGTCCAACAAAATTATATGGAACCTGCGTACTCAAACTAGGACGGGAGTGATGAGCTAAAATCTTATCATACGTTTCGTTAATACGCAAATCACCAGCCAATTGAGTATCGTTAGCCAAACTCAAAACAAAAACATTCACCTCATCTTCAGCAGAAGCTTCTGGTGGTCTCCCTTTACTCATCAAAAAACTCCACCTTGGTTTGTGAAAACAAGCATGTACCTTGGCAACCTCATCCATAGAAAATGCTTGTGTAAGATGTACAGTAAGCTACGGTTATAACGAACACGCTTATAACGAACTGACGGATATAACGAACTTCCATTTTCGGTCCCGATTATTTGCTGTAGTTATGTTGTATATATGCTTATAACGAACTACGGTTATAACGAACTAAAATTAGTAGTCCCCTTGAGTTCGTTATAACCGTAGTTTACTGTAGTTGCATTTCAGGATCGAAACGAGCTGCGCCCCCATGTACATGTACCTCAGGAAAAGTAATAAGTCGTAATGTGGATTTTACACCTTTAAGTTACACAAATCCTTCTGAAATAAAAAGTAAATACTGGTTCCTAACTGCAGCAGACTTTGGTAGCTAAATGCTACAAGCCTACTCATCCTTAGTGTTATAGACTTCAGAGTGAGTATGCACCGCTTTTAGCAATCGTCCAGCAATATCACGGCGGGGTACACCAGGAATGAGCTGTACATATGTGGGAATTGAACCCGAGCCTTCGGCGTGATGAGCGAACACTTTCACCACTAGTCTACGCCACATAAAATTGTCTGGGACTTGACATCCATTAAAGTATGACTAAGAAGTGACTGAGTTTTGGCTTTGAGTACACGACACTCTAAAATCAAACGACCTGGCTTGTGACAGTATATACATCTAAGATCTTACCCGACGATGATCCTGAATCCTGTCTGATTTCCTGTTGGACAAACTATCTGCTTCGCTAGAATTCGAACCTGTTGGAACCGAAGTAAATGACCTTTACTGACCTGAATTAACAGATTGATCTGACCTGAAAGCACCCTGGCTATACATGTACCTTGGAGAGTTTCTGTGCTGCCTGAAATTACCATTGTGAGTAATTGAGTTCTTAACTTCAAAGGTTGCATCCTGGTGTAACTGAGCCACCTTCTGCTCATCCAAATAAATCTGCACTGCTAGAAATCGTTCAGCAAAATGAGCTGCCTCAACTGCTTCGACAAACTAATTAAAAAAACACCACCAATCAAACAAAGGTTCCTTTTCCCTAGCAAACTCCACATGAATATAATCACCACGTTTTTGTTAGCTTATATGCCTCAGTGACCAACTCATGAACCTTCAAAGGAGTTTTTTTACTTCATTAACGAATAGTGCCCTTCGATACACATTCTCCATGTAACATTACCCAATGCTCTTTTGGTCATTTCAAATTTGTTGTAACTTTCTCAAATGAAACGGGGCGGTCGGGCAGCCTAGTGGTTAAAGCGTTCGCTCGTCACGCCGAAGACCCGGGTTCGATTACCGACATGGGTACAATGTGTGAAGCCCATTTCTGGTGTCCCCCGCCGTGATGTTGCTGGAATATTGCTAAAAACGGCGTAAAACCATACTCACTCACTCACTCAAATGAAACAGACCATTTTCGGTTATGTTGAGGGGAGTGACTGTTGACTGTCTTGCATTTCTAATTCCCTTAATTTGAACTCATGATGACTGTACGCAAGTATGATCCTTCCAACAGAGTTCAATGAACCTGTAGAAGTATGGACAGTAAGCACTAAAGGGGGTCACTCTGTTTCACGATGTGCGGTCGACCGTCAAAAGAAAAGCAACACAACTACAACGACAATAAGCACAATATTTTACAGCCTTAGTCTACTGCAACAACAAACATCAAACATAAACTTACATTTAACACGGCGACGTGACAAGATGTACTGACACAGCTGTTAGACAAATGCTATGACGTTATGGTTGGTTGGTTTGGTTGGTTTGCTGTTTAATGCCGCACTCAGCAATATTCCAGCTATGTGACGGCGGTCTGTAAATAATCGAGTCCGGACCAGACAATCCAGTGATTAATATCATGAGCATCGATCCACGCATTGGCTATTATAAGAATATCGCTAATAAAATCGTACTTTGAATGACAGTTCCAAGTTCTCTGATCCCCAAAACATGAGCTCCGGGTCATACGTCCCCAGGGTGGTGAACCACTGTCTGTCTATAGCAAACAACCCACCTGGCATTGTAGGGGATCTGCAAACAAAGATAGCATTTCATTACAAGTTAGCTTTAAAAAATACATGTATCATGTGATTTGTTTTGTTTGGAGTGTTATTACTCCACTCGACTCCTCTCACCTCCATTCGTGTTATTTTAGCAAGGCTGTAAGCGAATAATTATCTGTATCAGTTTATATACTAACGGAAAAAAGTAACTGTGCTTTATATAAAGTGGTGTAAACGTTATATTATTGAACATAACAACATAATATTTGGTCTTTCGACTGATCAATGTTTTATCATACCCAACTCATTGATAAAATCCCATAGCCGGTAACAGGAGACATAGCGACACGCCCTAAATAAGGGGTAGTCTAACATCTCAATTAGTGAGTGAGTAAGTGAGTTGGGTTTAACGCCGCTTTTAACAGTATTCCAGTCATATCGCGGCGTGTCAGCTTAATGTGGGAGGAAAGCCCGAAGTGAATTAGGTCTCAGACGTTTACCACTTCGGTGAAACCCACGAGCACGGGTATGGTGCTGACAAACCTAGAAACATAATCGGGGCAAACCGGGATTCGAACCCACAATCATAGGTTTATGGCGTGCCCAAGGGACGCAACTCCGCACAGCGAATCGCGGCGCCTTAGACGACTGGGCCACCCGTGCCCCCACACCTCAATTAACAATGTCAATATCGGGTGTGACCACCATTTGAGTTGATACAGGTGAGGCACTGATACAGCTCATTGAAGACACCAGAATATTGAAAACAGCCTGTGGGATGTTGTTCCAAATGTCAACCAAGGATTGGATCAACTGTGGTAGCGTTATCGGCTGGTTCTGGTCCTGTCGTAGGCGTCCCTCCATCTCATCCCAGACATGTTCTATGGGGGAAAGGTCTGGACAAACAACCGGCCATTTTAGTACAGCAATGCTACGCTGCCTTTTGTTGCCTGTTACAACGTGTGAGCTGACATTATCATGCTGCAACATGACGTGACGTCCCTGCATTTGCACAACGGGTAGACCATTATATCGAACGATGTCGTCCCGGTGGCATGCGCCATTCCAATGACCATTTACAATGATGAGCTGTGTTCTCCCATGAGTTCTGATGCAACCCCATACCATTACACTTCCGACCCCAAAGTAACCACGTTGAGTGACGCAAGTGTCGCCAAAACGTTAACCTAAAACTATCATCAGGACTGTCTAGATGAAACCTCTGTGAACAGTATTCTGTACCAGTCTCTGAACATCAGAAGCTGGGCGTGCCTGACGTTGAACCGGAAGCAGATTTGGGCATTATTTATTTTCAGAATAAATATACTTTTCTTGGTCTTTTTATGAAGCAAAGTTACTTGTTTCCGTTAGGAAAAGATTGCCTCTGTACAATACTTGCCTGATAGGATCAGTAGGTGTTTTCAACTGACTCTTCCTTGCATCTTTGACATATCCCCAGTTGAAGATGAATTGCTTCCATGTGAACACTCCTAAGCGGTTGGTTGTATTCATGATGTATGTATGAAATGTTTCATATCCAATATTGTCCACCATAGGAAAGGGCACATTCTTTGGATTTTGACGAATACGATCAAGTAGTGGTTCCAACCAACCTAAAAATAGAGGTGAGATGAAATTTTGGGTTTAACGTCGCGTCTAAGATTATTGCACTTATATAGCGACGTGCATGCACGTGTGTGTGTGTGTGTGTGTGTATGTGTGTGTGTGTGTGTGTGTGTGTGTGTGTGTGTGTGTGGCTGCGTGTACTAGTCCGGACTGATGCCGATTTATAGTGCTAGCAGAGATACCATGCCGCAGTTTAACATGAATACCCCACTCAGACACAGTATACTGACTCCAAGCCGACCAGTTCTTGTTTTAGCCCCTTAATGCCGAGCGCCAGACAGGGTAACAACAAGTACCATCTTTTAACGTCTTTTGGTATGACGCGGCTGGGGATCGAACCCCGGACCTTCCGCTCTCCGGGCGGAGGCTCTACCGTTAGACCACGGAGGCGGTCCCCTAAAAATAGAAACACACGTAGAGAAACATATATGTACTGAGAGGTGGTCCGGAAAATAGGTTCAAGATATCGGTACATTCGAGATAATGAGGTTCGACTGTACATAAAACATCTGTGTGCTTATATGAGTATTCTGTAATCTTGGATATATTTTTCACAATGATATGTTCGAGAACACACAAGAAAAATATTTCTGTCACCCGGTTTTACTTTCAAGCAAATCGTTCGCTGGACATGTCGGGTCTGTTTGTATAAATATAAATTAAAAATAATGAAATTACATACTGAATACTTATACTTGTATATATCGTCGGTTAGTTAGTACCCTTCTATTACTAATACAAACACGATAGCGAAAGTCATCGGTGTCATAATTGGTACGAGCAAACATTTATGCTGTGTCACGGGCATCCATACATATGAGCCACGTCAATACATTCATACTGAAGATCCGGAGTAGAATAGGTCTTCAGCAACCCATGCTTGCCGTAAAAGGCGACTATGCTTGTCGTAAGAGGCGACAAACGGGATCGGGTGGTTAGGCTCGCTGACTTGGTTGAAGCATGTCATCGATCCCAATTGAGTGGATAGATGCTCATGATATCAATTACTGGAATTTCTGATTCAGACTCGATTATTTACAGACCGTGGTCATAAAACTGGAATATTGCTGTGTGCGGCGTTAAACAACAAACCAACCAGCCTTCATACAAACAAACCAAACTATTCGCACTGTTGTTGATTTCAATCTTATCTTTGATCGCTTTCTGAAGATCAAGTATTGTAGCAATCGCGGGAAGCTGTTACTTCGAGCAAGACTAGGGTAATCATGAAGTTGATTGTAAACTCTCGAGATCCATTGTTGCTAAGGTTGTTGTGAGCAAGTGGGCCTGAGACTAGTGACTGTATCTGCCACCTTAAACAGCATTGCATTGAAATACTAGTAAGCAGTTAGCCAGCTGCGAACAGGGGTGGTCCAGTTGTGTTAGTCGCCCGAATTAGCTGTACAGAGTTACGTCCCTTTGGCGTGCCAGAACAATGTGAACATGAATTCGAATGTTTTTTTTATTGTCAGCACTATACCCGTGCTCGCGGATTTTAACAAAGTTGTAAGACCAACAGCATCACATCAGGTTTCGTCCCAAAAGAAGCTGACATGCGTGATGTGACTGAAACAATGCACATGGAATCCCGTTAACGCACATGTTTTTATATCCATTCTTGGGTAGTGAAATGCATGGGGCTTGCATAAAAGTCAACTTTTGCATTGAATGCATGCTTCTCTGTAGCATTTGCCTTTTTGTGACTTGATCCTATACATGTACTACAATATTGAAAACCAAACTTGTTTGAAAAATACACTAAAATATTGGTGTCACAGGAACTTTTGTTGTTGAGTATATAAGACAAACAGCATCACATCGGGTTTCGTCCCAAAATATGTTGACATGCGTGATGTGACTGAAATACTGATCAAAGCATCGTGAACTCCAGTTCACTATCAGCAATGTATGCTGTGTCTCACATATCAGTTTTTTACTCTTACTTATCATCCCACACTGTGTCGCACATAACAAATATAATACATTTGCCCTTCATATCACATTTCCTTGTGTGTAACACGTTTATATAATGTTATTTCTCATTTGCTCACATTTCCTTGTGTGTAACATATTTCTATAATGTTATTTCTCATTTGCTCACATTTCCTTGTGTGTAACATATTTATATAATGTTATTTCTCATTTGCTCACACTTCCTTGTGTGTAACATATTTATACAATGTTATTTCTCATTTGCTCACATTTCCTTGTGTGTAACATATTTCTATAATGTTATTTCTCATTTGCTCACACTTCCTTGTGTGTAACATATTTATACAATGTTATTTCTCATTTGCTCACATTTCCTTGTGTGTAACATATTTATATAATGTTATTTCTCATTTGCTCACATTTCCTTGTGTGTAACATATTTATATAATGTTATTTCTCATTTGCTCACACTTCCTTGTGTGTAACATATTTCTATAATGTTATTTCTCATTTGCTCACACTTCCTTGTGTGAAACATATTTATATAATGTTATTTCTCATTTGCTCACACTTCCTTGTGTGTAACATATTTCTATAATGTTATTTCTCATTTGCTCACACTTCATTGTGTGTAACATATTTCTATAATGTTATTTCTCATTTCCTCACATTTCCTTGTGTGTAACATATTTATATAATGTTATTTCTCATTTGCTCACACTTCCTTGTGTGTAACATATTTCTATAATGTTATTTCTCATTTGCTCACACTTCCTTGTGTGAAACATATTTATATAATGTTATTTCTCATTTGCTCACACTTCCTTGTGTGTAACATATTTCTATAATGTTATTTCTCATTTGCTCACACTTCATTGTGTGTAACATATTTCTATAATGTTATTTCTCATTTGCTCACACTTCATTGTGTGTAACATATTTATATAATGTTATTTCTCATTTCCTCACACTTCCTTGTGTGTAACATATTTATATAATGTTATTTCTCATTTCCTCACATTTCCTTGTGTGTAACATATTTCTATAATGTTATTTCTCATTTGCTCACACTTCCTTGTGTGTAACATATTTATATAATGTTATTTCTCATTTGCTCACATTTCCTTGTGTGTAACATATTTCTATAATGTTATTTCTCATTTGCTCACACTTCCTTGTGTGTAACATATTTATATAATGTTATTTCTCATTTGCTCACACTTCCTTGTGTGTAACACGTTTATATAATGTTATTTCTCATTTGCTCACACTTCCTTGTGTGTAACATATTTCTATAATGTTATTTCTCATTTGCTCACACTTCCTTGTGTGTAACATATTTCTATAATGTTATTTCTCATTTGCTCACACTTCCTTGTGTGAAACATATTTATATAATGTTATTTCTCATTTGCTCACACTTCCTTGTGTGTAACATATTTCTATAATGTTATTTCTCATTTGCTCACATTTCCTTGTGTGTTACATATTTCTATAATGTTATTTCTCATTTGCTCACATTTCCTTGTGTGTAACATATTTATATAATGTTATTTCTCATTTGCTCACATTTCCTTATGCCTTACGTATTGATACGGGGGCGGTCGGGTAGCCCAGTGGTTAAAGCGTTCGCTCGTCACGTCGAAGACCCGGGGTCGATTCCTGACATGGGAAGAATAAGTGAAGCCCATTTCTGGTGTCCCCCGCCGTAATATTGCTGGAATATTGCTAAAAGTGGCGTAAAACCATACTCACTCACTCACTCATTGACATCACACTGTTATCCATTAGATCACATATATCCCTGTGCCTAACATATTGACATAACACTCTTACCCATTATATCACATTCCACATGAAAACATGAAACGTTGTCGCTAGAGAATAACCTCCCGACTATACGACGAAACAGATTACACTGGGAGTAAAAGGCAAGATAGCCATGAAAATTATATGAATGACTCTGAAAATCAAAGCATTGCGTTATTGATAAGAGCTCTTCCGTTTACTTTGAATGTCGTGTTGGAAGATAAATGTTTACCTGGATAACATTCGATGTGGGAGTCGAGGAACACCAGGACTGGTCCAGCAGCCACTTCATATCCTGTCAGCCTCGCTCTGATTAGACCCTGGTGCTCCCGGTGTCTGACAATCTTCACCTTTCCCAATTTTGACATGTATGTCTTCAAGGATGCCTTCAAATGATCTAAAGGATACCGTACAAGCCACATAACACACATTGCTGAACATTAACATATTAAAAATAAATCTTTAAGGTGAGGTGAAATTGGGTTTAACGTCGCGTCCAAGATTATTGCACTTATATAGCGACCTTTAAGGCATGAACAAGTAAAATCAATAATAATAATGATAATCATAATCATAATCATAATTGAATTTTCTGTCCCCTTTGACACAATTGTGATTGACAAGATTGAGGAAAAAACATAGCAAATATGCGGACCTCACTTTCCAAATGTCACGCTTGCATCCCAAGTACCAAGTTCTCCGACGCCCTATTGTTCTCGGTGCCTCAGGTTTGGTAACTCCCAATCTGTTGACTGACATTGGGAGAGTACCCAGGTTTTCTTCCAGGAATACATCCCTTCTGACAATCTGGGTAATGCAGATCTAGAAGGCTGCAGTGTTGGGGAGTCTTCACATTCTGCTAAAAGTTCTGGTTGGGTTTGACTAAGCAGCGCTTCCTGGGAGAAGTCTGGGCTGCGTGTAGAGGGGGCAAACTTAAGGGCCCTGAGCTGATGATGAGCCTAACCAGCCTGACTGAGCCAGGATCACCCAAACCCTCTTTGATGCATTTTTGAGTTTAATTTGTCAATAATAATAATAATAATAATAATAATAATAATAATAATAATGATAATAATAAAGCGGACAGAACCCTTTCCATATCAAATAGGAATCTCTGCATCAGACAGATTGTACGATTCCGACTATGGCACGAACATGTGTTCATGAATCACTGTCAGATGGTGATGATACCTTGTGTTTGTGAAAAGGTGAGCGTATCATGTCACAAACACATGCCGATCTCGTATATATTTTTGTTTCTGACCCCCCCCCCCCCCCCCCCCCCCCCCGACTACCCTGGAGCCTGATGTGCCCTATGCAGCAAATTAATATATCCCTTGAAAACCATTTTTCAAAGCTGTGTGTCAACTACTCATTGCAAGATCCAGGACACGACAATGTTGTCCTGGCATACCCTACACATGAATCATTGAACAAGTATAACCTTTTATACAACGTAGTGTTTTCCGGTACCTTGAGTAGATGCATCGTCAACGAGATTTATCTCCCTTATGAGATGTGCAGGAGATCGGTCAAGGACGCTGTGGACAGATCTGAGGAGTGTGGACCAAGCCTCGTTATGGAAGCAGATGATGACACTAGCTGGAGGTAGATCGGCTGGGTATGATATTGACTTACATCTGTAAAGTGAAAACAATGGTCGAAGGGTCAATATACACTGCGCCTATGTTGAGCCGATAAACAATCCAAAAATGACATCGGAACAATGCAACGTCAATGCTAGAAAATAACCAGTCTCGGTTATCCGAAGAAACAGATTCCAGTGGGCGTAAAAGGCAACATACGATGAAAGCTTTATAAATGGATCTGCTATAGAACCAGAGAAGTATATAAGTATGTATAAGTGTCATCACACAATTTCAGTGTAAATTTTAGACGTAGATGTGAATAAAGGGACGTTGAAGTGGGTATCTGTAAAAACTGCCAATTAGGAGAAATTGAGGATGAAATTCATGTTTTATTAGTATGTGATAAGTATGAACATCTTAGAGAAAAGTTTTTTCCAATGTTTAACAATAGGCATTAAAACAAGATGTTAATGATCAGTCTTATAAAATCTAAGAACTCTGCTTTTATACGTTCATTAGCCATATTGTTGAAACATATATTCTCTGTCAGATAGTTTTTTATATATCATGTATATCACGTGACTAAACAAATGAAACTGAAAATGTCAACTGCACAATGGGCCATGTGGCCTCACATACCGAATAAAATATCTATGAATGGATCAATAAAAAGGTGTTCGTTTTAAACCACGCCTACTTGCTTGATTGACAATGTCAGTCAAAGTATTGCTCACCCTAACAGTGACTGTAGAATCGTACATGATTCCCTGTACAAGGTAGTGTATTATATTGTTAAACAGTGATTGCAGCTGTGTTGCATTGTTATTTTTGGGATTCGGTAGACGCTTATTGCATTGTGTTTGGACAGTGATCAGTCGTCAGGGAGTTACTATATTTAGATGCTGGTGTGGTGTGTACATTTCCGGTCGGGTATACCGTGGACTGTGATAGAATGTTATGGAAACTTCTATAATGTTCTAGTGCAGATGGACTGGTGAGGTCACTGTATGAAAATTTCCAGAAGCTTGTTAGGCTGTTTTTATAGTGAGACAATAGCGTGTTTACGTATTTCTCACACATTTTCGTCACATCGAAAACAGCTTTCATGTGAGGATCGCTCATCATCCCTGATACCCTTCTCGGAAGCTTAACTACTGGCCACTTGGTGATTATATAGAGAGACTTCAGCCATTAAGACTGCACTTTCATAAAGGTTTGTGGCGGTACTTCATCTGTATATATATTAAAATTTTTGTTTTTGCATATATACAGATGAAGTACCGCCACAAACTTTTATGAAAGTGCAGTCTTAATGACTGATGTTTCTGTTTACAATATTCGCAATGGTTACCTTTAGATAGTTCTTTAATGAGTGTAGAATAAACAAATATAACTGCACTACCTGGACAGTTGGCCATTAAACACAGAAGCAAAGGACACATGATAGATCCATTACACTGACATCAATGTAATGCTAAATTGTCACAATATGATTGATTTCCGTTTTGAGAGCAGGTCTTTTTTTCGTATTATTCCGTTTCATATTATATACACATGCATAAATCAATAATTCACAAAGTCTGCCTAACTGTAAAAGTGGCTGTGTTGCGTAACATCTGTGTGGCGACGTTCATCATACTTAAGCAGAATTCTCTATTGTGTGCCTGGGGCTCGCGCACTCAGACAATCAAGACGTAGTATCGTGACTGCACTGAATAAAGTACACGTAAATGCAACACAAACTGTTGTTACTGCTATTTTAACGTTAATTTGATCACTCACGGACCTTTATGTGGTGTGTCTAACTCGCGAATTTAGAGTGAGTGGGTGGGTGAGTGAGTGAGTGAGTGAGAGGGTGGGGCTATGGTTGTGAGTGAGTGAGTGAGTGTCAGTGTCTGTGAGTGAGTGTCAGTGTCTGTGAGTGAGTGAGTGAGTGAGTGAGTGAGTGAGTGAGTGAGTGAGTGAGTGAGTGGGGGCTATGGTTGTGAGTGAGTGGGGGCTATGGTTGTGAGTGAGTGGGGGCTATGGTTGTGAGTGAGTGGGGGCTATGGTTGTGAGTGAGTGAGTGAGTGAGTGAGTGAGTGAGTGAGTGAGTGAGTGAGTGAGTGAGTGAGTGAGTGAGTGAGTGAGTGAGTGAATGAGTGAGTGAGTGAGTGAGGTTTTAGTAATATTCCAGCAATATCACGGACACCAGGAATGGGCTTCACTTGTTATACCCATGCTGGGGGTGGAACCTTGACCTGCTATGACGAAAGAACGATTGAACTACAAGGCTAGCCCACCGCCCCCAGAAAACAGTTAGAATACATTACTGTACCATATGAATGATAAGGCATTTTCCTGAACCACACTAACTGTTTGATTGGCATTCCAGAAGTTGTTGATCATGAGTAAATAACAGAACATTCAACTTTATGGTTAACAGCTTCTGGTTCTATTTCATTCAGCGACATTTCGATGTAGATTCCAGCTTAATATCAGTGAAAGAATCTAAACCGAAGTTTCTTCTTCTTAGTTGCATTTTGTCTTATTTCCTGTCAGTCTGGTTCCCTGGTTTACTACGCTGACTCTACACTGTAGCCAGCGCAGCATACCCAGGGAACCAAGCTGATTTCTTGTGCCATACATTTTGTATCCCCTTTACGTACATTTATTTAAGTGCCAATTCTTACATATAATGTCACGAGGTTAGATAAGTTCATGTGACATTAAAAGTTAGACCCGCAAAGATTCTGGGTAGAATTGGTCTTCAGCAACCCATTCTTGCCGTAAAAGGCGACTATGCATGTCGTAAGGGGCGACTAACGGGATCGGGTGGTCAGGCTCGCTGACTTGGTTGATGCGTGTCATCAAATTCAAATTTGTTTCTAGGTTTGTCCGCACCATCCCCGTGCTTGTGAGTTTCACCGAAGTGGTAAACGTCTGAGACCTGCATCACTTCGGGCTTTCCTCACACATTAAGCTGACACGCCGTGATATAACTGGAATACTGTTAAAAGGGGCGTTAAACCCAACTCACTCACTCACTCACTACTACAAGCAAGTGCAACACTCTCAGAACCCAAGCACCTAAACTGTTTAAACGACTTTGTTTTGATAACCGTATACGTATTTTAAAAGATATTAAATAACTCTTTCCTCCATTGTGTGAGACCTGCATGATTCACGGGAAATATGTTCCTCCCACGGACAATATTTGCCAACTCGGATTACGAAATGCATGTCCTGGTGTAAGTGTTCAATTCAAACAGGACCTTCGAACACATTTATTAATCACCTAAGTATTACTTCCCCATGTTGATGGGACTAAAATCGGTCAATGTAGCCCCGGTCAAGTATTTTAATGTCTATCTCCTTTTATTTTGAAGGAAAACCTACCAAATAACACGTAAAGTACAGTGCACGGAATAACATAGAGGGTCCTGCAAAAAACATTTATTTCACCGTTGCATACAAATGATAATATTAATGTAACTGGTAGGGAGATGTTCAATGGCGAACAGACTCGGAACAGATAATTTCGTCCTTGAAACAACTGACAATGAATGATAAATATAACATAAAACGTTTGAAATGCCTTTATTAATGACAACACATCCAAAGGCAAGTCAATTGTTCGACTGACAAAAGCACGGGAATATATGTTTCATGTCAAAATTGAGAATTTCATCGGGCATCAATTTTGTCACTGATGCGTTAAATTTGGAAATGTCCTCCACATGTCTACCATGAAACGTTTTGAAAGCTTTACTGAGGCCTTGAATGTTGTAACCTTGATCAAACAGCTTTTGAGCAAGAGTCATATGACTCCCTTTGAAATATTAGTAGAAAGAGCTCGCTCGATTTTACCTCAAAAGTTGTAAAATGTAGACACCAAGAGCTGGAGTTGCAGGAATATTGCACAACATAAATGGAAAGTTGACTGTTGGAAAGTTGAAGTCTTGTCATACAGTCTGGTGGAGAATGTTTAGGCATAAATCTAGATATGAAAACTGAGGAAGCTGTTTCAGTGCTCTCCTTTATTTCTAGTTCAGGTGGGTAAATCATAGGAAGGGAATTTTCTATCTGATAGTTATTGAACATTATAAGATAATCGATGTACCTGGAGCTTAAAACACGTGGTATTTTAAAGATGTGATATATATATTTAGTGTTCTGTTGAGGTAACTAATTTTGGTATATTTCTTCCTGAATAAAATGTTATTTACAGCTCTCGCTGAAATGTGGTCAATAACAAGTATAATTGTCAAACAAAGCCTAGATATTACAGGCATACCTTTCCTGTATTTGGTTTTATCGAACACCAGATGTTGTTATCAGCCACCACTCATGTCGAAAACATAATTTTACACATCAAGTATTTGCCTCAAAAGAAAATACAAAGTATTGACGAAATCGTATGCCTCTGGCATTCTTGCCCTCAAGCTGGAGCCATGTCGATATATTTTACGTTTTAAACACAACACGGAAGAGGATTTACAGCTATTCCATACGTGGAATGTGCTAAATTGATATCGGGAACGGTTTCTGCACGCGCTAGGAAAGGGGCTAGCATCAAAATTCACACTGTCGATGATCGCTTTGGACGTCCAAGGGAAACAATTGCAGCCTCGGACAGCTTTGGTTGGACAGTCGGTTGCAAACTGCCTCTCAGATTAGGGTCCGGTTGTAACAGGCAGCTGGTGTAAGAGTACATGTCCACATGGTGCGACATCATCTGGACATTCGCGTGCACGACGTCCATGTGTCATCCCATGACTTACTACACGTCAACTGAATCAAGGAACACGTCAGCACGGGAAAAATCGACGTTGGCCTAATGTCATGTTTTCTGACTAATCGAGGTTCACTCTTGACTTCCATGACAGAAGGAATCGAATTTGGAGACGTCCTAATGAGCGTTTTATGGACGTTAACGGCGTACAAGCCGTCTTCCCGAATCAAGGGCGTTAACTGGCTATGAAAGTCCAGTTTTGACCCTTGCCGAACTAGGCTTGTATTCTGGAGTTACATTTTGGCTGGACTAACGCGTCTATGCATTGTCCAATCAAAATCGCGAAACGAACTACACGGATTTCAACTTTCAGATTTCGGTCGACTGCAGGTTTTGCAAAGCCTGTGTACCGCCAATTTGGCGTCGACATATATTTTGCAAATCTTTTCATGTTTTTAATCAAGGTGCTTATGTGATTTCATGCACTTCGCGGCGTAGGACCCTTTTAATACAATATAGATCTTGATTATCGATGAGATCGTTTTGACTGGGCGCCGCCATATTGTTTGAAGCAAATGCAAGTGATATGAGTGATTGAATCTTATTGGTCAATAGAAGGGACATTGAAGGGACATAACTCATAATAGCGACTGGTGGCGCTACGATCGAGCCTGGAATTACCAGCCTAGTTCGGCAAGGATGGGAACTGGACTTTTGTAGTCAGTTAACTCCTTTGCCTCGGGAAGATGGCGAACAGTATGACCGTTTTGTTGTGGGCCTAAATGATACGGGGTGGTATCACAATAACTGGCCATGGCTGAACTGTGTTCTATATTGTGTCGATACTGTTTTTACAACATCATTGCACCACTCGCGGTGCCATTTGCACAACGTGTTGGGCATTTTTTGCATCTTTCAAGATGTTCAGGATTGTGACCCAGTTCAACAGCAAACCATCCATGTCATGCCATGTCCATGGCCAGCACTCAGTCCTGACCTTTCCCCAAATGAACACGTTTTGGGACGTGGTATTGGCAGACGTGTACATCAACGTCAAAATCTACTCTCAATAAACTGATTTCAGTAATGAAAAACATAATTCAAACTGACATTGATCGGCTCAACATAAGCATGCCTCGAAGAACTTGTGCATGTCTGACTAACAGAGGTGGTTTTACCCGATATTAGTGACGTTGGTTGCAAAGTGTAAATTTCTGTTTTGACCCCCGATCTCTTTAACGACCTAATGCGCCGCAAGCTCGCCAACACCAACCACAGGAACCTTTTAGATCTGATCACCTTCTCCTAGGTATGATCGTATGATATACATTTGCCAATACCATATAGATCAGATATGTTTCGATGATTCTCACTATCCCCTAATGATTTGCGTAGTATACTACACTCGCACACTTTATTTATAATCATGTTTTCGAAAGATGGTGACCAAAACCACTTCCGCAATCATAAGAAATCTTTGCTAATGACAGAGCCCATTGTAAGATTCCGATTATATCATGAGCATGTGTTTATGCATCACAAATAGTTCTGCTACCAAGTTTTCGCGAAAAGGTGAGCGTATCCTGCTCCTCTGGTGGCACACGTTACAAACATGTTCAAAGGCAAGTCAATTATCCAACTGAAGAAAACACGGAAAGATATGGTAAAAACCAAAGCAGATAATTGCATCATGGATCAGATATAAAGAAAATGTAACTGATGGTCAAATTTGGAGTTGACCTCCACGAGCCTAACCTAAAACTTTTTGAAAGTTTTTTTTCTGAGGCCTTGAACGATGTACCCTTCATCAAACAACTCGTGTTTTAATTTGAGAATGAGCACGTGTCAAGTTGTTAAAACATGGAATTCTATTCTGTGTTTAATGTGTCGTTGTCATTAGATCAATTTAGATAAATGTCACATAAAATTCGTTATCGGCACTTATTGAGGTTCAAAACATTTCCTTGATTTAGGGAACAGTGCTGACAAAACCCACAAAACTAGACTGGTAAAGATGTTCCAGTCTTCTGCTGTTATCCCCTTAAGAACTTAGCAAACCATGTCAAAGGCCCTGCTAATCTCCCATCCCCACACCTATAACTAGTTTGACATGTTGTAGTACTCAATCAATATTAAAAATTGTAAGCAATTGTGAATGTGCCTTGGGCAGTATTACCGATCTATAATTATACTGAAAATACCTGCTGAATGCTCTTGGTGATCACTATTCAACTACACATGGAGATGAAACATATCAATGGTGTTGGAACTATTGATGGAAATAATTATAAAGAGTCAAGTCTTGATTATTGCCGAAACAGATTCCAGTGGGCGTATACGGGAACAAAACTGGGGAAAATTATATGAATGGATCACTGAAAATCAGCAACAGCAGGTATTGGCGAAACGAGTACACAATTTCTGCCCTGCCGGTAGCATCCGCCACACGTACGATTTGCATGAAAAGCAAGTGTTTCAGAGCTACCCCGACAGACGGGATGCGAATAGTGACCTTAAAACAGTATAAGGGTGTGTTTAGATGTCAAGTCGCTTGCGCAATGTTGTAACCCTATAGCGCCGAGAATAAATTATTTAATAATAATCGTATTTAAAAAGAATAAATGTTGATTTAAAATCTTAGTGCAGGAACCAGCTGCAGTTAATTGATTTCAGTTGGTGAAATTTATCATACTTCCTTGACATATTTACATTACATGACATGAACGTACTTGTTCAGGCGAGCACTTGACTTTTCTTTGCAGGACGTAATATTATGTCTGCGCCATCAGTGGGGCAGGAGTGAGTGAGTTTGGTTTAACGCCGCTTTTAACAGTATCCAAGTCATATCACGGCGTGTCAGCTTAATGTTGGAGGAAAGCCCGAAGTGACGCACGTCTCAGACGTTTACCACTTCGTTGAAACCCACGAGCACGGGTATGGTGCTGACAAACCTAGAAACATAATCGGGGCGAACCGTGATTCGAACCCACAATCATCGGTTTCTGGCGTGCCCAAGGGACGCAACTCTGCACAGCGAATCGCGGCGCCTGTGGGGCAGGACGCTGTCAACGTTTGGTATTAGGTCTGATAACAACTGATACCATACTATTGTAATTCACAAATGCTCATAATATGGTCAGAATGTTAAAGTGGACTTTCCCATGATTATAGAAAGGGTTTTTTCGCTTGTATTTACATACATACTCTTCCAGCCTACTGTCTGGTAGACGCCGATGTACGGAGATCCGGTCGCTCACCAGTTGGTTAAAGCCATTTCTCTTCTTCCCCTCTTTATATTCCCCCTCCTCCTCTTTTGTGTGCTTGTAATTGTAAACAGCTCCCCATTCTCCTGGGGGGGGAAATTGACTACAATTATGAACCGGTCATGCAGTCATGCATAAACAAAGACGACAATGATACCCACGTTACCTAGGGCTGTCGTGTCAGAGACCTATATATTAACAATGGTAGTTTCTATGTTACATATGACTAAAAAGTGAGTGAGTGAGTGAGTGAGTGAGTGAGTGAGTGAGTGAGTGAGTGATCACGAGTTGGAATATTATTCACGGCATAAAGGGAAAGCAAACTATTGGACGAGAACGTTTGCAATACAAAAAAAACAACATTATTCGCAATAATGCGGTAACGTTTACTGTTAATATACATATGCAATAAAAATAAGTATACGCAACAGAATAGTGTCTGATATCATAAACCTAGGAGATAAAGTAACGTCTCTATGTAGGGAATCGAACCGAGGTTTTCGGAAGACGAGCCATGGAAACCATACTCGTGAATATCCGGGGGTAAAATAGGTCTTCAGCAACCCATGCTTGTCGCTGATGCATTTCATCGTAACCCAGTTGCATTGATCGATGCTCATGAGGTCCATCATTGGATTGGCTGGTCCAGATTATTTACAGACCGCCGACATAAAGCTGGAATAATGTTGAGTGCGGCGTTAAACAGCAAACAAACAAACAAACAAAACTTAGCTATCAAATCACCCCAAGCGAGCGTCAGCATTATAAGAGCTGTACCCTTTGTCTTACCTGGACCATTCTCCGGACTGTGCTCTACAAACGGTGGATAGGTCACATTACTGTTTTCTCCTCCGTACCAATCCACATAGTATTCCACATTATGGGTTTTATGTGTATAAAGTCCAAGTTGCTCTGCCGCCTTGTCCGAGAGCTCTTCTTTCTTGTGGTTACTTTCGTTCGTTCTTTCAGGGACGATTGCTTGACGACTCTGATCTAACCAATTAGCGTTTGATTTAACATCACCTTGTGTGTGGCTTTCGTCCTCTTCATCATCTTTCATATCGGCTACAGCAGCATCAACATGTAGACGTGGCGAATTATGAACACCAATCACTTTATCATTTCGTTTGTGTTGACCAAAGATCTGCATTAAAATTCTTGCTGTAAATACAATTGAGAACAACATACAGGAAACTCTGATGATGTTAAGTGTTGAACGCCTCATACTGTACGCGGAGAATCGATGTTGTGGCAATACTACAAATGTCCAGACCGTGATCGCTTGCACGCAGTACTCGTACTGACGGACACTATCCTTGGAAAGCTGTAATATATTGATATTGATATATTATATATTTGGCGGACTTCATGCGAGACCGTCGTGACCCGATCAAACATTTCCCACAATCAGATCGCAATGAAATGAAATGTACTTTTAAGAACATGGTTAGAATTCTGAATTGAAGCGTCATTTTTGTCATGCACACACGTGCATCGATACGAAATCGTCAGATATTTTTTTATTAGTAGAACATGATTCCGCATGCCGGATGTTGGATGCCGGACGTCGGATGTTGGATGCCTGGACGCCGGATGTAGGATACAGGTACCGGATGCCGGATGTTGCATGCTGGACGCCTAATGTGGGATATACAATTCAGGACGCAGGATGGGGGATACAGGATGCCGGATGTCGGATATCGGATGCCGGTTGTGGGAAATAGGATACAGGATGCCGGATGTTTGATGCCGGACGCAGGATGTGGCATACATGATGTCGGATGCCGGACGCCGGATGTGGGATGCAGGGTGCCGGACGCCGGATGTGGGATGCCGGATGCCGGATACCGGATTTGGGATATAGGATGCAGGACGGCGGATGTTGGATGCCGGACGCCGGATATGGGATGCAGGGTGCCGGATGCCGGATGTTGGATGCCGGACGCGGGATGTGGGATACAGAATTCCGAATGCCGGATGTCGGATGCCGGACGCCGGATGTGGGATATAAGATGCAAGACGCCGGATGCTGAATGCTTGACGCCGGATGCGGGATATAGGATGCAGGACGCAGGTTGTGGGATACAGGATACAGGATGCCGGATGTCGGATGCCGGACGCCGCATGGGGATATAGGATGCCGGATGTCGGAAACGGGACGCCGGATGTGGGATGTAGGGTGCCGGATGCCGGATGTTGGATACCCAACGCCGGATGTGGGATATAGGATGCCGGATGTGGGATGCCGAACGCCGGATGTGGGATATAGGATGCAGGGTGCCGGATGTGGGATGTCGGATGCAAGACGCCGGATGTGGGATGCAGGTTGCCGGATGCCGGATACTGGGTGCCGGGTGCCGGTTGCCGCGTGTCGGGTGTCGGGTGCCGACTACAAGATCATAGATTTTAAAAACATTTACCACATATCCGATGCCAGACGACGGATCTCATGCTGGTTATCGACGCCAGGCGTCATATGTTTGTTACCGAATTTCGGATGCCACTTGCGGGAAGCCAGATGCAGATGCCAGAAACCAGATACTTTATACCGGATGCCAAATGTGACTCATGAAGAAAACTTCCTCCCACATTAAGCTGACACGCCGTGATATAACTGGAATGCTGTTCAAAGCGGCGTTAAACCCAGTCACTGAGAATATGGAGTCAGCGATGGTAGGGTTGATGCAATATGGAGGGGTTGACGGCAATGTTGGAATATAGAGTGATCAACGGCAATATGACAATGACTTAATTATGCTGTCTCGTGCCATCTTGAGAAATGCCAACTATCTGAGAGTCATTATTATGATAAAGGCGGTATGGTGACTATGGCAGTGCTATGTTACGTAAAAGCAGCATGCTGTGATGAGTTGGTTCCCTCTGTTTATTGATACCGTGGACAACATGTGTTCAAGTCATTAACCTGAATGGATTTCCTCATAAACGCAACTTCTGTGATATTGAATGGATATGATACCTTCATTGTGTAAAAGCCAGACTGTTAAATATTCAATATTTATTCAGACCTGAGTTTGGGACACTGTTATCAATAACAACTTCTTTTGTTCTCTGTCTTGCTCCTTCAACAGGTGAATGCTGGGGAAGTGCATAGAACATGGATATATATGTTTACACAACACAAGGTGGAGTGAATGTACAAAGATAACAATATAATGACATAGCCAAACCGTGTGAATTCACGGTGTTAGTTGACTATTATATCACCAACTGATACATACGGTGGCCCATAAGAGACATGGAGTCTGTTTTTCCATATTTTGATATTTCTCTTACTTTTATCGTTACATTTTGCAAATTAACACTAAAATTCATGATCAAAGTCGACCCTCCAGGTCCCTGTGTTACCCCCAGAGAATGTAGTGACAATGCTCGGATTTGTTTATGTAATTCTGTCCTGTGCAACCCGAAGATAGTCGAGTATCGAGGGACAATCACTCCAGCATACTCCTCATGATGAGGATGGTCATCTGGCTGCATTTTAAGAAGGCAGGCCTTTGATAATAAAGACGGTATTCTTCGAGATTGTGTCATTAATAAATAATCAAACAGAAACTGGTTTGGCTCATGGAAAGCGTCTATCAACGCAGCGAACCCAGCGCTACCGATCCTCCTTCCGCCATGTTGGTTTGAATTTCGCGCTGCGGTCAAGGTGAAAGTCGTTTTCGCGCCACGGTAAAGGTCGCAGCGACCAACCCTCGGTCCCGAGACAAGAGTTTATAACCAGGCGCCTTTGGTCAAGTCACTGCCACACATGCCACTGCTTGTTATCATCAGATGATTGTCACACACATGTTGCCAACGGACTGTCACATACCTTTATTGGACGACAGTCAGAAACATGTTATCAACTGACTTGCTCTCTCAAGTGTATCAAAGATTCCATAAGCCGACTGTTGATAAACCAGTCGATACAATGTCTTTGTGTTGGTTTATATCGAAATCAAAGAAGTCGATTACATTGATTGCATTTGTGTACAGTGGTTGATAAACAGTACATGTAGGATCGCGGCAGAGCTCTCGTCTCAAACTACGGATTAATCGATATGTGTAGCTGGTGTGGTGTGGTGTGGTGTGGTGTGGGGAGCTCTCGTCTCAAACTACGGATTAATCGATATGTGTACCTGGTGTGGTGTGGTGTGGTGTGGTGTGGGGAGCTCTCGTCTGAAACTACGGATTAATCGATATGTGTACCCGGTGTGGTGTGGTGTGGTGTGGGGAGCTCTCGTCTCAAACTACGGATTAATCGATATGTGTACCTGGTGTGGTGTGGTGTGGTGTGGGGAGCTCTCGTCTCAAACTACGGATTAATCGATATGTGTACCCGGTGTGGTGTGGTGTGGTGTGGTGTGGTGTGGTGTGGGGAGCTCTCGTCTCAAACTACGGATCAATCGATATGTGTGCCCGGTGTTGTGTGGTGTAGTGTGGTGTGGGGAGCTCTCGTCTCAAACTACGGATTAATCGATATGTGTACCCGGTGTGGTGTGGTGTGGTGTGGGGAGCTCTCGTCTCAAACTACGGATTAATCGATATGTGTACCTGGTGTGGTGTGGTGTGGTGTGGTGTGGTGTGGTGTGGTGTGGTGTGGGGACCTCTTGTCTCAAACTACTGATTAATCGATATGTGTACCCGGTGTGGTGTGGTGTGGTGTGGGGAGCTCTCGTCTCAAACTACGGATTAATCGATATGTGTACCTGGTGTGGTGTGGTGTGGTGTGGTGTGGTGTGGTGTGGGGAACTCTCGTCTCAAACTACTGATTAATCGATATGTGTACCCGGTGTGGTGTGGTGTGGTGTGGTGTGGTGTGGTGTGGTGTGGGGAGCTCTCGTCTCAAACTACGGATTAATCGATATGTGTACCCGGTGTGGTGTGGTGTGGTGTGGTGTGGTGTGGTGTGGTGTGGGGAGCTCTCGTCTCAAACTACTGATTAATCGATATGTGTACCCGGTGTGGTGTGGTGTGGTGTGGGGAGCTCTCGTCTCAAACTACGGATTAATCGATATGTGTACCTGGTGTGGTGTGGTGTGGTGTGGTGTGGTGTGGTGAGGTGAGGTGAGGAGGTGAAATCGGTTTTCACTTCACGTTCAAGATTATTGCAATTATACAGCGACGTTCATACAAGCGTGTGTATTGGTGACTGCTTGTACCAGCTCGGTCCAATGCCGGTTTTGTTATGCTAGCCCGTTGAGATACCACGCCGCAGTTTTAACGTGGATACCCCAAACAAACACTGTATACTGACTCCGAGCCGACCAGTCCTTGTTCTATCCCCTTATACCGAGCGCTAGTTAGGGTAACATCAAGTCCCATCTTTTAACGTCGTTCGGCATGACGCGTCAGGGGATTGAACCACCGACATTTTGCTCTCCGGGCAGATTCTCTGTCCACTTGACCACGGAGATGGTCTTGTGTCAGGATATTTGGTGAACAAGGTGCTATTGTATATCGAAATGTACCTGTACCTGTCTTGCTTTGTTTGTTTGTTCGCTTTATTTTTGTTGTTTTACCGCTCATGCTTGACCATTCGATCCAATTTAAGTTGTCTCTTTCGAGTGTTGTTGGACTATTGGAAAAACAAAACATTCGTCACAGGTTGTTTCGCGATGTATGAAGTGTAAAAGTAGTTATTAGTCACCCGTTGAAGACACCACTTTATTATAATACTGCTGAATCTTACTTTGTAACCTTATAGACCCGTGAAAATCCGGGGTAGAAAAAGGTCTTCAACAACTCATGCCTGCCGTAAAAGGATACATAAATTATCCACATGTGTGTTACATCCTAAAAGACCCTTGAAGATTCGGGGTAGAATGGGTCTTCAATAACCCATGCTTGCCGTAACAGGCTAACTATGCTTGTCGTAAGAGGCGACTGAAGGGAGGTGGTCAGGCTCGCTGACTTGGCTGATGCATGTCATCGTATTCTCAATCGCGTGGATCGATGCTAAGGATAGCAATCACTGAATTGTCTGGTCCAGACTCAATTATTTACAAAACACCGTCATATAGCTGGAATATTGCTGAATGCGGCGTTAAACAACAAACGAACAAACATGTGCTGACGGGTAATTCGGATGTTGGCAATAGTAGGACTGCGAACGCGGCTCCCATGCGTAAAGATGCATTGGGGCGGTAGTCTGGTAATTAAAATATTGGCTCGTCACGCCGAAGACTCGTGTTCGATTCCCCACATGGGTACAATATGTGAATCCCATTTCTGGTGTCCCCCACCGTGATATTGATCGAATATTGCTAAAAGCGGCGTAAAAGCCGTACTCACCCCCTCACTGCCTTTGATCTTGCAGTTCTGGTTATAAAAACATTCATAGCGAACCCTATTGCAATTTGTGTGCGCCTTGAGCATGCCACTTTGTGGTTGGTTGGTTGGTTTGTTGATTTACGCCGCACTCAGCAATATTCCAGCTGTATGACGGCGGTCTGTAGATAATCGAGTCTGGATCAGACAATCCAGTGATTGATATCATGAGCATCGATTCACGCAATTGGATCGATGACATGCTTCATTGTGGTGTGGAAATAGCGCACTATACATGACCTTCTTCTGCTCCTTCTTATTATTGGGCGGTCGGGTAGCCTAGTTGTTAAAGCGTTCGCTCGTCAGGCCGAAGACCCGGGTTCGATTACCGACATGGGTACAATGTGTGAAGCCCATTTCTGGTGTCCCCCGCCGTGATATTACTGGAATATTGCTAAAAGCGGCATAAAACCATACTCACTCACTCACTCACCTTCTTCTTCTTATTGGTGCGGTCAGGTAGCCTAGTAGTTTAAGCGTTCGCTCGTCACGCCGAAGACCCGGGTTCGATTCCCCACATGGGTACAATGTGTGAAGCCCATTTCTGGTGTCCCCCGCCGTGATATTGCTAGAATATTGCTAAAAGCGCGTAAAACCATACTCACTCACTCACTCTTCTTCTTATTATTATTATTATTAAATCATACTCACTCATCCTATCTTTCCGAGGCAAGAGAGTTAACTGACTATAAAAAGTCCAGTTTCCACCTTTGCCGAACAAGGCTGGTATTTTGGAGTTACATTTTGGCTGGACTAACGAGTCTATGCATAGTCCAATCAAAATCGCGTACCGAAATCGCAAAGTGTCATGCAGATTTCGGTCGACTGCAGGAATTGCAAAGCAGGTGCACCGCTAACTCGTTGTCAACAGATATTTTCTATATCTTTTCATGTTTTAAATCAAGGTGCTCACGTGATTTGATGCACTTCGCGATGTAAGACTCGTTTGATCACAATATAGATCTTGATTATCGATCAGCTCGTCTTGACTGGGCGCCACCGTTTTGTTTGAAGCAAATGCAAGTGATACGAGAGGTTGAATCTGATGGGTCAATAGGAGAGGCATAGAATGGACATTACTCGTAACAGCCACTGGTGGCGTTACGATCGAGCCCAGGAATTCCAGCCTAGTTCGGCAAGGGTGGAAACTGGACTTTTATAGTCAGTTAACTCCCTTGCCTCGGGAAGATGTACTCACCCCGGACGGATAAGCTTCGCCCTGTACATATGTACATCTAATTTGCATGAAACGGGACTTCATGCGACCATGTTAAAAACACCCTTAGTTTTTTATTAACATAATTATTTATTTTGTCCGTGATTTTGTGCCCTTGCCTATATGTTGTTCGATAGAGTCTCAGTGGACATTCTTTGCCCGTGTTGTTCAAGTAAAGTATCGTAGCATTATACAGGTTAGAAGCATTAGTAATTAACGAATCATGTCGTAATTCATCGACGTATTTTTATCAACTTTAAATATCACGTTCAAAGTGGCCGCCCTTTGAACACGTGGCCAGTGGTTGGACCTTCACTCGGGTGAGCTCGACATTTTTCGTCAAAAAAACCTCCGGCAGCAGTGGAGTAATACTATTGCATGAATAGACTGTAAACCGTTTATCGCCAGATCCTGCCGCATATAGTTCGTATAACATGACGGACCGTTTTTAAGACAGACAATTCTTTGTTTAACATTAATGAGATTTACACATTGCTTTGAAGACAATCGCAAACCGTAATATTTCCAATATTGAATGTTTTCAATATTATTTCTATTATCTCTTGACGCGTTGATTCAGTATCAGTGAAGGTCCACAACTCTGAGAACAGTAAAATTACAAATAATACCGTTTATTACACAGACATTCAGACTCATGTTTCAGCATATTTACATAAATTAAGTACCATGAATTTGAAACTTAGATTTTGCAAAGTTCCATCTCTGGTTCGCTCCCCCATCACACCTCGTCATCACAAGCGTTGAGTTTTCAGCAACTGTTAAACACTTGTCCGAGGGTTTCAGGTAAAGGGTCTTGGCCTGAAGGTAGATGATGAAGAAAGAGATAAAAAAGAGCATCAACAATATCTTCTGTATATAGGACTCAGTGAGTGAGTTGGGTTTAAAGCCGCTTTTAACAGTATTCCAGTTATATCACGGCGTGTCAGCTAAATGTGGAAAGCCCGAAGTGATGCAGGTCTCAGACCTTTACCACTTCGGTGAAACCCACGAGCACGGGTATGGTGATGACAAACCTAGAAACATAATCAGGGCGAACCGGGATTCGAACCCACAATCATAGGTTTCTGGCGTGTCCAAGGGACGCAACTCTGCACAGCGAATCGCGGCGCCTTAGACGACTGGGCCACCCGTGCACCCAGATGTTTCAATAGAGGAGCAGGGATAGAGGTGACCAAGGTGCGGCGATTCGCAGTGCAGAGTTTCGCCCCTTAGGCGTGCCAGAAATCGATGTTCATAGGTTCAAATCAAACATTCGCTCTAATTATGTTTCTAAGATTTCTACACACCATACCCTTGTTCGAGGGATTAAACCAAAGGTAAATGTTTAAACCTGCATCAGATTAAGTTGAACCCAATCTCACTAAATCAACATTAAATTAAGATTACATTGTGTGCATTGTCAAAAATATCAACACTACTAGCTCTCAATATTCATTAATTTTGGACATTTCTATTTCACAGGTTATAATATGTCTTAATATCAATTAATGAAGAAATAACCCTATTCTCTGTTTTAAATGTTAACGTGTCCCCCGCCGTGTTAATGTTGAAATATTTCTGAAAGCGACGAAACACCCAACTCCCTCACAAATCGTCCGATAGCCTGTTATTTTAAATTTAACATTAGGTGGTGTTTCATCAAGAATGAACCACCTCAAAATTTAAGAACAGAATCGGTTTATCTTCATTTAATCATGAATAAAATTTTCTTTTCTTGAAACGGGTATGTTTTTCTTGATCACGTATTCACTGGAGTGATGCGGTTAGAGTTGGTTATCGTTCATTTAACTACTTGATATTCAGTAACATTGACCAATCAAATCAAGATCAAACTTCAATGTTCTGATAGAATAAACAATAATACACACTACTGACGTGTATCCAGTCGAGGAATCGAATCGAACGTACTCGGGTATGTTGCTTACAAACCCAGAAGCATGATCGGGGCGAATCAGGATTCGAACCCTTGATCCCAAGGGACGCAACTGCCAACAGCGAATCGCGGCGCCTTATGCGACTGGGCCACTCGTGCCTCCTAACCCATCACACATCAAAGAAGCTGACATGGTAAGGTGTGAATGAGTATGGTTTTACGCCGCTTTTGGCAATATTCGAGCAATACCACGGCGGGGGACACCATAAATGGGCTTCACACATTGTACCCATGTCGGGAATCGAACCCGGGTCTTCGGCGTGACGAGCGAACGCTTTAACCACTAGGCTACCCGACCGCCCCTTGGCATTTAGAAGTTGGAATTGTAACTAAGACAAAATGTTATGGATGAGCAACTTCTTTATTACAATTGGGCGACGTTTCGGTGGAGATTCTAACACCGTTATAAAGCATCATGGAAGAGCAACTTCTTTATTACAATTGGGCGACGTTTCGGTGGAGATTCTAACACCGTTATCAAGCATCATTTGCTTGATAACGGTGTTAGAATCTACACCGAAACGTCGCCCAATTGTAATAAAGAAGTTGCTCATCTGCTTGATAACGGTGTTAGAATCTCCACCGAAACGTCGCCCAATTGGAATAAAGAAGTTGCTCATCCATAAAAATTTTGTCTTAAATCCTGTGTTGGCGTGTACCCTATGTCTCCGTCTTTGCATGCGTTCGCGAACACCTGGTATCATCAATGTTGGGTACAGATTCATGGACACATTCTTCTGAAATAATCAGAATCGTGCAATGGAGATCTCGGATGGGTATGGGAAGGGTTTTCATTGACACAAAGCTACTGAATCAGCCTGTGTGTCCAATATCACAGTACCTCCGTATAGGTCCAGTTGTCTGTAGCATTGGCGATGCAATCGTTATGACCAGGTGTTGTCACGCACATCCTTCGAGAGGCCGACACCAACAATACACCAGTCGGGAACAGCTGCCAGTACTGGAAAAAAGGAAAGGAGTCTCATGGGCTAAGTGAGTGAGTGAGTGAGTTGGGTTTAACGCCGCTTTTAACAGTATTCCAGTTATATCACGGCGTGTCAGCTTAATGTGGGAGGAAAGCCCGAAGTGATGCAGGTCTCAGACGTTTACCACTTCGGTGAAACCCACGAGCACGGGTATGGTGCTGACAAACCTAGGAACATAATCGGGGCGAACCGGGATTCGAACCCACAATCATAGGTTTCTGGCGTGCCTAAGGGACGCAACTCTGCACAGCGAATCGCGGCGCCTTAGACGACTGGGCCACCCGTGCCCCCCTCATGGGCCAAGAGTCGTGACGATACTGAAGTACGTGTCCAAGTGATTTACCGTATTCGACGTAATAAGCGCCCAGGGCGCTCTCTCAATTTCAAATAGGGGGGCTCTCATTAGAAAAAAAAATGGAGAAAAAAAAAACAGAGTTGAAAGATTGTAAATTTCGTGGTTTATGCTGACAGCCTGAAATGATACAAAATAGTCTGTGTGTATTATACACGACAGATATATTTATCCAGAATTTAATTGCCCATAATTAAGGTCGCATATGACACACGAGTGCGTATTATACACGAAAAAATAAGTCATGTGTACATTGATCAATCGGAAGGGGTGCTAATTGGGATTGTTTACTAGCCAATATATTAGCAAATATCGCCGTGGGCGCTTATTAGAGCGGGCGCTTATTACGTCGAATACGGTATTTGTCTTTCACGCATCCACATTCCCAGTAGGGTATCCAGGTTACAATATGTCCGTGGGTGCCGTTGTACAAAGCGACCTTAGCGTTAAGGTGATCGTAACTCCCATGCCTTACCATAGACTTACGACAGTCGTAGCGCTAAGGTTGTTTTGTACAACGGCACCTTTGACACTAGTGAAAAGCGTCCTTATAAACCTACTGGCTGTTTGTGTAACTCGATATGGAGTGTTTGAAATTGTGGTAACACCTCGCAGGAGGGCTTACAATCATTGTAAACCCTTGAAAGAACCAAAACTACGAACAGCCTACGAGACGCACGTGCAGATTTCGTGCCATTGCGAGACGCACGTGCAGATTTCGCACCGTTGCGAAACCCACGTGCTGAGGTCACCGGTTTCATTGAACCGAGTTCACGACTGCAGGCGATATTTCATCTCCGATACAGGTTATACATTTGAGAGTTTTTATTACAGTTATTTAACTATAAACGTTGTCTATGCGATGAGTCGGTTTATAAGTTGGACAAACCATGTCTCGAGAGATTACTAGAGATTGTAAATCCTCACATTCGGGAACGTCCATCATGTGAGGGTTTACAATCTCTAGTAATCCCTCGGAGACATGGTTTCTCCTACACATAGTCCCCAGAGGGCAAATGCCACCATACACCAAACACATATGTTAGGTTGGGGAGTGTTTAACGGTTGTTTAACGCCGCACTCAGCAATAATCCAGTCATTTTTGCGGCCTGAAAATAACTGAGGCAAATCTAGTGATCGATATGATGAGCCACGATCCGCGCCGTCGAGTAAGGTGACACCCAATCTTATACGTCACCGAGTGTGAGTACTCGATTCGGTACTCAAGGTTTCCGGGGACCTATTCTACCGCACAGGGTTCTCAAGAGGACATTCATTGCAAGACAAGTATCACAGTGTAACCGTACTTCCTTCAGTCCCAAAAGACATGACCAGCCAATTACGTTGTAAAAGAATAGGATAGTGGTTGACAAGGCAACATCTTCCATGGTGCCATTGGACAGACAGGTAAGCCGGTGAACCCAAAAGGACTTCATGTCCTGGTTCTGTTATAGATTTGTTATTGCCAGTCTAACAAGACTAGAGAGCTTAACGTTACTCCGGATTGATGACTAATATACGGTGTGGGCACCGCCGTCGTATGGCTGGAATATTGCTGAGCGCGACGTTAAACAATAGTGAGTGAGTATAGCATTATTCCAGCAATATCACGGCGGGGGACACCAGAAATGGGCTTCACACATTGTACGCATGTCGGGAATCGAACCAGGGTCTTTGGCGTGACGTGCGAACGCTTTAACCACTAGGCTACCCGACCGCCCCCGTTAAACAATAAACAAACCAAACATATAAAACAACGCCATAATATAGAAATAATCATACTAATGATGATGATGATGATGATAATAATAAAACAATATGCTTTTCATGACACAAATACAATGTCAAAAATAAGATATTGTGACAGCGGTGATGTCCTTTATTCAGAACACGCGCAGTTCTCAACGCTCACCTAAATCTTGAACGCAACGCTGTACCTACTTGCCTTTAAGTGCATGATCATGCAAGCGTAAGATAAGTATAAATACATGTAAATAAACTGCGAATAATAAGTAACAAACGTAGCAGTGCATTCTCGATGTCTATTATCTGAAATACATGTAGTTGCTATGTTGTACGGTTATAGGGAAGTAGATCGGCAAAATGAGAAAAGTTGTATGAGGATGACACTCAAATGAAGAAACCACCAATGCATGTTGTAATTGACGTACCTGGTTATCAGCTGCTTGTTGACAAGGGCGGAGAATAGTTGGTTTCTTGTTGCCCCCAGCTAGGCAGTGAGTTGGTCTGGAAACGCTTCGAATCTGTAGAACACGACGACAGACAGTGAGTGAGTGAGTATGGTTTTACGCCGCTTTTAGCAATATTCCGGCGGGGGACACCAGAAATGGGCTTCACACATTGTACCCATGTCGGGAATCGAACCCGGGTCTTCGGCGTGCCGAGCTAACGCTTTAACCACTAGGCTACCCGACCGCCCCTCGACAGACAGTGAGTTTTGTTCAACACCGCTTTGAATAATAGTTCAACCATATCATGGCGTGGTAGTCTGATGAAGTACAAACTATACGTAGGTAGGTGGTTCGATCATGCCAAAAGACGTTACAAGATGGTACTGTTGTCACTAGGGCCGGGGCGGGTAACTCGGGTACTCGGGTGGGGTGGGTCCTGAGAAGGACTCGGGTATCCACAGGAGTATCCGGACCCGTGGTCAGGCATGTGATATATTGTTTCATGACAAAAACTCACAAAAGCTCAGTGGTTACACTCCCTGTCGCTAATGTTCGCATTTCTTTTCTAACGTTGGTTTGTTGTTTTACGCCGCACTCAGCAATATTCCAGCTACATGACGGCGGACTGTAAATAATCGAGTCTGGACCAGACAATCCAGTGATTAATATCATGAGCATCGATCCACGCAATTTGGATCGATGACATGCATCAACCAAGTCAGCGAGCCTGACCATCCGATCCCGTTAGTCGCCTTTTACGACAAGCATAGTCACCTTTTACGGCAAGCATGGGTTGCTGAAGACCTATTCTACCCCGGAATCTTCACGGGTCCTTTTCTAACGATACACACATTCCTTTTGACTTGCATGTGATTGAGTAAAGATAACGCTTCAGTCAACTTTCGTGTAAGCATGATCTGACCGTTTGATACATGTATCTAGATAGTTTTGGCAAGGGCTGCGGTAAAACAATTCCCAATCAGACATTTTGTTCCCAACTCGAGACCTGCAGTGGGTACCCGGGTAGGGTCGGGTAATAGGGGGTCGGATAGCCGGGTAGTAAATGTGGACTCGTCCCAGCCCTAGTTGTTACCCTGCCTGGTTCTCGGGATAAAGAAGAGAAAACAAGGACTGGTCTGCTCGGGGTCAGCGTAGTGTGTCTGAGTGGGGTATTTATGTTATACTTAAGCAGGATATCTCAGAGGGCTAGCAGTAGCACTATAAACACCTACACTATTCCGGGCTAGTACAAGCAGTCACACGCACGCACACACGCACGCACGCACGCACGCACGCACTCTCATACGTGCATGCACGTTGCGAATTTGTTTGAACACGACGACAGAATTCTTGAAAACGGCGTTAAACTCCTTTTCACCTCACCTCTGATAAATGTTATTTTAATACATAGACGCCAATGAGAATAAACCATCATGAATATGAAACGTCTTTATGACATTTTGAATTACATTGTACAATATTGTATTGTGGCAGATTCGTCATGCCGCTGTATTTGGGTTCCGTGTAGGCCCTTTCGTCGTTCCATATGAGGAGTGGGTGAGTGAGTATGGTTTTTCGCCGCTTTTAGCAATATTCCAGCAATATCACGGCGGGGGTCACCAGAATGGGGTTCACTCCATATGAGGAAGCATTCACGATATTGTCAGGAATCTTGTCGAAGTGTTGAATGGATGTAGCTGCTGTCATGTATCTTTTTAATAAATCGTAAGTAAAAAAAGTATTCATTGCCAAAACATCTTTTAAAGCATTTCATATTTTGCAAACTCCGTTCCGTTATAACTTGTCTTAGAAATAGAGGAATATATACACAAGTACCATGTTGACGGTTCACATTTCATGTCGACTTTACGCTGCTTAATGAACATGAGTGAGTGAGTGAATTCAATTTAAAGTCACGTCGGCAATATTTCAGCCATAATGTGACTTGAACAAGTTATATAATATTTATTAAAAAAACTGTCGACGAAGGACAGTATAATAACTAGCAATATATCACAGATTGCCTTAAAACTAGTTGTAGAACATTGACAATATATCTGATTATTGGGGGACTACACAATATAAAAATGGGGCTATAGATCGCCAGCAACAAGGTTAAAATCGCTTAATGAAATGAAACATGGCATTGAATGGAAACAGCCCCACCTCTCCCGTATTCAAAACCTTGGCGATAGGACACTCCGGGTAGATATTTTCTATATACCAGCGGAAGTCATGACAATGAAGACTGTCCCGCAGTTTCCTCCGGTCCGTCACATCACCATAGTCAATGCCCTGTTAGAATATCTGAATTCATTAAATGATTCATAGTTCTCTTTATAAGATCCAAGCTACAATATGATTTTATTAAGAACACAATTAAGTTGCTGAATACACGGAACCTATCATGTTCAAGATCTCACCAACCAAATGTGTCGAATGAACTTAGCGACACTTCTGGTATCCGAACTACCAGTGCCTTCTGATTGAGGAACAAATGAAACATGTCGAAATATGCTTTATAGGATGTGCCAGACTTTTAGAGTATGTTGTTTCATGTGTTTCTTATGTTCATATCAAGAAAACTGAATACCATTCGTGAAATGCGAACACTAGAACTTGTCCCGCAGCCAGCCTAAAATAAATGGACTTAATCAATATGCAATGAATGACATCAAATCATAATTGTCTTTACAATGAAACAGGGTTACCGCAAGTAGATCCAACTGTTCATTCATCTTTGATACCAGCTGAAATTATCGTTTTGCCTTCCAGACCCGTGAAGATTCCGGGATAGAATAGGTCTTCAGCAACCCATGCTTTCCGTAAAAGGCGACTAACGGGATCGGGTGGTCAGGCTCGCTGACTTGGTTGATGGATGTCATCGATCCCAATTGCGTGGATCGATGCTCATGATACTAATCACTGGATTGTCTGGTCCAGACTCGATTATTTACAGACCGCCGTCATATAGCTGGAATATTGCTGAGTGCGGCGTTAAACTACAAATCAACCAACCAACCGATTGCCTTCCTCTGTTGGATTTGTGTTGGAAACGTTGTGTCTGATCTTGTGTGCAGTATTCCAGCTGTACATGTCCGGCTTGGAAATAGTCGTGTCCGGGCCAGGAAATTCAATGATTGATAATATGAGCAACGATCCACTCCATCGGGGTACGATGACATGTAATCAACCGTACTTGACCACCAGATCAATAGAGTCACCTCTTACGATCAGCATTGGACGATGAGGACCTATTCTAACAAGGATCACCACGGGTGAGTTGGAGTCTGAGATGCCCTTCATAAAGGTCCGACGAGTGAGTGAGTATGGTTTTAAGCCGCTTTTAGCAATATTCAAGCAATATCACGGCGGGGGACACCAGAAATGGGATTCACACATTATACCCATGTCGGGAATCGAACCCGGGTCTTCGGCGTGACGAGCGAACGCTTTAACCACTAGGTTACCCGACCGCCCCTGTCCGAGCAGTGTAGTATTTACCGGCGACAATCTGTTAGCCTCGTAGAAATAGTGTTTGTACTCGTCGAGCCAGACTTCGGCAACCCGTATGGAGTTGGTCAAGGAAGGCTTCCCACCTCTGTGCCACTTTATTGGATTAACATTGCGGAATACATGAGCGACGTGGGAACACGGTAAAACCTCCAGGGTTCCGTTACACATCCATATCTGAAAATACAGTACGATTATGTCACTGTGTACATTACTATTCAGAAGTTTATTCCTGCTATGACCGTTTTGGTACTAACATGTTCAACTAGCAGTCATTAGAAACGGATAGCTCTTAATATCTCAATTATAAAGTAACGAAGAAAGACAAGTTCTAAGTGTGTGTAAAGGAGTTTGTGTGTTTTTATAGGTTTAGAATTTTAGGGTTTATTGGCAGCTTGTTTGTTGTACTTTGTTAGATGCGGCCAAGTAGGCCTGTTTTGATTAGATATATGCCTAGTGCTTTAAAGGTTTTTAAGTCATTTAGGGGGTTCAGTACAGTTGCTAGTGTCATTTGATTGTTGCAGTTTAGTGTGGATTGGAGTGTTGTTCTGTGTTGCTGGTAATGTGTGCAATATAGTATTACGTGTTCGGGCGTTTCTTTTAAGTTGCAGTGGGGGCATTTACCGGTTTGATGTTTTTTAATTTGGTGCAGGTCGGAGTTTAACTTAGTGTGGCCTGTTTGTAGTTTAGTTATTACTCTGTCATTTCTTTTGGTTTTATGATGGATTTTTGTTTTTTTTGAGTGGCTTTTGTAGCAGGTGTTTTAGTTTGCATAGTTATTTTGCCACTTTTTGAGGATTTTTTCCTTTGTGATACTTTTAATTTCGTTTTTTAATATTGGTGGGTTGATGCTCACTTCTTCTAATTTTAGTGCTGATTTGGCTGCTTTGTCAGCGTGTTCGTTGCCAAACACCCCAACGTGGGCAGGGATCCAAACTATTTCTATGTCGTTAACTAGTTTACGTAGATTGTTGGCGCTTTTGATTATCTGTTGTATTAGTTTTGGGCGCTTTTTTGTGTTTTTGTTTTTTATGGCCTGGAGCCACTTAATGAGTCTGAAAGGATTAGGTTTGTTTTTTTGTCTATTTATTTGATCGCTGTACAGGGCTGTTACTATCCCCATTAATTCGGCTGTGAAAATTGATTGATTATTTGGGAGCCTATATGATTGTGTTTCTTTTGGGGGTTTGTTGATATGGATGCCGAATCCTGTGCGTTTTGAGCCCGGGTCAAAGGACCCGTCTGTGTAAATGTGACACCAATTTGGCCATTTTTCTTGAATGTATGCTAGTGTGATGGATTTAGCGGTATTTGGATCAGTTTCTTTATTTAGTCTGGTGGAGAGAGATATGTCGATTTGGGGAGAGGGGGTCCCTTGATCTCACCAAAGCGATATCTCCTGTGGGAGCCAGTTTTGGATGATAAATATTTCTTGTTCATGTACATTTCCATTTTCGTTTTGTCACACAACACTGCACGTTTGTTTAGGTCATTCTTAAGTGAGTTAGGTTTTTCAGCACTGAAGTAAACTTTCAGTTTAATCACGACAGGCTACACAATACAATGTGTGCAGTCATTAGTTAATGTGGGGAATAGAACGCGGTCCTTCGACGTGACGATCAACACACTATCTATGATCAGTAAGTGGGCTTTAAATCAACCTTTCAGTATTCCATTTTTATATCCGAAGTTTCACGGAGACTCGTTACACTTGTCTGGAGTAAAAAACAAAACGATGGATACTGAAGTAGGCAGCCATTTTGACAGCTATCAGATGACGCCAACGAACCGAGTTACTTCCCTTTACCAAATGCATTCAAATAAACATTGTTCATTTCAGTTCAACGATGCTTGTGCGGGATAAGCAAGGTACCTAAGGTGTGTTCCGATTGATTTCTCAGAGGGCTACATGAGCGGGCTGTATGGAAAATATTTGCCCGCTCCCTAACCAATCAGAATCCAGTACTATAATGTAATTATAAGGTGAGATAAATTGTAGTGGTCAAGAAGTACCCGTCACTGCATGCCATTGACCGAACATCTCACGAACATCATCGGTCATTCAAGTCATTTTCTACGATAAACGAACATGGTACGAGACACACTCATAATGTGAATCCTACTTTGAAAGACAGTTCCATGTTCTCTGCGCCCCAGTACAAGAGTCCCGGGTCATACGTTCCCAGAGTTGTGAACCAGTGTTTGTCTATAGCAAACAACCCGCCAATCATTGTGGGGGATCTGCAAATAAATGAAGCAACACAATTTATATATTACCGATTCAACTATTAATACAAATGAATCAATATTACTGATTCAACTATTAATGCAATCAGTATATTACCGATTCAACTTTTAATGCAATCAATATATTACCGATTCAACTATTAATGCAATCAATATATTACAGTTTCAACTATTAATGCAATCAATGAAATACGGATTCACTACTAATACAATTAATGTATTACCGATTCAACTATTAATGCAATCAGTATATTACCGATTCAACTATTAATGCAATTAATGTATTACCGATTCAACTATTAATGCAATCAATATATTACTGATTCAACTATTAATGCAATCAATGAAATACGGATTCACTACTAATACAATTAATGTATTACCGATTCAACTATTAATGCAATCAGTATATTACCGATTCAACTATTAATACAATTAATGTATTACCGATTCAACTATTAATGCAATCAATATAATGCCGATTCAACTATTAATACAATTCATATATTACCGATTCAACTATTAATGCAATCAATATATTACCGATTCAACTATTAATGCAATCAAGATATTACTGATTCAACTATTAATGCAATCAATGAAATACGGATTCACTACTAATACAATTAATGTATTACCGATTCAACTATTAATGCAATCAGTATATTACCGATTCAACTATTAATACAATTAATGTATTACCGATTCAACTATTAATGCAATCAATATATTACCGATTCAACTATTAATGCAATCAATATAATGCCGATTCAACTATTAATACAATTCATATATTACCGATTCAACTATTAATGCAATCAATATATTACCGATTCAACTATTAATGCAATCAATATATTACTGATTCAACTATTAATGCAATCAATATATTACTGATTCAACTGTTTATGCAATCAATATATTACCTATTCAACTATTAATGCAATCAATATAATACTTATTTAACTATTAATGCAATTAATGAAATACGGATTCAACTATTAATACAATTAATGTATTACCGATTCAACTATTAATACAATCAATATATTACCGATTCAACTATTAATACAATTTATATATTACCGATTCAACTATTAATGCAATCAAACATATTACCGATTCAACTATTAATGCAATAAATATATTACTGATTCAACTATTAATACAATTTAAATATTACCGATTCAACTATTAATACAATCAATATATTACCGATTGAACTATTAATACAATCAATATATTACTGATTCAACTGTTAATGCAATCAATATATTACCGATTCAACTTTTAATACAATCAATATATTACTGATTCAACTATTAATGCAGTCAATATATTATCGATTCAACTGGTAATGCAATCAATATTTGATCATATTAACGGGATTAACCAACGGGCTGTCTATTCCTCCTATAATTTTACAATGCACAATCGATTCAACAATTAGAATGCGTTCTGTATATTACAGGTTCAACCACTCACGCTTCACATGCGACACATTAATGTTATTTCGATCCATGTTTCACAGGTTGAACAATACTGTAGAAGTCAACTCCACACCGAGCTTGCAGGTAAGCGAGGACAAGGCTGACTAATCAATCCTCTTTTTGGGCAATTTTAGTTTGATTTACAGCAGAAATATTTATATTAAAATCAACCAGGAGAGTATTATGAGCTCACTTCAAAGGATGAGGGATGCATCTGTTGAAACAGAGCATGATCATCATTGTAAGTTAATAACAACTCTCGAGTGAAAGTTTCCCACACGCAAATACTCTCATGTGACAAAGAAACGCTTATATACTGAACCGCAAAAGAAACGTCACCCCAAGTAATATTGCATGATAAGTTGTCATTTAAATATCTGGGTAACTTTTGTCAAAGTTTCTAAAATTTAACATGGCCTTGTCTGGAAAAATGAAATTTGATGGTAAAAAAACAAAAGGAGATGACAATAAAACCGATTGCCCAAACGCATCACGGCATGGTAAGCCGATGCACGTGAGTTCCGTGCAAATTGAAATGCACATGCGTTCCCCCATTTCTTGCCCTATAAAAATCCACCCAGATCGGATAACATTCATTCGTTATTGAAATGCTGCCACATGCCAAGATTAACATGAAATCAGCGACACCAAGCCGATGGACGATTGCAAGCTGGGCAAACCGCCCGGTAAGTAGCGAATGCATTTCAATCAAGAGAGAGAGCTCAAGAGAGAGAGAGAGAGATCAAGAGAGAGAGAGAGAGAGAGAGAGATCAAGAGGGATCAAGAGAGAGAGAGAGAGACTCATGGGGTGGTCCGAGCAACATGGTGCGGGGTAGAATTGGTGATGCCCAGAGGGTCGGCCCTGTGGTCTTCCAGAACATTGGTCCCGGGAGAGGCAATAGTGTCACAGCAGCTCGGAACATTGATCAAGTCCTGAGACCACACGCCATACCTCATTTGGCACGTCGCCGCAACCACGAGTTTCAGCATGATCACGCCTGTGCCCTCACTACGAGAGTAACAAGAGACTTCCTCCAGCATAATGGCATGCAGTGGCCTGCCCTCAGTCCCGATTTAAACCCCATTGAGCTCCTGTGGGACGAGATTCAAAGACGGCTGAATGACGTCCTACCAAGGCCGACAACTGCAGCTGAACTGCGTCAGGCGTTCCTCAGAGTGTAGACTCAAGTGCCTATGGCCTTCATCAACCGCCTCATCCATTCCATGTATCTACGTTGCACGGCAGTCATCAATGCACATGGCGGACACACGAGATACTGTCATGTGATGCCATTTTCTCAGACTACTGTTGTGTTTCTTTTAAGAACATTTGACACTTTAATTTTAACCTTGATGATTAGTTTTGCCAAGTTTCATCTTTTTAATATGTCTCAAAGTATGTTTACAGTGTTTGGACAAATAGGGTTTCTCATATACTACGTATCTATCCATATGCATGGTGACGTTTCTTTTGCGGTTCAATATGTACTCAACAAAAAAGGTCCGTGACACCAATATTTTAGTGTATTTTTCAAACAAGTAAAGTTTGGTTGTCAGTATTGCAGTACATGTATGGAATCAAGTCACAAACACGCAACTGCTACATAAAAGTATGCATTCCATGCAAAAGTTGACTTTTATGCAAGCCCCATGCATTTCACGACCCAAGAATGGTTATAGAAACATATGCGTTAACGGAATTCCATGTGCATTGTTTAGCATCGTGCTGACAACAACCACTCAGAAAAACAACCAAATTACGCAATTATCCAACATTACGAAATGCCACGCCTGTCCGAAAATGAGCGTCTGCGAGCCATTGGTATGTTTGAAGCAGGATCGAGTCAACGTGATGTTGCAAGACAATTTAACGTCAACAGAAAGACCATGCAGTCAGAGGCCACGCGTAACCAGTAATCGAAATCGATTCCAGTCAGCAACAGTGACTGCAATTTGCATCCCTGGCCTCCGACGAATATCTTCACAAACCGTACGTCGTCGCCTCAGATGTGCAGGAATTGTCGCCAGAAGACCAACCAGACGTCCCATTTTGACAGGAAACCACCGTCAAACACGTCTGCAGTGGTGCAGACAGCGTCTACGCTGTATGGCCATGCAGTGGGGACAAGTTCTATTCACTGACGAGTCTCGTTTTCACCTCAGCCACAGCGATGGACGGATTCGAGTGTACCGCCGTCGAGGTGAACGTTACGTCAATCATTGTGTCATGGAAGAAGATCGGTTCGGGGGCGGCAGCGTTATGGTATGGGGTGGGATTACAGCAAGACAGAGGACACATTTGATAGTGGTAGAGGGAAATCTCAATGGACAGCGCTACCGCGACGAGATCATCGGCCCTGTTGTTCTACCGTTTTTGCGTCGTCATGGCCCAGGCATTACCTTTCAACACGACAACGCCTGGCCTCGTATTGCTCGACTTGTTTAGGATTCTCTTCAACAAAAAAACCTGAATGTCATTCCCAATGTCACAGGAACTTTTGTTGTTCAGTATATAATATGCTTCAGCAATGTATAGTGTAGTTTATATCAAGTTACCTGATAGGTTCAGTGGGTGTTTTCAAGGTGTTTCTTCTGTCTTTGCTGACGTGCTCCCAGTGGAATTTTAACTGCTTCCATCTAAACACCCCTAAACGCTTGGTTGTATTCAGAATACCTGTTCCGAAATGTTCTGAATGGATCACGTCAATCATTGGGATCGGTACAGTCTTTGGATTCCTCTGAATGCGATCTAGTAGTGGCTCCAACCAACCTACGAAATAGTGGGCACATGACTTAAGTACTTCAAATGTATTTTCAGTAAAGCATTGATATGGAGTTAGTCTGTTAGTTTTGATTTCTATGTATATGACCTGTCCATACATCTGGTCGTGCATGTTTGTACAATAATAGTCGTGGCGGTCGGGTAGCCTAGTGGTTAAAGCGTTCGCTCGACACGCCGAAGACCCGGGTTCGATTCCCAACATGGGTACAATGTGTGAAGCCCATTTCTGGTCCCCCGCCCTGATATTGCTGGAATATTGCTAAAAGCGGCGTAAAACCATACTCACTCACTCACTCACTACAATAAGAGTCCCTTCGTAAAATCTTGTGTTATAAGCCTTACCTTCTCTCACGATCAAGGTGGAACGATATACTCATAAAACAGCGATTTGATAGTGTAGAATGTACTCTCTTCACTTTTGTTTGTTTTCTTGTACCATATCTACACTCATGGTCCTGCATTAGTTTGGGCTTTCCCCCCACATAAACCTGACATGCCTAGACTGCTGTTCAATGTGGCGTAAACCAAACTCTTGTCATAGAGAAACGTATACATGATGAGGTGAGGTGAGGTGAGGTGAAATAGGGTTTAATGTCATGTCCAAGATTATTTCACTTATATAGCGACGTGCAAGCACGTGTGTGTATGACTGCTTGTACTAGTCCGGACTAATGCCGATTTATAGTGCTAGCTCACTGATATACCATGCCACAGTTTAAGATGAATACCCCACTCAGACACAGCTGCAGTATACTGACTCCGAGCCGACCAGTCCTTGTTTTAGCCCCTTAATGCCGAGCACCAGACAGGGTAACAACAAGTACCATCTTTTAACGTCTTTTGGTATGACGCGGCCGGGGATCGAACCCGGACCTTCCGCTCTCCGGACGGACGCTCTTCCTCTAGACCACAGAGGCGGTTGTATACATGATGAACTAACCGTGAGACATTGATCGTTTGATCAATGTGACTGACGCCGACTGCTGAGGAAGTTTAAAGCACACACAATGAACAGCTTGTATTCATGGCTTGGAAACAGCCGACGTTTAGCGTTACTGAGTGTTTCATGTACAATACAAGTGGCTCGTAAAGGGACACGTATAGCCGTATTGGGACATATATCGACGTTATTGCGAATTCCACAGGCGCATTTTGTATTCTAATGGCCACCATCCTGGTGTCGCGTTCCCTGTGTTCTTTACGTCGACACCATTCTGGTTCCGTTTGGCAACAACCATGATGCTTGGTCTCAATACCGTGTTTGTTATATAGCTAGTATCATGATAGTTATTGTTTAGTATTAATAATATATAATGCATTGATAAAGAGGCTGACTTCCAGCTTATATGGAAGCTTAACGGCGCTGCATAATATTATTATCCTATCATTATCAGAGTGCACTCGAGTCTCACTTCCCTCGGGAGTATTCAAACAAAGCTACAAAGATTAACAGTCATGCTACCATTTGCTTCTGTATGTGTTTATTCAATATTAGTGAACATTTACAGTAAAGTACGGTTATAACGAACTCAATGGGACTACTAATTTTAGTTCGTTATAACCGTAGTTCGTTATAAGCATATATACAGCATAACTACAGCAAATAGTCGGGACCAAAAAAGTAAGTTCGTTATATCCGTCAGTTCGTTATAAGCGTGTTCGTTATATCCGTAGTTTACTGTATATACTACACAAAAGAAGTTAAAGAATGTCCGTTGTTTCATATTACTAACGGTCTTGCATGTCATGACAGATTAACTTTAGTAATAACCTCGCGTTCTTTTACTTCTTTTGAGTGGTATATATTACACGCATTTTCAAATGTATTCACGAATTAAAACATCATGAATTAAAATATGTTTTGAAGACTTTTTTGTCAACAAGGTTAAATCTTTCAAATGGCACAACAAACAGAAATGGAATCACCCAAAGCTGACAAGTTTTCTGTTCAGTAAAAGGGATTGGCGTAAAAAACATCAAGCAAAGTGCCTTATGCACGTGTAACTAGATCCACCACGTGATTGGAAAGTAATTATGTATAAGCACTTGAATAATTTGTTTTGGCATTTAAGTGTCATTTCTGAACAAACATATTATGCAGAATAGATGCTTCTTAGTGCTAGACCACATTGAGAAATATAGCAAAATACCAACCTGGGTAGCATTCGATATGGGAGTCAAGAAACACCAGTATCGGACTAGTGGCAACGTCATATCCGGCCAGCCTCGCTCTGATTAACCCCTGGTGTTTCCTCAGTCTGACAATTTTGACCTTCCCAAGTTTTGACATGTACTTTTTCAAAGGGCTCATCAGATGCTCTGGAGGACAACATGAACGTACATATATACAGGTAGCGTTTAATAGTAACACTTTTAAAGGGTTTTTGTCTTTTCTTTGTATTTGTACGCTTCATAACCGAACCTGGTGAGGGAATTCGTGCAAAGACATTGCTGTGATCTGTTGCGATATGTTTGACCATGGGAGAAATTTAGCAACAAATGTATCTATCCACAACTTGAACAAACTATAAACAGTTTTAGTTTATGCTCTAGTACCTTGAGTTGATGCATCATCAACCAGAATTATCTCCCTTACAAGGTGTGAAGGAGAGCGGTCAAGGACGCTGTGAACAGATCTCAGGAGAGTGGACCAAGCCTCGTTGTGGAAGCAGATGATGACACTCGCTGGAGGTAGATCGACTGGATACACACGTGACTTGCATCTGTGAAATGTATGGCATTACTTTTACAATTGATATTTTTGTTATTATGCACAGAATGACGGCAATCCACGCCCTGATGGATAAATCATGCACCAGTGAACATCAGGCCGAATGTTTGTCTACATACTCAGTAACCATGTTTAAAGTACCCATAATACATGTCGGGAATACCCATTAAAAGATTTAAAGTGTACACAAAATACATTTATAATATTCACTTATGTTTAGAATACTCTCTCCATGTTTAAAGTACACACAATACACATCTACACTAATTACTAACCATATTTAGAGTACACACAAAACACATCTACAATACCCAGTATCCACGTTTAAAGTAAAAAAACACACATCTACAATGCCCACTAACCATGTGTAGAATACTAACTATACACGTCCAGAATACTCACTTACCACGTTTATGTACACACAAAACACGTCTACAATGCCAACTAACCCTGCTTAGAGTACCCATAATACACGTCTAGAATGCTAACTACCCACGTTTAAAGTACACACAAAACACGTCTAGAATGCTAACTACCCATGTTTTAAGTACACACTAAACACGTCTATAATGCTAGCTACCCATGTTTAGAGTACACACAAAACACGTCTACAATGCTAACTACCCATGTTTAGAGTACACACGAAACACGTCTACAATGCTAACTACCCATGTTTAGAGTACACACAAACCACATCTACAATGCCCTCTTGCCATGTTTAGAGTACCAATAATACACGTCTAGAATGCTAACTACCCATGTTTAGAGTACCCATAATACACGTCTACAATACCCACAGATAGAATACCAACGCAATAGAACAAACAACATTAACTATTCGGCTCTAAAGACAAAATAGCTGCGTAAACTTGAATGGTTCATTGAAAGTCAGTGATGGCACCAGGTATCATTGAACATCCAAGAATATGAAGATTACTCAACAGGAAAGTCCAAATACCCACTAGCTATGATTGGGATATCCACTGATCGGTTTGGAATACCCACTATCCGTGCTTGAATCATATCTGTATCACAACGAGATATAGAACTTTCTATCCTAAATGTTCCAGTATGAGAGTGAGTGAGTGAGTGAGTTGGGTTTAACGCCGCTTTTAACAGTATTCCAGTTATATCGCGGCGGGATGTGGGAGGAAAGCCCGGAGTGATGCAGGCCTCAGACGTTTACCACTTCGGTGAAACCCACGAGCACGGGTTGTTCCAGTATGAGGGGCGGTCGGGTAGCCTAGTGGTTAAAGCGTTCGCTCGTCACGCCGAAGACCCGGGTTCGATTCCCGACATGGGTACAATGTGTGAAGCCCATTTCTGGTGTCCCCCGCCGTGATATTGCTGGAATGATGCTAAAAGCGGCGTAAAATCAAACTCACTCACTCACTGTTCCAGTATGAAATATAAAAAGCGGCTCTTTTGTTTTGTAATTACACGTGACACGCCTCACATACATACTCATCCAGCCTACTGTCTGGGAGACGCCGATGCACGGAGATTCGGTCGCTCACCATCTGGTTGAATCTGTTCCTTCTCCGTCCTTCTGTCCACTGCAAGATCTCTTCCTCCTTTGGTGAGTACCGGTACTCAACACCCCACTCACCTACCAACCAATGCTGCGGAATGTAACTGTAGGTATATGTAACCTTGCATTATCCCACATCAACTGAAATTGCTAACGTACATTTTGTGGCCCGTGAAGATCCGTGGTAGAAAAGGTCTTCAGCAACCCATGCTTGCCGTAAAAGGCGACTAACGGGATCGGGTGGTCAGGCTCGCTGACTTGGTTGATGCATGTAATCGTATCCCTATTGCGTGGATCGATGCTCATGATGTCAATTACAAGCTTGTCTGGTCCAGACTCGCTTATTTACATACCGCCGTCATATAGCTGGAATATTGCGGCGTTAAACAACAAACAAACAAACAAACAACAATACATGTATGTTTACGGCGGTCTGTACATATTGGAATCTGGACCACACAGTCAAGTGAGTGAGTGGGTGAATGAGTATGTTTTACGCCGCTTTTAGCAATATTCCAGCAATATCACGGCGGAGGACACCAGAAATGGGTTTCACACATTGTACCCATATGGGGAATCGAATTCGGGTCTTCGGCGTGACGTGTGAACGCTTTAACCACTAGGCTACCCAAATGCCCCGACGATCAAGTGATCGATATGATGAGCATACATATATATATCCACGCAATTGAGATACGAAGACATGAAACCAACCGAGTCACCCTGTCTTAACATTACGTCGCCTCTTACGACAGGCATAAGTTGCTTGGAACCCAAGTATATCCCTACCCAAAATCTTCTCCGTGTGTACCCTTGTTAAAGTGTATTCTAAATAGTGAAAAATGGGTCACTTTGTCTGAATCCTTTCTTCACATGTTTCAGTTAAAAACACTATATATTGTTTGTTTGTTTGTTGTTTAACGCCACAATCAGCAATATTCCAGCTACATGACGGCTTTCTGTAAATAATCGAGTCTGGACCAGACAATCCAGTGATTGACTTCATGAGCATCGATCCACGCAATTGGGATCGATGGCATGCTTCAAACAAGTCAGCGAGTCTGACCACCCGATCCCGTAAGTCGCCTCTTACAACAAGCAAAGTCGCCTTTTACGACAAGCATGGGTAGCTGAAGACCTATTCTACCCCGGATCTTCACGGGTCCGCACTATATATTGAAAAAGGTGCCTTCATAAAAATTACCGAAAAAATAAATGCAAATAGTAATCAGTGTTGGCACTATTAACAATTGTTCTGTGCGATTCACAACGAGACACAGAGATTGATAGCCTGATAGTAAAGGACGGGGTTGACAATAACCGAAAGCAATCGGGGAGAAATAAGTCATCAAACGATTCAGTGAATGAGTAAGTTTAGTTTGACGCCAGTTTGAACAGTATTCCAGTTATATCACGGAGTGTCAGCTTACTGTTGAAGGGAAGCAGTATGTGATTATGGTGCAGGTCTCAGACGTTTCCCACTCTGGTAAAACCACGAGCACGGGTATAGTGCTGACAACCCTAGAAACATAATCGGGGCGAACCGGGACTCGGCCCAACGATCATAGGTTTTTGGCGTGACCAAGGGACGCAACTCTTCACACCGAACGAAAGTAAAAGCATGAGTGAGTGAGTGAGTTGGGTTTAACGCCGCTTTTAACACTATTCCAGTTATATCGCGGCGTGTCAGCTTAATGTGGGAGGAAAGCCCGAAGTGATGCAGGTCTCAGACGTTTACCACTTCGGTGAAACCCACGAGCACGGGTATGGTTCTGACAAACCTAGAAACATAATCGGGGCGAACCGGGATTCGGGTCGAACCGGGATTCGGGTCGAACCGGGATTCGGCCCAACGATCATAGGTTTTTGGCGTGACCAAGGGATGCAACTCTTCACTCCGAACGAAAGAAAAAGCATGAACCGAGGATTTAATTTAATATCAAAATGTAACGATATTTAAAATTCAGGTATTTTTGTTTTTGGTCTACGAGCAAGGATATTGTGCAGCTTCCAATACTTTAAATAATTGAAACATACTATATGATTATGTTGATATTTATATATGAATGAACATGTATATACATGTATGCTATTACATCAGATATGACATGAAAGTGATGTATGTACATCATATCAACTTTAGGCTAATAAAGAGTGAGTTGGGTTTAACAGTATTCCAGTTATATCACAGCTTAATGTGGGAGGAAAGCCCAAAGTGATGCAGGTCTCAGACGTTTACCACTTCGGTGAAACCCACGAGCACGGGTATGGTTCTGACAAACCTAGAAACATAATCGGGGCGAACCGGGATTCGAACCCACAATCATAGGTTTCTGGCGTGCCCAAGGGACGCAACTCGACGACTGGGCCACCCGTGCCCCCTTGCTAATAAAGAGAAGAGCAGTAGTAATTGTTCACATTGACAAAAGGGCAATGAGGACAACTGTGACACTCTCAAACAACATAAACATGGGAATTGAAACAAACTAAAATATAGTAGCGATTCAGTGAGTGTGGTTTTACGCTTAAGTAATATTCCAGCAATATCACGGCGGGGTTTACAGAAATGGGCTTAACACATTGTACCCATGTCGGGACTGAACACATGTTTGTTTGTTTGTTGTTTAACGCCGCACTCAGCAATATTCCAGCTATATGACGGCGGTCTGTAAATAATCGAGTCTGGGATCGATGACGTGCATCAACCAAGTCAGCGAGCCTTTTACGACAAGCAGAGTCACCTTTTGCGGCAAGCATGGGTTGTTGAAGACCTATTCTACCCCGGAATCTTCCCGGGTCGACTGAACACATGGAAACCGTCACGTGCCTTACCTGGACCAGCTGATGAGCGAGATTATTCGTTGATGTTTATATTTACATTCATTTTATTATTTGCAGGTTTTCATATATTTCTTGTGTCCCCCGCCGTGATATTGCTGGAATATTGCTAAAAGCGGCGTAAAACCATACTCACTCACTCACTAATACGGACAGATCAACTAACGTCCCTTGTCTTACCTGGACCATTCTCCGGACTGTGCTCCACAAACGGAGGATATGTCACATTACTGTCCTCTCCTCCATATTCCTCCACGTAATACTCCACACTCTGTGTGTTCTGTGTATGTTGGACAGGTTGCTCTAAAGCTTTTCCCGAGTGCACATCCTTCCTTATGTCCCTTACTGCTGTGTTCACATCCTTCTGGCTGTCTCTGACTGCTGTGTGCTCATCCTTCTGGCTGTCGGTTACTGTTGTGTGCACATCCTTCCTTATGTCCCTTACTGCTGTGTGCACATCCTTCTGACTGTCTCTGACTGCTGTGTGTACATCCTTCTGGCCGTCTATTGCAGCCGTGTGTATATATGTCTGTACATCCGTCTGTTGAGTATCACCAATGTGATGTAGTACATCATCATTGTCATACCTCCTCTTAACGCCACCTCTATAAAATATTTCATCATGAAATGTTAAAAGTGCGTTTTTCAGAAACGTCCCTGCTGCATATAAAGACACCAGCAGGAAACAGATGAATACCGTCTTGGGTGAGGCTCGTAATTGACGCTTCATGTTACTCTGTAACTATGAAGAGATCATCAAGATCAGTATTGAATCACTTATGTGTTGACAACGATCATATATATATACACACACATATGTAGTCAACGTTGATAGGTGACCTGGTCTTTGTGTATTTCAGCAGCTGTATGAGCAAACATGTGGCAGATGTTCGCCAAGGGGCTCAGTAAGCCATCAAATGCTGTGACAAATTGATTTCTTAACCGTGCTCACATTGTGTCTTCGCGTACATAATCAATGCATTACAGCGCACATTGATAAGATCATACTTGTCCAAAATATTATATCAACAGATATACACTGAAAGGCAAAAGAAAAGTCATGTGGATTTATCGTATAAATTAATATCTTAATTTTCAAATGCTTATATATGTAAGTAAAGACATCGGAGACCCAGTGTTTGACCCACATGAAATTAACAGCCAGGGGAATGATTTTCCGAATTGTGAATTTGGGGAGGCACCAGAAACATCACAGCTGGGGGGTTCAAAATTCGTACCTGGTGTGGCCACCACGGGCGTTGACTACAGCCACACATCTCCTGTTCATTGAGTGGACTAGCCTGTTGATGAAGGCCATTTGAATATGGGCCCATATCCTCAGGAACGCTACACGCACTTCTGCTGCAGTTGTCGGCCTTGGGCGTACGTCGTTGAGTCGGCGTTGGATCTCATCCCACAAGTGTTCAATGGGATTGAAATCCGGACTGAGGGCAGACCAAGGCATGATTTGGATGTTGTGCTGCTGGAGGAAGTCCCTGGTGACTGGCAGTGTGGGGACGGGCGTTGTTTGCTGAAAGGTGTGGTGTTGATGACAGGCAACAAAAGGCACGATATGGGGTCTGAGGACTTGGTCAATGTAGCGGAGAGCTGTGATGCCATTACCCCTGCCTGGACCAATATTCTGAAAGACCACAGGTCCCACTCTCTGGTTCAGTCCGATTCCACCCCAGACCATGATGCTTGGGCCGCCCACGGGTCTCGTTCCATAACAAGAGCATCAGCTTAACGTTTGCCCCTCCTTCGCCAGACCCTGACTCTGCCATCCACCCTTGAAACACAGTTGAGACTTTCATCAGTGAAGATGATTCTTCTCCATTGATGTTGACGCCAATTTTGATGCTGCCTGGCCCATTGCAGTCGGATGGGTACACGAGCAGGACGGTGGCACGAGATGTTGTTGGCAGTTAGGCAACGTCGGACTGTACGGTCACTGATAGCACGCTGGTGGTTGCCAATGGTTTGCCGAGCTGTTTCAGTGGCCAATCGGAATCGGTTCTGTAGATGTTGGCGTATCATGAACCGATCTTGTCTGGGAGCAGTGACTCTAGGAGGACCGCCTCCGTGGTCTAATGGTAGAGCGTCCGCCCGGAGAGCGGAAGTTCCGGGGTTCGATTCCCGACCGCGTCATACCAAAGGACGTTAAAAGCTGGTACTTGCTGTTACCCTGTCTGGCGCTCGGCATTAAGGGGCTACAACAAGGACTGGTCGGCTCGGAGTCAGTATACTGTGTCTGAGTGGGGTATTCATGTTAAACTGCGGCAGGGTATCTCAGTGAGCTAGCACTATAAATCGGCATCAGTCCGGACTAGTACAAGCAGCCACACAAACACACACACGTACATGCACGTCGCTATATAAGTGCCATAATCTTGGACGCGACGTTAAACCCCATTTCACCTCACCTGACTCTAGGACGACCACCACGCGGTCGGTCGTCGGTGAGTGAGTGAGTGAATATTGCTTAACGCCGCATCAGCAATTTTGCAGCTATTCGCGGCGAGAAATGTCTTTTGTGTAGTCAGATATCAACCAAGAGAATAAAAGTGATGTTGAAAATCAGTAAAATCTCAGTCATGTATCACATTCAGAGGTAAAAGACTGACTGTTCAGGTAAAAATCTATATTTTATCATAGAGCTTGATTTCCTTTAAATACGCTAAAATCAAGTGATTAGAAACTGTGGTAAAAAGTTCAGATAAGGTACGAACATTATCATAAAAACGTTGTCTGACAAGTGCAAAATCTACACATTCCAGCAGAATGTGCTTCATAGTAAGAGGGCTATGGCAAGGTATATAAAAAGGTGGAACTTCACCCTTCAATAAAAATGAATGTGTATAATAACTGTGGCCAATGCGGCACCGCTGCAAAACAACTTCATCATGACGATGTAAACCAGAATGTGCGTGACCACCAAACAGTGGTTTGATAGCATGAAGTTTGTTCATAGTCTTGGTATTCCAATTTTTTAGCCAATGGTCATTCACATATTGTCTGATGGAAGGTTTTAGATCAGAATATGGGAAGTTTGTGTTGGAAATTGGTTTATTAAGAGCGGCTTTTGCCGAAGAATCTGCTTTACAGTTACCACTGATGCCAACATGACTGGGCAGCCAACAAAAAATTATATCTTTTCCAGCTACGGATAAATTGAGATGACACCTTAAAATTTCAGCTAAAAATGGCCTGTAAACAGGACAAACTATCAGATAATATGAGAAAACTGCTTTTAGAAGACTGTTCAATATATTGCAAAGCTAATAATATAGCCTGAGCTTCTGCCGTAAATATCGAACTTCTGTCAGTTATACGCATAGACACTGTATAATTGTTAGCAACAGCTGCAGCAGACACCTTTTCATCATCTTTTGAACCATCAGTGTAAATACTGGTATAAGAGGAACATCGGTTCTTCAGTTCATGAAATTCTTGTTGATAAAATAATTGATTAGTGTCAGACTTCTTCAGGTTCGCTAATTCTAAATTAACAGCAGGTTGTATCGATTGCAAGGAGGCATTTCTGAGATTTTGAATTCGGCAATGGCAGATAGATTTAAATGGGCATCCTTGATATGGGATTGCATGCGAATTCCAAGTGGTGGGATTGTGTTTGGATTTCTGATATATAAATGCTGATATGGAGCATTGAAGATATTGTTAAATGCTGGATTAGAAGGATGGGAGCGGAGTTTAGTGATATATTGTAATGCCAGTTTTATTAGTCTTAAGCGAAGACTGGGTTCATTGGCTTCCACATATAGACTGTCAATTGGCGATGTCCGAAAAGCTCCAAGACATAACCTAAGACCCTGATGGTGAATAGTGTCAAGTACTTGAATGTATGATTTACGAGCTGAACCATAAATGAAACAGCCGTAATCAAGTTTAGACCTTATCAAAGTTATATAGAGATGTAATAGTGTTTCTCTATCACCACCCCACCTAGTATTTGACACTACCTTTAAAATGTCAAGCGCTTTCAAACATCTAGCTTTAAGATTTTTAATGTGGGGTATAAATGATAACTTTTGATCAAAGGTAATACCCCAAAACTTGGTTTCTTTGACCACTTTTATTGGAGTATTATTTAAAGTCAATTCAGGATCTTTATGCACTTTCCGTTTATTGCAAAAATGAACACAGCAGGTTTTAGTTTTGGAAAATTAAAACCATTTTCTAAGGCCCATTTCTGTATTTTATTGAGACAAAGCTGTAACTGTCTCTCAATGCTATTCATATTTGCACCACAGCATTAAACATTAAAATCGTCAACAAACAACGAACCATCAATATTTTCATTTAAAACTTTAGCAAGACTGTTGATTTTAATGCTAAAAAGTGTCACTGATAAAATACTGCCCTGAGGGACCCCCATTTCCTGATCATATATCTCGGACAATGTGGATCCTACTCTAACTTTAAATTTTCTATCTTCTAAAAAGCGAGTGATGAAATCAGGCATACGGCCACGTATACCCATGTCGTGGAGATCTTTTGGTCGGTCGTCGGTGGTGTTGGTGGTGTTGTGGCGATGTTGCAAACAATATATCGTTCTGACGTTGACATTGAATGCATTTGCAACGACCTGTGCACTCTGGCCTGCTTGCTGTCTTCCGATCGCTTGTTGTCTCTCATTTCCTGATAATCTTGGCATGGCAGTTGAATCGAAAAAAACGAAAGCCAGCTTAACAGTTTTGGGTGATTTTTATACCCATACCATCCACGATATGCACGTGCATAATGTTTTTGACAAGACTTTTCCGCAACTGAGTCCCATTGCACTTTTGTCGGCTGTGTTTGGGCAAAGCACTCCATTTTAAACTCAATTGTTAAATGGACTTTAAGGTTGGTTGGTTGGTTTGTTTGTTGTTTAACGCCGCACACAGCAATATTCCAGCTATATGACGGCGGTCTGTAAATAATTGAGTCTGGACCAGACAATCCAGTGATTAATATCATGAACCAATGCTATTGGGATTGATGACGTGCATCAACCAAGTCCGCGAGCCTGACCACTTGATCCCGTTAGTCGCCTTTTACGACAAGCATAGTCGCCTTTTACGGCAAGCATCGGTTGCTGAAGACCTATTCTACCCGGGAATCTTCACGGGTCGGACTTTAAGGCAACAAAAAGAAGCAGTAGAACGATAAATGAGTTTATTGACCACAGGACATGTAACTGCCAGTGTCTGTTAAGTATTTTCCGAAGTGACGTTTTTTTTGCCTTTCAGTGTACGATGGCACAGGTGGATGAAGAACTTTGAATCTTGAATCTGCACACGAAAATGGAAATTGATTGCATATGATTTCTTTGGAGACGCCTGAAAGTCGGGCCGGGCCGGGCCAAAGTTTTATTGGCTAATTACTCCATGGTCTAGTGGTATATAGCGGAGAGCGGAAGGTTCGAGGTACGATCCCCGGTCGTGTCATACCAAAAAACGTTAAAAGATGGTACTTGTCATACCCTACCTAGCGCTCAACATTAAGGGGCTAAAACATGGCTGGTCGGCTCGGGGTGAGTATACTTTGTCTGAGTGGTGTATTCATGTTAAACGATCACGGAGGCAGTCTACAGGTTCATAGACAGGTATAGATACAAAGAGGTATAGGTATATATACCAAATACATAGATACATCTTTGGTGGCAAGATCACAATAACATTTTAATTTGGTTTGACTGTATGTGTGGGTTGTGTGCTGGAGAAAGGCCTGACAAGTGTGGTTGAACTGCAAGTGATTGTTTGAGTGAAGTTATGTAAGCTGGTTAAAGTGAGTGGACAGGCTTGCATGCTTTGCTTGATTTGCTCATGTAACCATCATGCAAT